GCCCTTTGGCAGCACAAAAGTAGAAATCCAGAAATAAACAATGCCATTGATGACCGAAGCAATGAGTTGTACCCTGCCTGCAAAAGACAGACTTTTGACAGCCCAACCTCTGAATCTTTTAGCCAATTTTTCAATGAGGGGCTGGTATTCAGAGATCCTCAACTTTCTAGACATTAGCGGCAGCCCCAGATATCTTATCGGTAAAGAGCCAAGAGGGAAACCAACACATGCGATGTCGTGTGAATCTCTTTGATCAGTCCCTGCCAGGAATAAGCTTGTTTTGTCCCTGTTCATATGTAAACCTGACCAGGAAGCGAAGTCATCAAGAGTCTCACTTATACCCTGCAAAGAAGAGCAACCTCCATCAAAAAACACCATAACATCGTCGGCGAACATGAGGTGAGAGATGGAGCCAGACGCAAATCTTGAATGCAGCAGCTTGGAGAACACCTCCATTGCAAGAACAAAAAGGTAAGGCGAGAGGGGATCTCCTTGCCTTAACCCTTTTGTACTTTTAAAAAAACCACCAGAGCTTCCATTGACACAAACTGAGAATGAAGGAGTAGAGATACATTGATAGATCCAATTAGAGAACCTTTCCGGGATCCCTATAGCGTTGAGGGCAGAGATGATGAAGTCCCATCTAACCGAATCGAAAACTTTCCGGAGATCCACCTTCAACATACCACTAGGCTGAATATTCTGTCTATGATAACCATTGACCAGCTCAGTAGCTAACAAAACATTTTCAGCAAGTAACCTCCCCGGCAAGAAAGCTGATTGAGAAGGAGAGATAACCTGAGAAAGGATTGTCTGGAGTCTTGAAGAAAGGAGCTTTGCAATGACTTTGTAAAGAGTGTTGAGACAAGAGATGGGTCTAAAATCCTCTGGTCTAGACGCATTAGTTATCTTTGCAATGAGAACAAGAGAAGTAGCATTCCACTGACACAACAGCTCACCCGACAAGAAGAACTCTCTCACCGCATCTGTAACTTCAGCTCCAACAACACTCCAAGAAGACTTGAAGAATTCTGCAGTAAAACCGTCAGGACCTGCGGTTTTGTTTCTAGGCAGAGAGAAAAAAGCTGCCTTAATTTCTTCTCTTGAAAACTGCAGTTCCAAGTCATTTTTCTGTCTTTGGGAACATCTGAAAGGCAAAAGAAGCTCCATATCCGATTGCACAAGCATAGACGGGCCAACCTCTCCTCCAAGCAACGTAGCAAAGTAATTAATGCAGTGGCAAATTAATGTACATGGCATATGTACATGGCAAATGTTGAACATGGCAAATCATCATTTGTTTGTTTTAATCTTTTAGGATCATCTGCACAAAACATCAAATGTTTAGCATATTAAGAAAATATAAAACATGAAAGTTCATATAACAAAATAGCAGAAATAGAAAAACTTAATAAGTATTACTACTTTACTATTTTAAGGAAACAAAAAAGGTTTAAAGAATTTAGTTGCCAGAAAAGTTGATGAATGAAATGGATGTTGTCAACATTTCTTATATAGGAATCGTATTAGTTAAGGCTTCCTACATCTTTACCTTTTTTAAATTTAAATCTATAAAATCTTTCGAATTATTCGTGTGAAAAATGTATAGTAGTTCAGGTTTAAATCAATAAAATTTTGGTAGTCCTAGTTCACAAAAAACTAATATAACATTGACCTGAGCCATCATCCAAATAATAACTGGAAGCTTATCCTCGCCTTGATAGTTAGGTCTCTCCGTCAGCTTTGGCAAGACAGTAGTCAAAGCATCAGGTTTACTAAGCAACATCATCGTTAATGCTACAAATGTTGCCACCTACAAGTACAAAACAGTGGAGTCAGTCATACAAAGTTAACTGAATACACCATTCAATCACACAAAATTGATGCGTTTGGCAAAATTACCTTAGATTTGTCAGAATTACGTTGTTCAGCTTTGACAACTCCTGGCCATTCAGTGAGAATGAGATCAGACGCCCACAGTACAAAGGCACGTAGTGTTGTCTCAAATGGAAGTTTGTTGATAAAATCAACTAATGTTTCGTAGACAGATGTATGAATTTGAGAAAATGGAAACTATTTATTAAGCAAGATATCAGCTTCAAAAATCTAACCTAGACTCCAGATGCACAAAACCGTATAATAAATATATAACTCACGTCGATCAGCGTGGATAAAGGAGTCTCCTCGAACATCTTGACCCATCGACATGATACTTGGGAAAGCTTATCCCCATAGTAATCGACTACTATCAATATTTGCCTCTCCGGATTAGGCCAATGCGTGTCCTATTAACAAACAAACAAACAACAGTAAGTTTTGATTACTGGGTTATCGAATTAAACAAAGCAGAATTGCACATCGAATGCACTTACCAATACTTCGTCGAGGAAAGCCTGAAGATTTGAGGGAACGATCTTTGCCGCAGCTTCGGACAAAGACAATAATACTAGACGCCACCATAAAGAGCACAACCCGAGCAGTCACCTCATTACCATCATCGACAAGACCATTCGAGATCATATCACCAGTCTTCACAATCAAGGCACCAGAAAATATGCAAAGCTTCAGAACGCTGGCTGGCTTAATTGACGTGATAGTTTGTAATGCTCATCTCCTAGCTAGCTATTATGCTCGGAGATGAGATAATAGTTTTTTTAAAAGTTCTTTTGTACTTTTAAAAAAACCACCAGAGCTTCCATTGACACAAACTGAGAATGAAGGAGTAGAGATACATTGATAGATCCAATTAGAGAACCTTTCCGGGATCCCTATAGCGTTGAGGGCAGAGATGATGAAGTCCCATCTAACCGAATCGAAAACTTTCCGGAGATCCACCTTCAACATACCACTAGGCTGAATATTCTGTCTATGATAACCATTGACCAGCTCAGTAGCTAACAAAACATTTTCAGCAAGTAACCTCCCCGGCAAGAAAGCTGATTGAGAAGGAGAGATAACCTGAGAAAGGATTGTCTGGAGTCTTGAAGAAAGGAGCTTTGCAATGACTTTGTAAAGAGTGTTGAGACAAGAGATGGGTCTAAAATCCTCTGGTCTAGACGCATTAGTTATCTTTGGAATGAGAACAAGAGAAGTAGCATTCCACTGACACAACAGCTCACCCGACAAGAAGAACTCTCTCACCGCATCTGTAACTTCAGCTCCAACAACACTCCAAGAAGACTTGAAGAATTCTGCAGTAAAACCGTCAGGACCTGCGGTTTTGTTTCTAGGCAGAGAGAAAAAAGCTGCCTTAATTTCTTCTCTTGAAAACTGCAGTTCCAAGTCATTTTTCTGTCTTTGGGAACATCTGAAAGGCAAAAGAAGCTCCATATCCGATTGCACAAGCATAGACGGGCCAACCTCTCCTCCAAGCAACGTAGCAAAGTAATTAATGCAGTGGCAAATTAATGTACATGGCATATGTACATGGCAAATGTTGAACATGGCAAATCATCATTTGTTTGTTTTAATCTTTTAGGATCATCTGCACAAAACATCAAATGTTTAGCATATTAAGAAAATATAAAACATGAAAGTTCATATAACAAAATAGCAGAAATAGAAAAACTTAATAAGTATTACTACTTTACTATTTTAAGGAAACAAAAAAGGTTTAAAGAATTTAGTTGCCAGAAAAGTTGATGAATGAAATGGATGTTGTCAACATTTCTTATATAGGAATCGTATTAGTTAAGGCTTCCTACATCTTTACCTTTTTTAAATTTAAATCTATAAAATCTTTCGAATTATTCGTGTGAAAAATGTATAGTAGTTCAGGTTTAAATCAATAAAATTTTGGTAGTCCTAGTTCACAAAAAACTAATATAACATTGACCTGAGCCATCATCCAAATAATAACTGGAAGCTTATCCTCGCCTTGATAGTTAGGTCTCTCCGTCAGCTTTGGCAAGACAGTAGTCAAAGCATCAGGTTTACTAAGCAACATCATCGTTAATGCTACAAATGTTGCCACCTACAAGTACAAAACAGTGGAGTCAGTCATACAAAGTTAACTGAATACACCATTCAATCACACAAAATTGATGCGTTTGGCAAAATTACCTTAGATTTGTCAGAATTACGTTGTTCAGCTTTGACAACTCCTGGCCATTCAGTGAGAATGAGATCAGACGCCCACAGTACAAAGGCACGTAGTGTTGTCTCAAATGGAAGTTTGTTGATAAAATCAACTAATGTTTCGTAGACAGATGTATGAATTTGAGAAAATGGAAACTATTTATTAAGCAAGATATCAGCTTCAAAAATCTAACCTAGACTCCAGATGCACAAAACCGTATAATAAATATATAACTCACGTCGATCAGCGTGGATAAAGGAGTCTCCTCGAACATCTTGACCCATCGACATGATACTTGGGAAAGCTTATCCCCATAGTAATCGACTACTATCAATATTTGCCTCTCCGGATTAGGCCAATGCGTGTCCTATTAACAAACAAACAAACAACAGTAAGTTTTGATTACTGGGTTATCGAATTAAACAAAGCAGAATTGCACATCGAATGCACTTACCAATACTTCGTCGAGGAAAGCCTGAAGATTTGAGGGAACGATCTTTGCCGCAGCTTCGGACAAAGACAATAATACTAGACGCCACCATAAAGAGCACAACCCGAGCAGTCACCTCATTACCATCATCGACAAGACCATTCGAGATCATATCACCAGTCTTCACAATCAAGGCACCAGAAAATATGCAAAGCTTCAGAACGCTGGCTGGCTTAATTGACGTGATAGTTTGTAATGCTCATCTCCTAGCTAGCTATTATGCTCGGTTTTTCAGCTTACTTTACTTTTCCAGCTTTTCTTATCAAAACTATGTATAGAATTTTTCCGTTGATTTATTAATTTAACATTTCAACAAACGGAAAAAATATGTACTTATAAATGCCTCATGCGTTACTGTTTTGATAAAGTAGCTTTAGAAGAATCCAGTGTGTGGGAATAAGAGTAATTTTGTTGTGTTTACCAAATTACAGCACAACACAGACATATTCATTCTTCATGCTCTTGACAGTGCCTAGAAAATTACAGAGTTGTGATCACATCACTAGAGGAAACTCCTAACTAATAAAGATTAGGATAGACAACACTACATGTGGTACACTCAATAGATGCCATGTGATACAACTCAAAGATTATCTCCTGAACCCTTATCCAACTGATCTTCAGCCCCAAGCAGTGATGTAGATGGCTGGTCAAAGGCGAGAGCATGGTCTGACGGATGGTAAGAAGCGTTCAAGCCTGATTCTAGTATTGGGTGCGCCACTACAATATCAGGTGTATAACCAGCTGCACCTCTCACCAATCTAGGCTTCTTTGATAATCTCTCCTCTCCTCCGCTCTCATCTGGAGACCCAATGTTACACCCCGAGTCTGGTGTTAAAGGCTCCCGGTAAGATGAGAGAGACTCGTCAACTGAGAGGCTCTTGTCTGGTCCACATTCCTTGCCAGACTTGTCTTGAAGAGGAGACTCAGATGTTGGGGCAGGGGTTGCAGGATCTGAATTGCCCGTTACTGGGGCTGAGGGTTCGCCAAGTACTCCACTGAGTCGTTGTTGCTCTTCAATTATCTTCTTCAAGTACTTCCCTTGTGCTTCTATCCGTAGTTGCAGCTGTCTTTGCACCTTAAAAAAAAAAAACATCAAAGAATGTCATATGTAATGCAAATTAAGTGCCCCACTGAAATCCTGACCAATTGTTTCGTTTTTGCTTAAGTAAGTATGATGAAGCATACTTCTAGTTGCTCGTGCAATCGTTTCTGAACTTCCATCTGCAACTTGAGGGCTTCAGTTATCTGCATTCCCCTGTAATCTCGAAAAGATATACTGATCACTTAATCTGAAGCAATCTGAAGCACCAGGTAATATATATAGCATCACAAATCAAGCTTAAAGAATGAAATTTCACGTACGACGAGCCGTCCAACCCAGAGAGCATATCACCAGATTCTTTCTTATCAGTTTTTTTCCCTGAAATTTGAAAATACAAGCTTCAGGTAAGTAGGCAACTGGGAGAATGAAAGAAAATTGAAGGAAATGAATGTCCACACTACCTTCAGAAGACGAATCTGGAAGATACTTTGCAAGTCTATATTTCTGACTCAAAAACACAAATGCAAAAAATCAGCGGAGAAAGGAACTGGGGATGCATAGACCGATACACGGATAAGAGAAAGAGAGACGAGACAAGAGGCCACACAGTTTGAGAATACCTGTAAGTGACTCTTGACATGATATATAGTTAATCCTTGTACACCCATCACTCTAAGAACGCCTTTGGGTGTAGCTCCTTTGGAAATTAAAGGAAGAAAAATATTTAGAAACCCTAAGCAAACAGATAAGCTTTCCCTCTCATGACTAGTAGTAAACATGCTGGCATACAAGAAGAGCAATTTGATCATATTGGTGTGCATATTATTACCACAGATATTGATGAGGAAAACATGAGTTACTAATTTAGCATATACTATACAAGAAGGCATGCCAGAAAGAAAGAAAGAAAGAGGGAACTTACTATCAGGGCCACCAAGTTGAGCAACGGCATCAACGAAGCGTTCATGAAGCTCATGCGTCCAACGCAAACGTTGTTTGGATGCATGACTAGAATTGGTGCCGCCGTTGTCTCCTTCCATCAGGGCTAAGATATAAACACCACGTTGAAGGGAAAGTAATGAGTTGTCGCAAAGCTAGAAAATGAAAACATATGAGGCAGTCAGAGAGAGAGAGAGATAGAAATGGAAACAAGGATTTCTCCTAAATGGAAATAGCAGTCAGAATTAGGTACTAAAAACAGTCAAGTCAAGTTTAAGACTTGCTCCGGCAGATCCACCACAGGTTGGGTTTGACACCAAATCAGAGACATGGTCACTAAAATCGGAGGAATTTGTCGCCGAGAAAGCAAAATAACAAAATCCAAGGTTATGGAATCTACGAACCTGTGAGTGGTGGATCTATACAAGAATCAGACGACGCCCCTCCATTTTCGGAACTTGCTCTTCTTCAATCTAAATCTAATCTGAATTAGGTTTTGTGTTATAGACTAGTTTACTGTGTCCGGTTGATCACTGGGCGGCGATGCAGCAGAGTCCTCCTCAAAAAAATTCCCAGACTTGTTATCGCTCGATCGACGAATTCCAAGCAGTAGCATTGACTATTGCTGCATTTCTGGGTGGGCCGGACATCTCGGTATGGGCCAAAACCATTCTAAGGCCCAAATATTATATTAAGTTGGTTGGTCCACCAAAGTCAGCAGCTAGACAGCGACTCTGCAGCTGCTCTAGCTTTCACTTCTCTTCTCTTCTCTCTCCCGCTTCCTGTGTTAGTTAGCCTCATCGCCTCGTTCCCCGATGATAATGGATTTGAGAAAACTGATCCACCTATCTCTGCTGTTGTGCCCACTTCTTCTATCATTCCACTTTAAAATCGCAGGGGCCTCCGCCCACATCTACCCTTCCCAGCCCTTCCACGATGTCGGTAATTCTCTCCTCCTCTACGGTGGCAGCGAGGGCATCTTCGCCTCTCCCCGATCTTTCATCAGGTATATCCTATCATTACATTTTCAACTGTTGTGCTGCTGTCTACTCTACGTTATCCTCCTCACTGGTCGACGGTCCTCGTGCAGGTTTGAGAACATCACTCTCTGGAGAACAATTACCGATAAAGGCCACCGCAGCAATGGGTTAGTTCAAGCAGTGATCTTTGAAGCATCCGATCGTAACAATATCGGTGGTTCAGCTTACGGCGGCCAAAGATCTATTTGCTGCACTCCAGATCTGGCCAAGCTTCAAGGTTGTAAGCAGCGTGAGATCATTAGGATTCCTTCTGCACATGACCCTAGATGGCCTATCCTCTTACCTCTCCGCTTCAAAGGAAAACGTTTGTCTGCTAAGATGGAAGACACTGAGATTCTTATCACCAAGACTGGAATCTATAATCTCTTATTCATATCTTGTGATCCACAACTCAAGGGCCTCACAATGACCGGAAAGACTGTTTGGAAAAATCCCGACGGCTATCTTCCTGGTAGGATGGCTCCACTAATGAATTTCTATGTCTTTATGTCTCTCGCTTATTTGTTGCTCAGTGCCGTCTGGTTCTTCCAGTATCTGAGGTTCCGGATGGATATATTGCCACTTCAACATTGCATTACTGCCGTCATTCTTCTCGGATTGCTTGAGATGCTCTTTTGGTACTTGGATTATGCAAATTTTAACAACACGGGAATGAGGCCTTTAGCCCTTACTACATGGGTTGTTACCATTGGTGCCTTCAGAAAGACTGTTTCCCGCATTCTCATTCTCTGTGTTTCCATGGGATTTGGGGTTGTCAAATCCACTCTTGGTGGTCTCACTTCTAAAGTCCTCCTTGTTGGAGTTACTTACTTCATAGCTTCTGAGATGCTTGATATAGCTGAGCACGTTGGCATAATTGACGATATGTCCGGAAGATCAAAACTTTTTCTTGTCCTTCCTGATGCCTTCCTGGATGCATTTCTCATATTGTGGATATTTACCTCTCTTTCCAAAACACTGGAACAGTTACAGGTACCTCTTTCTTTCCAAATTAGCCATCAGGCTCTGTAACTTGTAAAGGTTTTGAGGCAAGATTCATCAGACTAGCTATAAAGTTCTTTTATTACTGCAGATGAAAAGGACCTCGGTGAAGCTGGAAATTTACCGCAAGTTCTCAAATGCTCTTGCTGTGATGGTTGTTGCCTCTGTTGCATGGATAGTGTATGAGGTGCCATCCTGTCAAGCCTGATTTGATGCTGATTTAGTAAACTCAAATCTTACTTTAGGAAATAAACTGCTCAACTAAAACTGGCCTAGATTTCAAGCTAGGAAAAAAGAAGCTCCTTCTCTCTTGGAATATACCCAGCTTGCCTGATGATTTGTTATTTGTCCCGTGCAGGTGTATTTCAAAGCAACAGATCCATTCAATGAACGATGGCAGACTGCTTGGACTATAACTGCCTTCTGGGATGTTATTGCATTCTTGTTACTATGTATTATTTGCTATCTCTGGACCCCCTCACAGAACTCCCAAAGGTATGTTACATCAACTTAAAGGATTTGATATCTCTCGGGCATACCAACAAATAAGCTTGGTTTTATGAGCTGGAATGGAAACGGTTTCAGCTGAGCATGTTGTGCTAGTCTTGTGGGAAGTGCCTAACATGCTAGTGGTTCTTATGTATTGGTCCAATTTTGTTGTTCCTGGATGTGATAGGGATGCTAATATGAAACTGATGATGGACAGATATGCATATTCGGGAGACGTGGATGAAGAAAACGAGGAAGCTCAATCTCTGACAGGGGGGAAGCAAGATGGTGATATTAGCTTAGTTAAGCAAGAGAAGAATGCTGAGTCGGACAGGGAAGAAGATGTTGAAGAAGATAAGAGAGAGTGAGGATAGTCGGTAAAGAAACGACTTGGCATCTGTGTTTGATCATGAGTTGACGGAAGTATAAATATCAGCAAGAGGTCAGCTATAGCACAAAGCAACAAAGCTACGACGTAATACATATATGATGTAACAAAAGGATAGTAACTGTGTTTGTATTTTTTTTTTTTTATAAATCAGATCCAACATTTGAGTCATCTCTAATCCTTGTCTGTTGAGTTCAGCCCGGTGTTGTCTAGAACTTAGAATCGATGAGGGAGAGAGTGAGATTTGCCTAAAATTGCTGTAAATTACATTATTGATATTTTATTGGTGGTTAAAATTGGTAATATTATTAATTTGTCAGTACTAGTACACGGAAACAGGGGTCTGTCTCTCTTATTGTGGTTCAACACAACACCGCCATTACAGAAGATTGAAGTGAGAGTGGAAAGGGAGAGGGAGCTTCCTGCTTTCACTTATTATGCCTCCTCCTCCTTCTAGTTCTAGGCCAGGCCTTAACGGACATCCGATTGCTACTCAGAACCAGCAGCCGTATTACCGGAGCTACTCATCGTCGTCGTCGGCGTCACTGAAGGGATGCTGCTGCTGCTTGTTCTTGCTGTTCGCGTTCCTGGCGCTGCTGGTACTGGCGGTGGTGCTCATAGTAATACTGGCGGTGAAGCCGAAGAAGCCGCAGTTCGATCTGCAGCAAGTGGCAGTGGTGTACATGGGAATCTCAAACCCAAGCGCTGTTCTGGATCCAACCACCGCCTCCCTCTCCCTCACCATCCGGATGCTCTTCACCGCCGTCAACCCAAACAAGGTCGGAATCAGGTACGGCGAGTCCAGCTTCACGGTGATGTACAAAGGCATGCCACTGGGAAGGGCGACGGTGCCTGGATTCTACCAGGATGCGCACAGTACAAGGAATGTGGAGGCCACCATCTCCGTCGATAGAGTCAATCTTATGCAAGCCCACGCCGCCGATCTCGTCAGAGATGCTTCCTTAAACGACAGAGTGGAGCTCACAGTCCGCGGAGACGTGGGGGCTAAGATCCGAGTCATGAATTTCGATTCACCGGGAGTTCAGGTTCTCCATCTTCTTCTCCCTTCTTTTTCTCGCCCGGGGATCTGGCCTAACCAGCCTAGTGTGAACACACTAACTTACCATTTACCACACACATACACTTTTTGAGTAAAAAATAAGGGTAAAAACAAAAAAGAAGCTGTTAAGTTAAGTTAATAGATTCCTTACACCACTAGTCATGCTGTGTCTGTCCCCACTATGCTTTCCTTTTCGCCTTTGCTTCTCCTACACTTTTGATATTTTCTAGGATCATCCACGTCTATGCCACCACCTAAAAGCTATTCTTGAGGTGTAAATTACGAACAAACGACACCATCGCCTTCCTTTCACTGGTTTATTGATTTAAAGTACTAATAATTTATCAACAACAGTTATATAAAGATTCACTCTGCTTGCTAATATATAAGATTTCACATGCATTGCAGGTATCCGTGAATTGCGGGATAGGCATTAGTCCCAGAAAGCAAGCTCTCATTTACAAGCAATGTGGCTTTGATGGCCTCAGCGTCTAATTCCAAAACTGTAACATAATATTTTATATATATATTTGTACTGACTACTCCCAGTTGCAAAAAAAGATCCAGCCAAACTGGTAAAGAAATGGAACAAGATCATCCATCCTTCCCTTGCCTTTTTTGGGAAACTTTTGTTTCTACAAGCAACAATTTTTTTGTTTACCAAATATACTAATCAGTATTTTACTCACGCTCCAATCCCTTGGCCAATCTAAATTGCATTCGTTTCTGTTAATCAATTAGAGATATATGCACTCACCCGCATGCTACATATCAAAAAATGTTTTGTGATTTATTTGAGGTTTGCTCTGAAAAAACTCTTCCAGATTCTCTTTTCTATTTCATGTACGCTTTGTGTTTGGTTGAATCGACGAGTACAAATAGTTGTGCTGCTTCCTTGCTTATTTTAATCCTAGGCTCCAGATTTGCTGCTTGGGGTGCATGTAAGAGGTGCAGGCATGTGAGAGTTATTTCAGAACTGCCTGCTCCAGAATTGAGAGATGGTTTTGTTATTGATTTCCTTGATTCGGTTACAATGCGAGAGCGGATGGCCTGGCATCCATTTGATGGTACCGGAATATGCAAAAGCAGTCTCAGAATACTTACTTGGTCAATATGCAACTGAAGGGACCCGAGACTATTCTTTTTGGATTACATATTTGAAGATAGGTGATCAGTTCCCTCCATCGACCATCCATGGCAAGTGTCTCAAGCTTGCGAAAGTGATTTTCTAATACTTGCAAGCTTTCTATTCCCAAGCATCCACCTCCTTATTCTCTTTCTTCTTGCTTGGCTTCATCCAGAGCCTTCTTTTTGGAAGGGACTTCCGCCAGTTTACCTTGTAATACACCGGGAAACCTTCTCACAGGTCACAACCAAATCACTCCAACCTCTGCCCACGAATCACAACTTCACAAGAGTGTATGTATCATATCCACCTCGGCCTTTGAAATGTTGGCATCTTTCTGACTTGCATTTTCGGCTTTGTATCTTTTATTTATGACACCATGGGCCTGAGGATGTTGGACATTAACGGGATACATAAAATTTTACTTAATACAGGCCCATATGTTCAGACAGAAACGGCAACTAGACGTAGAAGACGATGAAATTGGAGGAAATCGAATCGAAACATTTAGGGTTCCTCCTTGAGTATCTATCTACTTTGGTAGGCTGATCATATCATATGAATACTTCCATATTTGAGCTTACGACAAAACAATGCCACTCACATAAATTTTTTTTCTCTCAGATTTCAGGTCAAGCTTTCTTTCTCTCAGATTTCAGGTCAAGCTTTCTTTCCAATTTCGCCATGTAAGTTCCTTCTGTCACAAAATTTTAATACGCTAGTTATCGGATAAGATTCTGCGTTATTAGATCTCTTGCAATTTTTTACTCCTACTCTCTAAATTCTAATACGCTAGTTATCGGATAAGATTTGTATTCCGTCTTGATTGGTCTAGGAGGATTTGGAAATAAGACTAACAACTATCCGAATTCTGACACATAGTAAGCTGTATCTTTCACACGGGGTAAGAAGCAATCGACATGTCTTATATGACAGTCACATCCTCTATAGTTTAGTTTGTTGGGTATTACTTAGTGGCTCTCAACATTTTCTTGCTTTGCATAAAATCTTGAAGAGCTGTGTGTGTATGTTCATAAAAGTAAAATGGGAAGCTTAGCTTCATCCCTTAAACAGCCCTACTTTGACAACAAGTTGCTATGTCATAGTTATGAACGTATTTTTCATTACCTTAGTTTGCTTATCTAACCTTTGATTTTCCATCCTACTCGATGGTGATAATTACAGGGCAGAAGAAGAAGCTGTTGATCAGAAAAGATACTTTGAGGAATCTTGCAAACCAAAATGTGTGAAGCCACTTCTTGAATATCAGGTGAATAGGTCATTGGTCATAAGTCATAACCTTGTTTTGCATTATGCGAGTGTGTAATTCTTTTGACATAAAAAGGGTTGATTGCTTTCGGTGCTACTTATCTATCTCACATCACATGGCTTGGAGTGGGGCTCAATTTTAACAGCTTGTTGTTGTGGTTCAGGCGTGTGTCAAGAGAATTCAAGATGATGAGTCTGGCCACAAACATTGCACTGGGCAGTATTTTGATTACTGGCATTGTGTTGACAAATGTGTAAGTGGTGTTTTTCTGTATACACCTAAAGTTTCATTCTATGATGGAAAATTGTATCGTTGATCTGCTTGCAGGTCGGACCTAAGCTGTTCGCGAGACTAAAATGACAAGACAGCAAGTTGGAGACTTGAGTCTTGTTTTCAGAGTTATATAAAATGATGTGGATGCTGAACATTACTACTGCAATCTTCCGTCTCGGTTTTGTTTCTCTGTCAAACTGCGAATTCTTTGTTTTCGTATGAAGTTGTGATACGTCATTAATAATAAGTAATGAAAACGAAGAACCCGATTCTATCTTTATTTTTCTATAGATCCAGTTTATTCAACTGTTTGGTATGAAATCATTGAACAATTAATTCAAAGAGGAATAATGTTGGTGTTAATATATACTATATGAAAAGAGGTTGGTTGCTCCTTAATGGTTCTAGTTTCCCGGAAGAAGCAAAACAAGGCAAGATGGGTGGAAATATTAACAAAACGGCACGCTGTGCTTTGATTTTGTGCATAAACGGCACGCAAACCAGATGTGTGTGTTTAATATAAATAAATATTGAGACGACTCGAAGGCAATTTTCTCAAAAGAAGAAGCAAAGCCCTAGCGTCCTCTCTGTTCCTTTCAAAGGTAAAGCTCTCTCAAATTTAAGATCTCTTAAGTAGTTTAAATCAATCAAGATCTAACCTTATTATTACTCACGGATCATCATCGATCTATCAGATCTGTGTTCCGATTTCCGCTGCTGATAGCGTCTTGTGTTCTCTAAATCCGTTGATTTGTTTTCGTCTCTAGGTTGCTTCTTTTTTCGTTTTTCCATGCCAGAGGCTATCGTAGACTTTCTTTGACTTGCCCCTCTTTTGCAGATTCGTAATCTGTTGTGGGCTTGCCTCTCCTCTTTTGGATTATCATACCTCACACTCGCATCAGGTAAGAAGTTTGGTTCATATTTAGTGAATCTCATCGCTTTAGTTTCAAAGCTTATTAGGTCTTTGCATTGGTTATTATGTTGGAATACTTAACCCTAATGGTAACTACTGGAATTTTGCTGAAAGTGTAGTTTTGATCCCTTCCCTTTCAACAAAACATAGTTAGTTAGTCTCTGTGCTTTGTTTGGATTGATTTTTAGCCATGGAATGCTTTACCCTAATAGTAACAACTGGAATTTTGCTGAAAGTGTAGTTTTGATCCCTTCTTGTTTTTTATTCGTTCTGTATTACCATCACGTAGTTGACTCTCTGTGCTTTGGCTGGACTGACCTCATGACCCGTTTTATGGAAGAGCTAACATTGTTTTTTCTTCTCTTTTGTGAGATGCACTTTTGGTTATCTTCATACCAAAATGCAGATTTTCAGTTGCTTTTTCTATTCAAATGGACTGCAAGAAGTTCATCCAGATGGTTGAGGAGAAGAAACGACGAGTTCTAGAGAAGCAAGAAGCTCCTTTGAAATGGGAGCAGAAGCTAGAGGCGGCTGCCAATGCTAAAGCTGACACAGAAACCAAAGTAAAGAAGTCAAAGGGCACTAAGAGAAAACAAAGGGGTGCATCTGAATCTAGCTCAGAAAGTGATAGTAGCTCTGAGGTGAGAAGAAAGTCTAGAAGATCTCACAATAGGCACCGAAGACATGCACACTTTGATTCAGATGACAGTGATAGGAGGAAAGAGAAGAAATCCAAGAGGCAGAAAAGAAGCGATGATAGCACTGATGATTATGAAAGCGGGTCAGAGGATGAGCTGAGGCACCATCGGAGGCACAAGTGGCATAGCTCAAGAAAGACTTGCGATGATGACAGTACCGAAGATGTGAGAAGAAGACATTTAAAGCATCACAGGCGCAGTGAGTTGGTCACTTCAAGTGATAGTGAGGAAGAGAGTGGAAGAAGAAGGCGAGGCAAAGATCACAGGCACAAAAGAGGTTCAGCCTCCTCGAGTGGCTCGGAAAAAGATAGTGGGAAAAGTAGGAAGAGAAGGCAACATAAAAGGCATCATTTGGCTGAGTCTTCAAGTGAGGAAGATGGAGCAATGAGAAGGAGGAGGCATCATAAACATGACAGAGATTCAGCATCCGAGTCTGATGGAAGAAGGTTATCAGATGAGAAAAGAGAGCACAACTTGGACAAATGAAAATGAAGATTGTATTTGTTTAATTCACATCATAAGAACTGAATGTTGTGTTGAATTATTGTGTTGTCACTCTTCTTTGATTTTCATTTTACATTTGTAGCAAGAATGGTACACAACCAATTGAACTCTGAAATGTTTATGATAATTAAGACCATGGGGTAGCTAGCATATGTGCAGAACGTGGTTTTATTTTGATTATTATTTTACCGGCAGTTCAGAGGAGAGTATGTGGCAAATCATCTTGGTTTTATACTCTGAACTATTGCAAATGATATTTGATCAACTACTCTTCCCTCTGCAGCGTCATAATCATATCTTCATCTTGTAGTTACCAGGATTGTGGTCTCTTGCTCTTGATACTCTCAAGCTCTGAGCTATACTGGAAACTAGGTGTTTAGACTTTAGACCTATGCTCATGTGTTCCACACTAAGACGTATAAATGCTACTTGCTGGTCCAGTTTGAATTTTCTTCATTATTTTGAATATGGAATCACTTGTATGTTTCACTTTCATGGAGTGCAGCACACATAGCCATTGCAGCATCTAAAGATTAGACCTTTCATCTCCTGAATGTGAATTATCATGAATCATATAATCGACAATAAATACCCCTCCCCTTAACCTTGTTGCTCCTTTAGGTTGCTAAATTTGTACATCCAAAGAAGATGAAGTTCAGATAAACACTTTGGGTACCAAACTGTGGTCTCATGCACGGAAAGTGTGAAATACTCTACAAGATACATGATTTATTTGTCTTTGAACAACTAAGTTTCTCACCGACCTGTGAGCTTGACCATCCATGCACCACCCAAGTAGAGCCCCAGAAGCGGTGTTGCTAGGAGCATTTGAGTGACAGGGTCTGTCGAGGGTGTGACTACAGCTGCTGCAACCACCGCACCTACCACCACATATCTCCAAATTGAAAGCATTTGATCTCCCGACACCACCCCTACTTGTCCCAGGAGTAACTGAATGACTGGAACCTGTAAACCAACAAGAAGCAGCCAAATTCCAGGTGAAGATGGCTAAAGCAATGCTGTAGAACATGTATATTATCATTGCAACGTACCTGGAAAGACAGGCCCGTGCTGAACATAAGCACTAGTACAAACTCAAAGTACTGGTCGATAGACCACAGAGATTCTACCACCCCTTCCGCGTAATTCACAAAGAAATTCAAGGCTGCAGGGGTTAAAACCCAGTAGGAGAAGGCAAGTCCAGCATAGAAGAGCAAGGAGGAACCAAAGACAATTGGCCCCAGAAACCTTCTTTCAGCCCGTGTCAGACCGGGAAGGACAAAAGCTATAATCTCATACAGGATCACTGGGCTTCCTAGTAGAAGCCCGCAATAACCCGAGACCTGCAACGCAAAACAAGAAAAAAAGAAGTCATATATCTTGACTAAGATGCAGATGCCTCTATCTGTCGTGAATCTGATCATTAGCTAGTTCAGGACCTTTAGAGTTGTGAAGAAAAATTCGCCAGGAGCAAGCTGCAGAAAGCGTACACCCTGAGTTTTGACGGGAGCTTCAAGAAACACAATAAGATCTTTGGAGAAAGCGAAGCATCCCAAGATTGCAGCTCCCACAGCCAAAACAGAGACGAATATTCTCTCCCGGAGCTCCTCGAGATGATCGAAAATAGTCATTTCTTTGTCATCAGGGAGCTCCTCTTTACGGGGATAGAGAAACTCATAGACCGAACTTGATCTATCTTCGGATGCATCTGCCACAACAACAGTGTAATTCATCACTAACTAACTAACTAACTATATCAACAACCCGGGAAGTGGAGTTTCTCCTAATAATAATTACCTGGTGGTCTGTCTTCTACAGCAGAGCCAACGCCGGGGGTGGTCTCCGTTGGTGAATCGTCAGAATTATCATCGAGAGCTGCCACCCGGCCAAAGCCTTTGCTCCGGCGTTGCGTGACAGAGTATCGGAGTCCAGCTTCCCTCCACGAATTGCAGAAATTTACAGCGTAAGGAGGACGCTGCTTTGTAGGCGAACCCAAGTTGCGAGTGGTGAGGGGGAAATGGTGGATAAGAGCAGAACTGGTGCTTGTGCTGCCCATCTCTGCTCGTATCGTCTGCTTTGCAATTGCAAAGAGCTTCTTCAGAGAACGATTGGTTCCGGTCGAGTTTCCTAGCCCACATTTGATATTTCCAAAACCCAATCCTTTTTCTTTTCTTTTTCTCTGTTAATCCTTCTTCCACCAAAAAACTTGCTACCACAATATAAACGACGCCGTTTTAGGAGAAAGCAAAGGAGCTTGATTGGGCCTTTTATTGCTTTAAAAGGCCCATTAGGACGGCCCATAGAGTAAGTTTTTTAATACTACAGTTGTAGTGATGTCCGTTCACTTCACAGAGAGGCTCGCTCGCTCGCTTGGCTTGTGTCATTTTTCCCGCCAGTCCGATGGGCAAAGAGATTCCGGCGGAGAAATCCCTAAATCTGATTCGCGGGAGACTCTGCGATCCTAGTTTTATCTTCAGACCTCTTTCCGCTTCGTCAGACAGCAATTACAGGTCTAATTTTGCTTCTTTCGATTATTTTGCTTGCTTGCTTTTACCCATCCCTAACTATAATACAAACACAGTAAATTGAAGTTCATTGTATCAACCTCTATCACGGAGGGATGCAACAATTCCATCTTGCTTCTCGGCCCTCGCGGCTCTGGCAAAGCTGCTGTATGTCGAACCCTGCTTCCTTCTACTCTCTCTCCGTTCTTGGCGTTTGATTTCGTCTTAAAAAAAAAAAATGGTTGATTTCAGGTCTTGGATCTCGTTGTAGGTGATTTATTGGAGCAGTTTCCTGATTCAGTATCAGTAGTATGTCTGACTTCTAATACATTTGGAACTATCTTCTATCTAATCTCATCGTATGATCTTACTACAATCCCAATGTGATGCAGATCAGATTGAATGGACTCTTGCATAGTGATGATAATTGTGCCTTTAAGGTCTGTTCTCGCCCACCATTTTCATGTCCTAAACAAAGTTACACCTAATACTTACATTGATTTTTCAGGAAATTGCCAGACAGTTGTGCATGGAACACCACCTACTGTTCTCCAAGATGGTACGCCATTGTTCTCTCCAAATGTTCTTTCTTTTTTTTTTCTCTTTACTGTGTAGCCAATGTCTCAATTGGCTTGCTTCTCTGTCGCACTTCCAGGCATCATTCGATGAGAATTCACACTTCATAATAGCCATGTTACGGTCAGTATATTTACCTTTACATAAATGAGCCTTTTTGATATTTAACGCAGACAAACTGATAGAAGATATTTCAGGGAATGCGGACTAGCACATAAAACAATCATCTTTGTGCTTGACGAATTTGACATGTTTGCTCAGGCAAGAATTCTGATTTCTTTTAACTTGCTAATTGTATTATATGTCGTTTTCCCTATGATAAAAATTACTTAGCAACAGAGAGTCCATCCTAACGTTGGGAGGTAGAGCAGAACCTTTGATGAACCAAGAAGTTGCACATTGGTGTTTTCTATCCACTCACCCTATCATCTGCTTATATATATAGGGAAAGCAGCGGTTGCTATACAGTTTGCTGGATGCTATGCAATCTGTAACATCACAAGCTGTTGTCATCGGTATTAGTTCTCGACTGGTATGACCATGGCTATACAGATATACATGCTTTGGGTTTTACAAATTGTTTCTTGTATGTTTGATGACAGCTGACTTTGGTTGTTGTTAACAGTACTCTGGTTCAAAATCTTATAATATTCAATCTCTCACCACAGGACGCTGACCAGCTTCTGGAGAAAAGAGTGAGATCTCGCTTTTCACACAGAAAAATTCTGTTTCTTCCTCCATCCAGGGACGAACTTGACGGGTAACCTTCTTTTCTGTAATAATCAGTCAACTATTTTTCCAATCAACTTATTGAACTATTACGAACTATGTTTCTAGTTTGTTGGAACATCTGCTGTCTCTACCAGCAGACTCAAGCTTCCCCAGTGGATATGTTTCTCGGTTCAATGATAAGATTAAGGTTCTAATATCCACTCCCAACTACTACTATGACATGCTTAAGAACTGATACGATGTTGATTCTTGTTCTGAAGAACTGATACTTACCAATTTTAAAAAAAAAAAACACCTACTGTGCAGAATATAACATCAGACAGGAGATTTAAAGACATACTTAAGACATTTTTTAATGCTCATTCTACTGTGAACAGTTTCTTGAAGTTTATGTAAGTTCTTCGATTACAATAGTGAGATGTTTCCTTAAGATATCATTTTCTCTGTGTTGAGTCTATTTCTTGATGTTAGATTCTGCGCTGTTTCTTTAATGAATTTGGAATCTGGCCTCCTCTCTCTTGAGAACTTCAAAGCAGCACTTTCAAGGATGCAAAGGCAACCAAAGTTGGAAGCCGTTAGAGGTATGATAAGCTGACTTCTAAGGAATATGTTTTGCTTAGCTGCGGTGTTGCTTATACATTTTCCTTGGGAATATCAATTGACATATCTTTGTTGAGCAGATTGTTCCGTACTGGAGCTTTATCTTCTGGTATGTATGAGGAGGTTAGAAGTGAAGGAGCAAAACTCATACAACTTCATTAGTGTAATGAAAGGTAATTTATAAATTTGGCTTAAGAGAAAATGCAGGTTGCACCACTATGAAAATGATTTGAGATTCCATGTGTATTCCAGAGTACAAGGCGATACACGATTCTTTTCAAACCTCGGACTACTACGCACAAAATGTCTGCATAAGGGTATGTTTATAGCTCTCTTGAGATGCCATAGTTTAAAGGTGGTGGTCTAAATGGTTGACATGACAGGGATTTGAGCACCTGAGAGAGCGACAAGTTATATGCTACACAGAGAATAGAGGACAGTCTCAGACAGGAGAGTACCGTCCCATGAAGCTTTTGATATCAGCCTCTGAGCTTCATCAGGGAATGAGATCTCATGCGTGTTGCCCGGTAAGTCTCCTTTTTCATCCATACCCTCCTTTCTTCCCCTTATTTTTGTAAACTGATTTCAACCTGTTGATATTATTTTTTTCCCGCTGGAACAGGCCATCCTTCTCAAGTTATTGGACCATTGATCTCTCTGTTTTTGTCCCTTGGGAATAAGACAGTCTCTCAAGGTCCTGTGATATGTATGTTTATTTCATGGTAAAAGCTACTTGGTTTACAAACAGTATTTTTACCTTTGCTTTGTGTTTCCTTCACCTGCCATTTATATATATATTAAGGGAGAGAGCATGTCAACACAATACTCGCTCAATTCCTGATTACACACAAACAAGGCTTCAAGTAGGCAACTTTCTCTACTACACCCAAACCCATTTGAGTCTCAACATCAAACCCTTCAACTCATATAATTACACCTCATGCTGACAGTTAAGACCCACACAAATTGGACAGCTTAATACAGATCAACTCTCTCTCTCTGTCTCTTTCTCTCTCTCCCTTTGTGCGCTTGCACCAACGAAGTGTGCTCCCCAGCTCCACCCTTACTGTGTCATATTATGAGTATTTATCTCCCTTCAACCCCGTTTGATCACAAAGAGATGCATGCTCCTGAGTCTATCCTTTTTCTTCCCAATTTTGCTCTCAGTCTCACCCACAACAACTATGGACTCCATAAGCATGCCTTTTTTTCGTTTTGCCTTCTAAGGCATTGGTCTCAATCAGAGGTGATCTTTCTTGCTTTTCTTCAGCAGCTTTGACATATGATTCACCTGCTCATGACTTTCCTTAGCCCCGCCCCTCAGCCATTGTATAGCTTCAGCTGCCGCATCCTTCTCAGCACCCTTCTTGTTGCTGCAAGGCTGTCCCATGATCTGTGTCTCATTAAACTCTACCGTTGTTTGGAACTTGTTGTTCTTCAATTGCTTAGTCTTATACATCGGTGCTGCATAACCAGCCCTTGTAAGTATTGTTTGGAGCTGACTCTTGGAATTGTCACCCCCTGGCCCACTTTCGGTCCTTGAAAGCAATGACGGTTTTGTTGACAACGCCGATATTTCCAAAGGCCTAAGTATTTGGTGACCAAACACAAATCTTCCATCACATCGATCCTCAGAGACCAACAACCGTATAGCTGATAAGAGTTCACGGTGTGCTTGCATATCCACTTTAGGATTAATTAGCTGGAATGTTTTTAAAAAGTATCATATCTCAGATGTCCATTCCCTAACCAGATCTGTTATCACAGTAGAAATACCTGACAGAATGACAACAACAAAGGTGGGTACTTTTGAGATTTTATGAAACTCACTTTGTTCTGTATTAGCTCGTCAAGCTCTTTCTTCAAGGTTTGGTATATCTCTGCAACATCAGGTTTCATGAAAAACTCCAAGTATCCTCCCAACATTTTCAGGTGGCCATCCTGCCAAAAAGCCCAGAAACAAAAGTTGACAATGAAATTGCTGTCAATCCTGACAACAAAAACAAGAGTACAAGCAAGACCGACAGAGAAAAAAGGCTCACAATGTCTCCTTTGGAGATGCTACCGCCAAAGAGGATAAGAGTAGAGTCAGAGCAGGCTGTTGAATCCCTCAAGAAAACGGAGTTCACTTTTATCTTCTCATTGAACACCAACCACGGATATGGTATTTTTGTTTCCCTTGCATTTACAGAATTCTATGGAAAAAAAAAATTGAATGTTACAAATTTCCAACCAAACTGTAATGTTAGGTATACCATCATTAATACTGGATGGATGCGTACTGAATAAAGAAGAACTTGGCCATCCTCCATCGTCTTTAGGGAAAATGATCTCTCATTATGCTGCATGTGTCATATAGATGCTCAATAAAGCAAACTGCTGAATACAGAGAGGCCACTGCAGGGCAAATAAATTCAGGAGAAGTACTCACCACAACTGAGCAGATTCCTGGATACATGCCATAGCAAATTACTGCTCGAGTAAGATTTGCATCATTCCCCTCTGAATTGCAGATTGATGGGTTTCCATCTATTAGTCCAGTATCCTTGAGTAATGAGAAGAACTCTTTTCGAAGAGAATCAATAGCTCTCAGCGACTGTATTGACAAAAAGTTTCTCCAGCAGTAATCATATACAGCAGACTCTTCCTCAGCTTTTTTCCACCCCTCATATGCCCGAACAAGTGCAAGATGATCACTGTGATCACGTGAAAACTGGGATTTTGCGGCTTCTGCGAGCTGGGAAAGTTAAAAACGAAACATCATATTCTACGGTCTTTCAGAAGACACGAAAATTCATAACATTTCATACCATCTGATTTCAAGACAAGATCTCTTTGGACAAAACTACGTCCATAATAAAATTTTCAGAGAAGAAGATGGATGGTCAAGTCACTTGGACTAACAGAGAGACAGGGAACTATAAATGCTAATGAAGAGTACTACTGTAATTAACTCAAGGTAAAAAACAACAGAGATTAAGTTTCCCACTTTTCCAGCCAGATGCATGATGTGTTAAAGTTAACAGTGGAAGAAGGGGATTGCAGGGGTATAACAAGAGACCAATAAATGGTATAAATACAAAGTGCTAGATAAGAAGTTGAACTGCATTTTATCTTCTACATGGTGGGAGAAGAACTTACATCTTTCTTGTCCTGAGGTGTCAAGAAAGGATCTCTCACACTCAGGCCAGCCGCAACAGTCAATATGGGATCAAGGCAACCAAGAATAGCTCCTAGTATGAGCATTTTTCCAAGCTTTGGCTCCATGGGAAGCTTGGACAAATAACGACCTGCAAAGTATTTAAACAATATGAGATAAATTTCAGTCCTGCTACCCAAAACTGCCATGATTCAGCATATTTCCTTTGACCTAGAGTTGTGAGATATTCATTCTCATCCAATGCGCCTATTATCTTCAGATATTTAATGGCCTTTTGAACCTGCGGGCAAAGTTGAAGAAACAAAATTACTATATCATTGATTATTATAAGTTTGGTTCAAATCAAACACCTTCACTTGAGTAAAGTTCTAAAACAGAATCTAACCAAAGAATCAAACAAATATGACGTACCGCTAGTAGTTCAGGAGATTGCAGCGCCCTTGACAAGAACTCAGATATGCTTCCGAGATTTAAGCTTTTGATTTGCAGACACAGTGAGTGTAAAGGCGTCCTCAAAATTTCAGGCAACTGATATTCTGCAAAAGCATCATATACACACTTGGCGTAAAGATGATAACACTGACCAGGTCGAACACGACCGGCTCGTCCTCTTCTCTGCAATCACAAACAGAGCATGAGAATCAACAATAAATATCACTAAATGTAAGCCCACGGACCAGTCAGAGAGTTAAGATTGTTGGCAGTGAATACTTATACTCACTTTTAGTAGTCCAGTGTATTTGAAATGCAACTACGCATAAGACAAAGAAAGAACATCTCATAGCTAGTAGATTAACGTCTATGTAAACAGTACTAAATCCCTGTCCTTGTTCCTGCGTTTATTTTATCGATAAAATTATGAATCTATGGGGAAATGGCTCCGTAATCTTATTAATAGGATGTATTACTAGTTGATTCTCAAAAGCTATCGACTCTAACAAACTAGCAATACCTGCTGAGCTGAAACCTTGGAAATCCAAGATGGAAGCAAACAGGGGGTATTGTTTAATGCATCATAGGAGGTCTCTTTTGCCTTTCCACAGTCAATGACAAAAGCAACATCATTGATCGTGATGCTCGTTTCTGCGATATTAGTGGCTAGAACTATCTTTCTTACTCCACTTGCAGGTTCTTCAAATATTAACCTCTGCATTTACTCAAAATAAAGTCAACGGTTAATGATAAATATGCTTTCTTTCAAATACCCGTTCGGATTGCAAAGAACGGAGAGGGAAAAAGAGAAGAAATTGGTAACAGCTCTGCAACGGATGACCTCAATTTTTTCAAACGGTCATTCTACAATGCAAACTACAATAAACACGGATTAACTAAAATATTGATATACTAGTAACACTAGCATATGATACAGGTTGTCATCAGGTGAAAGAAATTATATATCACCTGCTCAAAACTTGCCATAGAACCATGGCAGGCAAGCAACATAACCCGATCTGGGTTGCCAAAGATTGGATGAATCTGCAGTTTTTCTTTCAGAGAGCTGATATCATCCCACCCAGTCATAAAAACTAAAATACCACCAGGACCCTCATTCTCACATATATGGCAAAGGAGAAATTCTATGAGGTTAAAACCAATGCAATCAGGATTCCAACAAGATAAAGACTCTCGAGTCTCAGGGCTAAACTCCTTGAAGTCAGCCGCTCTCAGTGCGTCCTGTTTGCATAAGGGGAAAGAAATGAGGACCTAACATGTAGAATTAAGCTGCTGATATGCTATTTCTAAATACCTCAACGACAAAGGCAATTTGGCTCTTCCGTTTTTTTGGGATCTGTTTGTTCATCTTCCACATTCTTTCTTGACCATAATCATCAATTTGATTGTATGGAGTCAATCTGTACCTGGTCATCTCCAGAATATCCTCTAGGAAATGACTACGAACCGGATATGTAAATCCCTATAGTGAGGAATACAATATTAGAAGTATCACTGGGGTTAATCAGAGCATATAGATCCAAGGAATATCGAATCAGCAAAAGATTAAATATCTTGAAATGTTCTAGCGAGGATAAACAAATATTCATCCCATAAAGATTGAATAGTTCCAAACAACCTCCTCACTAGTATATTCTGTTTCTTACTTACTGGAATGTGAATGACACCTGCCCCACCAAAGTATGACGAGAATAGCTCAGCATCTAAAGTTGCACTCATCATAATCAGCTTAAGCTCTGGGCGACGAGATAGCAGATCCTTAAGAATGATAAGGAGGAAATCTAAAACACAAAAGTAATATAGTAAGACAACCGCAATCAAGTTAAGCTAAAAATGAGTAGCTGCATGATAGCACAGGTTTACCTTCATTCATTCCACGCTCATGAATTTCATCCACAATAACATGAGTAACTCCTCTTAAATTTCTATCTACCAACAACCGTCTCAACAATATGCCTGTGGTACAGAAGAGGAGGCGGGTATCTCTTCCTCTAACACCTTCCAATCGAACCTTATATCCAACCTTCACGAAAAAGTACGAAAAAAACAAGAGAGCTTAATCAGTAAATAAGTGAAGAATTCCAAGTATAGGCTCCAAGCCAACTAGATATAAAAGCATGCAGGGTGAAACTCACGGATTCACCCAACTGTTCTCCTCTCTCGTAAGCAACCCTCTCCGAAACAGACATAGCAGATATTCTCCTTGGTTGAGTACATATGATACTGCAAAAAGCTCCACGGTTTGCTTCAATCTCGGATTCTAAAATAAACTGTGGAATTTGTGTGGTCTTGCCACAACCTGTTTCTCCAGAGATAACAATAACCTGTAATACGAAACTTAATGTGGGTAATCGGAACTAATACAAAACCAAGAAGACTGTCAAGCTGATATTCGATTTTCTATCTGAGCACAAGCGTGGCTCAAGTTGTCTTCTTTGCAGACCTGATTTTGTGAAATTGCTGTCAATACTGAATCCCTTTGCTTGAAAGCAGGGAGACTTGTCCGAGATTCCACCATTCTTCGGCCTTCTACGGATGCCTAATCAATGGAACACATCAAAATTAAATGGATGATGAAAAAGCATAGAAGGGGAATAAAAAGGACCTAATGTAAATAGAAAGGTGAGTAGACCGAACCTGCCAATATTGTTGTCGATCACGCAGCTGCAAACTCCTTTGCCAAAGAATTTTGTCCAGCGTAGTGTTGGTGGCAGCCATGGGCTCTGGTGGCTCAGAAAGCCATTCATCGGTACTGCTTATGCTACTAGTTCTTGACAAGGAACTGGCAGGGACTCTATCTATCCTCTTTGATTTTTTACTGAGGTAGTCAGTGAGGTAAGCTTGAACTCTTTGAAGAAGGTCAGTATGCAAATTCACCTGTCAATATTGTACATTTCTGCTCTATAAGGAAAAATAAGCGTATTGTGTAAGAGGAAGAGAAGAGAGTGAGGAGCAGCAGATATTACCTCCCTCTGTGGCTTCTTGTCATCTAAATCAAACCTATAGTTGGGGAGTGGGATCTTACTGAAGACAACAACCTTAGCATATGCATGACTGGAAAAAAAAAAAGATATCTATAAAGAAATTGTTGTACTATTGAGAAAGAAGCAGCGGCTAAAAAGAAAGGAGCAGCATAGGTACCTATACAATCCCAGGGTTGTAGCCAGAGCAGCAAGTTTATCAAAATCCCGTCTATCTTTTTTATCCCTGGAAATCACTTCTTGCGTAAGAGAATCGTGCAAAAGCATTGAAAATTTCCGATTCCATTCATCCAAGTTGGCACAATGAAAGGTACCCAAAGGATGCTGCTGCAAATTGATATATGGTTCCAGTAGAAAAAAATAAAGGGATTTAAAAAAAAAGAGCAAATCAAAAACACTAGAATCGCCATTGTAAGAGCATCAAGAAGCTCTATCTATAAACAGAGATTTTGGGTATGCATGAGAAAAGAAGAAGAAGAAGAAGAAGAAGAAGTTAACCGGTTGGCGATCCTAGGAAACGCTGCCATCATAAGCGGAGACATAGCGAACCGGGGAGAGAGGAAGAGGATGGAAGCCGTAATCGGAACGAAGGCGCTGGTGAGGCGGAACGTACAGGGAAGGAGGAACACGATCCTTCATCGGAGCCAAATTCAAAACTCTCTCTAATAATTAATTAGTCAACAGTAAAGTAGAAACAGAGAGAGATCTCCGCTGCTGCTTCTATGCAACAAGGCACATAGACTTGGGAACTATGCCGAATTTACCTTATTGCCCTCCAAATTTGGTTTTGCAGTCAAATAAATTTATAGATTTAGGATGATGTTTTCAAGTTGCTCACACATACATATGATGATATGATCACGACTCGTGAGTGTCTTCTTTCTCAGAGACCAAAAAAAAAAAAAAGGAAGAACTTAAGAAAAAAAACAAAAGACAACAAGGGTCCTTATTACGATCTTTGAAATGGGACCAAATTTAACAATCAGTAGGTGTAACCCTTGACAAACATCCCTTTCTTGGCATCCTCGTTCTCGCCCTCTGCTGAGTATTTGCCGAGCTGGGCCAGTGAGTTAGCCTTTGCCCTCACCAACAGTGCCTTCTGCGAGGCCTCAATCTTCTCCGGCTTGCCTTGCCACGTCCTCAGCACGGAGTTCTGCAGGGCACGTGCGTAGGAGAAGGACACATGCCATGGGTTTGGGCTCTGGTTCATGGCGTTCAGGTTCAGTGTGGCCTCTGCCTCCGATTGTCCTCCTGACAGAAACATGATTCCTGGGACAGCCGGAGGAACCCTCCTTTTGAGCATGGTGAGCGTGAACTCTGCAACGGTCTCGGGAGAGGCCTTGTTCTTGTGCTCAGCACCTGGGGTGACCATGCTCGGCTTCAACAGAATGCCCTCAAACATGACGTTGTTCTGGGCCAAGTAGAAGAACACCTCAGACCACACTTTCTCTGCCACCTCCAGAGTCCTCTCAATGGGGTGGTCCCCGTCCAGAAGGATCTCTGGCTCCACAATGGGCACAAGACCATTCTCCTGAGAGATGGCTGCATAGCGAGCCAGGCCCCACGCAGCTTCCTTCACAGCCAGTGCTGAAGGACCGCAAGGAACACTCACAACTGTCCTCCTGGACAAACACACACATACATATATATATATACCAAAGAGTCATCATCATAACTAGGAAGAGTATTTTCACACCAAGTAAAGAGTTAATACCATATGTATATGACGTGGTGAAATATAGGACATACCATTTGGCAAAACGAGCGCCTTGCTTGTAGTACTCAGCAGAGCGTGAGCCCAATCCATCCAAGCCTTGGCACCAAGACTCGTCGTTGGAGCCAGGCAGGGGAGACAAGCCCTGTAGAAAGACACGGTGGATTGGAATGTCAACACTCAACACAAATAAAAACTCAACTTACGATGATGATTGAATATAACCCCAAAAAAAAAGAAAAAAACCTTGTCAACTTTGATGCCAGGGACGATGTTGGCATCGCGCAAGCAATCGACAAAGGTCTTGCCGTCCTTGGTGGACTGGTAAAGAGTCTCCTCGAAGAGGATGGCACCAGAGATGTAATCGCCGAGGCCAGGAGTGGTAAGCAGAAGTTGCCTGTAGGCCTGACGGTTGTCCTCAGTGTTATCCAAGCCGATAGAAGCGAGCCTCTTCCCACAGGTCGCATTTGACTCATCGATCGCCAAGATACCTCTCCCAGGGGATGCCACGCTTTTCTATTACGCAAAAACAGAATCTCACTCTCTATGTTTGACTTTGCATTACGAATCCAGTGGACAAACTAATAAAGCATCCAAAGAGAGAGAGGAAAAGGAGGATACTCACGGCGGTTTTAACAAGCTCGTCGGAGTAAGCACCGGCGCGGATCGCGAAGGAGACTCGAGGAGGAGAAGCAGAGGTGTGAGCAAAGGAGCGTTGGCCGATCCATGGAGAAGAGAGGGTGTTAGGCTTGACGAAGCTAGCAGACGCCATAGGTAGTACAAGGAAGGGTCAAAGGTGGTGATCGATCTCTCGGGGACTCCGCGGGACAGAGAGAGAGAGATCTGGAATTTGGAGGAGAGTGTGTGTAAAAGCGAAAAGGCTTTTGTTTGTCGCGATTTACTTACTACTATGTAGTCGTCTACTTTGGCATCACCTACTCCCACCAAAAGCCTTCCTTTTATTTACCGTAAATGACGCTTTTAACCTTGAGGGAGATAATGGTGATTTCCTAATAGTTGCAGATGCATCATGGTCCATGAGTCTCTCTCTCTTTGAACAACAATCTGAGAATCAACCAAATTCTCCTATTTGGTCTACCCAAACTATCCTCCCCTACCCCTTGCCTCTTCGTCTGACCCAATCGTTTTAAAATTAATTAATCAAAATTACATGACCTAACCACCTAGTGTGATGAAAGAGACTGGGCCGGATATTGCCTTTCTTATCTGTTGGGCCACAATACACAGAATGGAATACCCTCTCACGTGATTGATTCTTGGGCCCATTAATAATGGGGCTCAGCTTCAGGTAAAACAATATGAGCCCACGACGGCTTTGATCTTCTTCTTTCTGTTTCTTTTTTCTTTTATTTTAGGCAGCTATCCGATATATAGTCCATAGATAAGTCCAAATATTGGTGTTACTCGTAACAGACGAGCAAGGTGTAAAAAAGAAGAGAGAAAATGCAAGTTCCGAGGAACGTTATATGCCACATGAGAAAGTGGCAACTTATTCTTTCTTTCTCTCTTTTATCTTACATTTTTTTTGTGTGTTTTCTCTTTTCCAAATCTTTCTATCATCACGTATAGCTGTTTTGCTAAACTTAAAAAAGTATATTTGATTTGATAACAGTTTTCTAAAACTATTGGCCACAATTTAAATGCATATATTGATATATATGCATGTATGTGTGTTTAAATTTAAAACAACAAAATTCTTGACTATGTTCAAGTGCTTCAATTATCTTCGGTAAAAAATGGTCATGCTCTCTCGTTCTCTTTTTTAGGTCATGGTCGTTGTGTGTTATCACGCATGCGTTCACATTACGTTCTAAAAATCAACCAAAAAACTTGAGTGCCCTTTAATTACGTTCTTTTTTTTATCTCTCTTTCTTCATTTGCATGTCTTCATGTTCACCCTTTGAAGTTAAAACATACAAATTATTGTGTGTGTATCTCTTTCTCCCTTTCTAATTGCAATCCTGCGATAACGCCAAAAAAAAACAAAACTACTTGGTTAAGGGTTTGGTGGAAAAATATATGAATATAATGCCAATCTTAATAACTAGCTAGTAGTATTTTATCATATTTTAATTAAGACAAGTTTGAAAGTTTTTTTTAATTAAAACATGCGTAATTAAAGTTCCATTCTCTGCTTTCAGATGAATGGCATCGATCATAATTCACCTACTTCTTCTAGAGTCTTCTACGCTGCCTCTACGTCTTAGAATATAGTATATATAAAAGGTGTTGGTGCAGATCTTTGATTAACGTTTTGGTCAGTCATATATCTGTTGATTTTTAAACGATAAACCCCAAAACGCGTCTTCATACAGTTCACATGCACATGTCACCCAGAAGAATTGACTCTCAGATCTTTCTAGGTGTTTGTGTTCACACTTCGCCACGCTCTCTGTGTTATGAACGATTTAAATATACAAACAAAGCTAGTCATCAGTGTTTCCCATTCCAAAAAGAAAAATGAAAAAGAGTGTGTTGTTTGTCTTGTAATGAAACCTAATGAGTATGTATTGACTGGTTGGTGCGTGGGGAGAGCATAAGGTGATAGGACCACGTTCTATCTTGTTTATTTGGTAATTCCTATACAAGCCCTTGGTCCTTATTCCTTCTTCTCTACTTCATTTGTCTTTTTCATTGTCTACTTAATTAATTTATATCTATATGTTAATTATTTTATTAAACAACAAACGTACGTGGACCTATCGATTGATCATCCCTTGGTCGACGAACAATAATGGAACTGGATTTGGTTTCTTGAGTTATGTGAAAAAGCATTGCATAGATCAATTGTAACAACTTTAGCATAGCTCTTAATCCTGGCTAAGATTTGAATGGAGCTAGTTTCTAAAACAATAATACTATAGGTTTGGCTCCTCAGGGGGAAAGAAAGACTTGTATAGCATTAAATATAACAAAAAAAATCTTGAAATCAAAATTTGATACACACCAAAATGAGTTGTTTTTTACTCGTTCATCATTTCATACTAAATATATTTTTGTTGAAAAAATTACTCTTAAAATGTTTTAAATTTTCTACGAGAAAGTAATATTTGTTTTTTCTCTCTATATTCTAACAAACGATAAATTACTTGATTGTTGTTTTGATCATTGATATAAAATAAGGCTACATATGCATGATAGGTAGTTCTTAGTTTTTGTTCATTTGTGTGCACTATGTCTACATTATGTAGTCTACATATAACTTAAAATGAAAAAGGGGAGTGAGTTTTAAATTTTTAAAAAAACAAAAAACAAATTAAAACCTTTCACACTCAACATCTAATCAAAGACAATGTACCATATAAACAACGAGGAACGATAAGACACTCACACGCTATTTAACGAGGATTACATTAGAATCACAACCACAGAATAAAGACGATCGTCTGCTGGCTAGGTGACGAGAGAGAGATGGTAAGTGGTTTAAAATTTTAGCAGTTATGATGTTAAGTAGAGAGAGGGTCAAATAATTAGGTCGAAGAGAGCCGAGGTGGTTTTCGCTGGTTGGCTAATGCGATGACTTAATCCCATTTTGTGACCCTCGATCCATTTGGACGGCGGGACACCTACACCATCCCTTCTTCATTTTCTGTTTTATTTTAATTATGTTTTCTGAATAACTTACTATCTTATAAGACCATAAATAGAACTAAAGATCATAGATAATTCGATTAGAATTTGGAGAACTACAATTAGATATGCGTCACGGAGGAGACAAGAAGCGAGGCGAGAATCGTGCTAAATCTTGGTCAAGTTCAAAAATGAATAGCTTTTTATATTAAATAATCTCACAAAGCTAAAGGATGGATAATTTAATTAGTTGGTTCCATGTCAGTTGTTAATTAAGAATAATCTCAAACCGTCCACTTCCTTTTTATATTCCAAAAATGCTTCTCCAATGTTCTACACTTAAGTATATAATTAAATGAAGCTGTTTATAAAGTATTAATGAGTAAAATAATCGAAACATATATTTAACTAGCTAGCTGGGGGTTTAATATATGTTGTTGAATTCATACGGACACAGTTGATACTTTTATCCATGTTAGGAAATTCTGAAAACTGATCAAGTCGATAAGAAAAAGAATAGCATGGAATTTTGTCACCGAAGAAGCGCGACACAAAAGAAAAGATGCCATAATGATCATGATGATGATTCATTCAGTTTTTTGTTCTTTAGGTTCCAAAACTCAATGATTGAAGTTAAATTTTGTTTGGTCTTTGGGGATACAAAGGAGCTTAGGGTAGCTATAATAGTCTATAGATAGATAGTGTCATCAATCATCGTCCGTATGAATTCAACAACATTTAGAGTCATTCAATTTTGACTTTATTATCTCTTTCCAATAAACCGAAAATGTGGGGGATGGGGGGAAATAAAAAGTGAAATGGTTAAGGGGCATATTCATCAAACAATGAAAATAGTGGGCCGAATAGTGAGAAAGAAACGAAAAGGACTGAAAGTGAAAGGGCTTAACAAAAAGCAAAAGAGAGGGTCCCACAACACGTGGCCTGGGTCATTTGTCTCTGTCTCTCTCTCCCATCTTCTTCTTCTACTACTTCTTCTCCATCCATATAAAGAAGAAGAAAGAGATGAGATGCAAGCAAGTATATGCAACAGCCAAAGAACACAAACTCTAAAGAAAGGCGAAAAAATCTCTAAGAAAACATCAATGGGACTACAAGGTCAGCTCTCCGACGTCTCCTCCGATTCGATACCTCTGATGCTATTGGCTCTCCTCGCCACTTTCATCAGGCACGTTCGGTCTCTTCTCCTCCTCCCTTCTTCTGCCGCCCCCGTTGTTGTTGTTGTTTCCTCAAACCTCAGCGTCCTCGCCGACCAGCTCAACCTTAATCGCCTCTTCTCGTACCGCTACTCCGATAACGCAGCCTCCGAGTGCATCGTGTGCTTGTCTTCACTCAAGACCGGAGAACAAGTGAGGAAGCTCGATTGCAGACACGTCTTCCATAAGCAGTGTTTGGAAGGTTGGCTTCAACATCTCAACTTCAACTGCCCGCTCTGTAGATCTCCATTGCTACCTCATCATCATCATAGCCAAGGCAGTGATACGGCGATCTCAGCCTTCCCTCTTCGCTCTCATTGATTTTTATGTGAACAAAGAAGAAAGAAAGAAAGAGAGAAGAAGATGGAGGGAGGATGTTTTTGATCTCACGGCCCTTCTCCTCTTTCCTTTTTTTAGGAGAAGATTATTTCTTACTAAAGCAGATTGATTCTTCCTATATAATTCCCTTCTGTTTTTTTTTTTTGAGGAATCTCAGATCGGAGAGAGGTCCTTTTGTTTTTCAGATTTCCGCAGTGTAAATTCTTAATATGAAAACTAGTCTTCTTTTTAGAACAATAATAATTGACAAAGAAGATCTTCATGTATACCTGCTTGGCTACTACCTACTACTATTTAATTTTGCATATATATTCTGCTCTCTGCTTATATAATAGACAATTAGTGAGTGAGCTATGGGATTAGGTTTATTTTGACATCTAGAGATGATAATAGAGAGGACTTGATACCTCAGTCCTGAAACCATCAACATAGTGGGTTGGCATGTCCCTAGACTATGGACTTTGTTCTGGTTTCCACACTTGGCATTATTGCTATTGTGAAGTAAATGCTAGGTAAAATATGCCTTATAAGAAAGTATCATAGCACCTCATATTGTAACAAACTACACTAGTATTAAGTTTCTTATCAACTAAGCCACATTATATCATCTAATGTGAGTTACAAAGACTGACTAAAGTTTATTCAAAATTATTCTATATGTAGTAATGTGAGTTGCCCATGATAACACCCCCATTTCAAAGTTGTATTTGGGATCTATACAATATTACAAGGTGATCTGAACATATGCTCACTTAACACATTAACAAAGTATAATACTACATGAATAAGACCCAGTTAATCATTTAACATTTCTCTTGGCGAATATAAATATGCTCTAGTTTCGTTAACAGTGTGTACGATATTATATATGTTCACATAATCTGTTGAGGACTGAGCTGAGGTCCGTTTTGCCAATTTTATTAAAGGGTAGTAATATTGTCATTGTTTCAATTAAACAAGATGCTGGAATAGCTCAGTTGGTTAGAGCGTGTGGCTGTTAACCACAAGGTCGGAGGTTCGACCCCTCCTTCTAGCGATTATTTTTTATTTTACTCGTCAGCCCATAGTTTGTTCTTCAATGGGCTTCGTCGAGGCCCATGCCAACACTTTGTGTTGATTATTATTATTCCATTGGTTTAAAGTTTAGAGTTGTGATGATGAAATAAAAATGTGAGATGAGTTGCTTGTTGTATGCAAAAAAACAAAGGGTAAATTTCCAGCTAAGAATGGCTTTACTATAAATAACCCCCAACGATTTGTTTCAGCTAAGAATGTTGGAGACGGGACCCGTAAACCAGTGACGGGCACTGAAAAGCCAATATGAGAGTGTTATGGCCACCAAACCAGCCACTGCCACCGGAGTGTAGTTGAGTGTCTCCGCGGTTATGGGATATGCCACGGGCAAGGAGAAGAGGACTGATATGGTTACAACCCACATGACTGCCACCCATCCCACTACCATTCCGTACTTCCCCAGGCTGAATGGTCCTGGCACGAAGGTGTTGCGCGCAAGCGTCACTCTCAAAATAATCGGGATTGCGTATGCTATGTACAGTCCAATCGTTGCTATCGACACCATTGCTTGGAACGCCACTATGCTCCCCAGTGACTGCCAATTTCATCTCATCAAATATAACAGCAATCCCAACACACAGAGAGACACAGAAAGAGAGAGGAGGACTTACGGTGAGGGCCATACAAAATGATATGAGAGCAGAGAGCCAAACCGCATTGATGGGGACCTCTCTGCGGTTCACTTTATGCCATAACGGGGACAATGGCATTGCTCCATCTCTCGAAAACGCGTAAGCCATCCTGATTAACCAAATAATATACATGCATATGAAAACAAGTCCTAAATGCAGAGAATGTTTCAACCAAGCATGAATATATATACCTGGAATTGCTGGTGACAGAGCTCATGCCGCAGAAAAACACAGCAACCGCAACAATGCCTAAGCACACGATTCCACCAGTACCGCTCCCAAACCTATTCTTGAAAGCTAAGTAGAAGATCTCAGCAATGGCATACCCACCAGAGTTGTTGGTCTCACTCAGAAGAGAAGGTATGTCTGTGACCGCATAGCTTATGCCCAATATGTAACCCCATCCAAACAGAATTGATATCCCAATTGCACTGATAATTCCTCTTGGCCCGTTCTTGTCTGCGTCGACCGTCTCCTCTGTCTGCAATTTTACTTTTTGTTCAATCATCAAGAAAAGCTAATCAATCATTAAAAACAGAATCCATTTGTTTTGTACACTCACCATGTGGGCAGAGGCATCATACCCTGTAATGGTGTACTGGCTCATGAGGAGCCCCAAAACGAATATGTAAGCGTAGCTGGTGATGCCGAGGCCATTATCAGTGTTGAAATTGGTGAAGACAAACTTAGTGGTGGCTCTTTCCGTAGAAACCAAAGGAATCAGAATCATGAGCACCAAAACCCCTGAATATAATATAAGAGATGCTTGATGATTGATTACTTGTGTTGTTGTGGAGACATGAAACACAGAGACAAAAGAGAATGGGTACCGAGGAGATTCCAGAGAGCAGCAAGCTGTCCAATGAAAGACAAGACGGAGATGGGGAGGCTGTTGAGAAGAGCATGGATGAAGAGGATCCCACCATGGATGCCAATCACAACAAAGTCTGATCCTTTATATCCACCGCCGTTTCGACCGCCGGTGGAGAGAAGGACGATCACCTGAATCAGCTGTGCGAGAGAGAAGTCAACGCTGGCCGTCACTGCCCACTGCAAACACACCACAACCTTACTTTTAGCCACCAAAGAGAGAGAGAGATATCTAATAAAAGTGAACAAGTCTGCTTGAAATTGAATGTTGGACCTGACCAACGATGTTGAACCTGAAAAAGAATTTGAAAATGAATCAGAGAGAGACGCTCTTGCTTCCATTTCCAAATCACAAATTCATGGAAAAAAGGAGTACCAGCCGGTCATCCAAGAGGCAAGAGGAGCCCAACGAGGGCCGGCGAGCATAGCACTCCAGTAGTAGAGACCGCCGGAGGTAGGGTAAGAGGAGCAGATCTCGGCCATCGATAAGCCAACACACATTGTGAAGGAGCCGGCCAGGAACCATCCGTAGACCAGAGTGACGGTGCCGCCGAACCTCAAGCCGGTGTTGTAGGTGGTGGTGATACCCGTGAGAACCGATATGATGGAGAAGGAGATGGCGAAATTGGAGAAGACCCTGAAATCTAACAATGTTTAGCTAACACAAATCGAAGAAGAAAAAAAAAGATAAAGGAAAGAGCGGAGACAGACGAGAGATCGCGCTTGAGCTCTTGCTTGTAGCCGAGCTCCTTGAGGCGGACTTGGCCGGAATCCATGGCGGGAACATAGAAGGATTGATCGCCGCCCATAGTCCTCTACTCCTCTCCTGGCCCTGGGAGTCCAAGCTTCGTCTCTCTCTCTCTCTCTGATTCAGATGAGATATTTATTTTTCTGTTATATTACTTTTTACATTACCCCTCCAAACTCTTGTCTTTTTTATTATTTTTTTTTATAAAATATATATGTATTTCAAGTAATAGAAAAACCGTTGAGTCTTTGACCATACTATTCTAGTTGACAATTTTCTTCATAAACATTTTCTCTTATAATTCGAAACCGACTAATTGGGACATGAATATAGTTTTAAACCATCAAATTTCATACACAAAAACAGAAATTTACTAAAGATTTTGTAAATTGTATTAAAATACAAAATCGTTTACAGGTCAGCAAATCAGTTATTTCTTTATTCGAAATCAATTCTTGGTCATAATATTACCATATGTATACTGATTATAAGGGCATATGCAAGGGTGCATCTTTGAAGTTTGATTTTAAAGGAGAAAAAATATTAAAATATTGTAAGAGTTTTAATTAAGATTTTTTGTAAAGTAAGTGATTATTGGTAGAACATGTTTAGATCATAGGAATTGATTTGAAATTGAAATAATGTAAGATCATTAGTTTACAATATAATTTTAAAAACTTTAAGAAATAACTTTTAAATTGCAAACTTAAAAAACTTATACTAAAATAGATTTGAAAATAAAAAGAAACACAAAATATAATATCAAATTTTTATGAAACAAAAAAGAACATTAAAGATATAAATAAAAAAACAAACAAACAAACATATTATTTAATTAAACCCTAGCATAGATTTCGGATCGAAGGAGAAATGAAATGTTTTTTTCCTTTGCAAAAATTCGTAGCCAATGATGAAGCGCCACGTCACGCTAAAACTGGGCCAAGAACAGTTCTACAACAAGAACAGATCTACAACAGATCTAACACTATTCACAATATTTTCTATTTTTAAAAGGCTAAGAACACCTAAGTGTTCTCCCTTTAAATATGGCCTAATATTTGAGACAAAACCATTATATATAAGTGGAAATTTGTGTTAAAGATGATTTTCTGATTATCAGTTTAGACCACAGACAGGTAAATACTGTGTTCACTAGACCCGTGTTAGTCTATTAGACGAGACTGGCGAATGTCCAGAAAAAACACCAATTTCATGCGTTCCAACTGGTAGGAGCGGCTTCTAAAAGACAAGCCTACCATGAGATTGATTTCACGAGACATTTTTACTTCCTTATTCGAGTCTCGAGATTTTAAGGCCTCGGATCCATCAACATTTTCAAACATATATATATAATCTGCTCAATTGTATGTTATATTTTATCAAATAAAATTGTATCTACTAAAAATGGGCAAAAGCAAAATAAAGATGAAGAGTGGATTTACAAATGTGTAAGGGCACAAGTAGAGGTTTGAATACACATATATATGTAGCTACACCATCCACAATCTCACGACGACGGCCAAAATGAAAAACCAAATAATGAATCAAATAATAAAAGACAAGGATCATCTGGGAGCCGTGGAAGTGCCTGATTCCATGTTTTCGAGAGAAGTTGAATCCATCTGCAGAGACATTGCCCTCAAGGCATCTCCGTTTTGGGAGGAGGTCATAGGGACTCCTCGTTCTTGGGCTGCCTTGAAATAGGCGTAGGGACCCCATCCCTCTTCGTGGTAAGGGTTGGGGTAGAACTGACGGTAGCAGAAGGCGGCGACAAGGATGCCGATGAGAGCTCCAGCGAAGACGTCTTGCCAGTGGTGCCAGTAGTCATCCACACGAGATATCCCCACGAGGCAAGCGGCAAGCAGAGGGAAGATCACGAGGCAGAGCTTAGCCACGTGTCCTTCACCGTTGAAGGCCTTGATTTTGCCAGAGAGGTAAAGGGAGAGGAAGGTAAGCCCCGCAAAGGACCAGGAAGTGTGTCCGCTCGGGAAGCTCTTGTGGCCTTCCTTGATCTCAGCTGCCTTGCCATGGCATATCACACCTCCCAACGCATCAAACAGCTCTTTGCCGTCGGGAAAGCAGCGCCAGTAGAAGTTAGGACGAGGGCGTCCAGTGGCTACCTTGATGGAGTCAGTGATGACACCAGTTATCAATACGGAGAAGAGCAGACCGAGGATGCTGTGGTGCAGATCGTACACACATCTCCTCTTAAGGTAGAAGCAGACGAACAGTATGATGGGAAGAAGCACCGCGTACACCGGGACAGACCAGACAGGGACGGTGTTGTCCTTGAAAGGGTACTTGAGGTCCGTCATCATGTCCTTCCCCACGTATCGGTAGAAAGGAGAGATGAGGTTCAAGCCAATCTCGATGGCAATCAAGATGACGAGTATAATCCAATCGTGCTTGTGTTTAGAGGCGACTCTGCCTCCATGGGTCTTTATAGTGTGAACTCCAAGATCTATCTCCTGAATCCTTCCCTGGTCCTGCCAAAAACACAAACAATCATCAGAATCAACTAAAACTTTTTCTTATCGGATCCAAACAAACAATTCATAAATATACTACTTGGGGTTTAGGGTTTGACATGTCCGGTAAGGATGATAGTAATAACGGAATGCAATTCATTCTCCGGGATGAGCAAATTGGTTAAGGCAAGTAGAGGTTAACAAAGAACTTTGTCAAAGCCCACGACAAGACTTGCTCTACGGATCCAGCCACTTTTTCGTCTGTCCGATTCGTTGTGCTAAGCACACCACTGTTTCATTAACAATGTTTTCGTTGACTCTATTTAACTAAACAAGTTGGGGTTTTTTTTCACTTTATTTTCAATTTAAGGATTTTTTATTTTATTTTAAAAAGGAAGTAGAACAGAGAAGAGTCGATTGGGGATACCTGAGAATTGCGCCAGAATAAGAGAGAAGAGAAAAACGATCCAATTGTCATCAGGAAGGATTAAGCTTCTCGAAATATATATAGAGAGATGAGAGAGCGACGATGCTTAAAGAAATGTGGATCTCGAAACTTATGAGTAAAACAGAGGATTTCTGGACTGATAAGTAGTCCGATGATGAATGACTATGGAAATAATATAAGAGGAACAATGGAGGAGGAAGAAGACGCGTTGTTAAACTTGCAAGTTTTTTATTTTGTTTTGTTTCCCCACTTGACGGTTTGATAGAAGAAGAAAACAGAGCGAGAGAGAGACAGGATCAACCTCCTCTGCCTCTCGATTTTTTTTGACTTTTTGACTTTTCAGTTATCGCCGGTCTGATATTGCCTTCTTCTTCTCAGCCGCGTGGGTCCCACTTTTTAGGAAGGTTCGGAGATCCAAGCCCGTCGGTATATATCTATCTCTGTGGGCTTTTTTACTTATTAGGCCCTCCTTATTATGGGCCTTCTTCCTTGTAATTATTTACGTGTCACATGATCCAGTTTTCAAACTAATGTACATGGGGGAATAATGATTTCTTTTTTGGGCTTACTAATATGTTGTACACACATTTCATTTGAATCACTCAGGAGTTTCGAAGCCATCCCAATAACATTTTCTTCACACGCACTGGAGAATTGAGAATCGTTCACAAATTCATCACCAAAGGGAAAATTATTCAGATTTAACGCAAACTCCACCATTCTCTCCTTTTTAATGATATCACATTTATTTATCGGATGTGAATCTGCTGATTTTTAAGATGTATGCATCTTAACATTAAACCAAAAAGAAAAAGAAAAAAAAAGATGTATGCGAGTATAAAATCAGATTTCGAATATATTATAAGATACCCAAGTTAATAATCCTTTTTTTTTTTTGACAAACAAAAAAAGTGAAGAATCTAAAATTTAGGTAAAAATAGGAAAGAATCCAAAATTGGATCTCATTGACGAAGAAAGTAGAAACTACTGTTTGTGGGTTTCAGATAGAAGATGAAGTAAGTACATAATGAGAGGTCAAAAAAGTTACAAGTCTGTCTGGTTTTATTTTGGAGTACATGGCAACTTGCTCCGACGTGAGAGATGCTTGAGGACTCATAATCTTTCTTTCTTTTGTTTTATATTTTTGGTATCAAAATTTCTATAAAAAATGACTTGGACTTTCAAATTATCTTGTTCCTATAGACTGACAATTACGGTTGAACAAGAACAAGAGTTTTATGGAGCACGCAATTAGACCGAGAACAACCTTAATCTTCTCATATTCTTTGCATCTTTTACCAACCAATAATAATCTTTACTTTAAAACTTGATGCAGATATGAGTTACAAAAAAAAATTTGTGGACTATTATTATTGTGTATGGGTGGAATTATACGTTACTGAGTAAAAGGGTTAGTGGATCCAGTTTGGTGGTGGGCTTAAAAACTTGGAAACATCATTTTTCCTCACAAATACTACACTTTTACAGATGTGATATGTGATTTATTTGGCTATGCATTTGCACTCACCACACCCAAAAAAAATTTTGGTAGGCGAAAAAGCAAGAATATATAAATCCTCTGTTTTTTAAATGGCATAACGGTTTAAGGTTTTTGTTTGGATAAACTTATAATTTTAAAGTTGAAAGGTAAAAGAAGAAAAAAACAGAAGGCAAGGGAGAGAGAGGTCAATATCTCGAAGGTTTTGACGACATCACGGCCTCCGAAAAACTTACCTAAAAACCTGCAAGTAAAAAGGAATTAATACTTAAGTAGTGGTACTAGTAGCAATGGTTTTCTTTTGTTGTGAGCTAAAGTTTTCTTGCTTAGCTGTTGTTTATCCCACCTCTTAACTGGAGTCTGGACCCACCTTTTCTTTTACTTTCTTTGGTTTCCGTCATCCTAAGAGCATGATGATTATAGGTAGTCTCTTAGAAATACCTCTTAGCAATATTTAAGTAATTTTTTTGTAAAAAGTGAGTGTTAAGAGATAGTATTTTTGAGTTAAGATTTTTGTGTGATTAGTGGTAGGCTCTTAACATGCGGTTCTTAGAAAAAAAAATATAGATATTTGGTTTGGTTTTGGTTTTGTAGATATTTGGTTTATGTGTTTTGGTTTTGTGGATATTTGGTTTATGTGTTTTGGTTTTGAATGCAAGTCTTGGATATATGTTTTGGTTTTGTATGCACGTCATGGTTTTGGCTACTATACAAGAAGTTTAAGTGCTATACAATCCGACAATGTGCTATACAAAACGTTTCTATACAAAAAGTTTAAGTCATAACATATACAAAAAAAAAAAATGTTATTGGCACTGTCTAGTGGTCTGGGATTATTGTCTACCCTTTCATCATCATCTTCCTTTCCATCATTTAAATCTAAAGGGAACACAATCCTTTCCGTTGCATCAGGATTCTTCTTGAAGATTAAACCCATGAGCTTCACAAAAACAAAACTAAATCTCACATTCCTTTAAGAAACTCCATTACTTCTCCCTCTATCTTCTTCTACCATCAACTTTCAAAATCTAGCTAATTTCCCTAAAATTAAGATGTACAGTAAGAAAAAGCAAGATTTAATTTGCATCAAACGGTATCAGCTTCAACAGATTCCAAATTCCAAATTTGTAGCCAACCTATATAATTCCATTGCAGAAACCAATCTTAAGAACTTGGTCATCAGTTATTCTTTCACTACATATTCATCAAGATCACCTTAGCTTAGAATAGCAGACGAACAAGGTCGTTGCAACCAAACCAGCAGCTCCAACTGATCCAACAGTAACCAAGGGCCACTGAAACTCTGCTTCCAAGGAACCCTTTTGGTCACTACCATTTGTGTCTCTTGACTCCATTACTAGGCTTCATGGTTCTCTCATTCAACCCAAAAACAGTCTTATTACCTTCATCAACCTTCTTCAGCAACTCGTCCTTCTTCAACTCCATCTCCTTCTCTCTCTTTTGAGTTTCACTCAAAGCTTCCTCCGTGAGCTTCTTCTCAGATTTGCATGAGTCATGACTATCAGAAAACCAAGACATCATACTGAAACTAATTAAGTTCATATTCACAGAGAATAAGAGTAAAACGAAAATCAATATATCCAATAAATCAATATACCCTAAATTTCCCAAATCTATGAACCCTAATTTCAAAACACTCAAATACCAATCAAATTACATCAATTAGTATTTCTAGAATGAGATTCCTACTATGAGAAAGAGAAATCTTACGGATTTTGTCAGATTTCTTGAAGAAAACTCGGAGAATTTCATAAATGACTCTCCGATTTAAAAACCTTCCTTCGCCGATTAGATGAACCAGAGGCGCCGTGGAGAGCCGCCGTCGGTTGAGATGATGAAGATGCCATCCTCCGATTCACCAGCTGTAACAATCAACGGCGGAGACGAAGATTTGAAGGCATTTTCTCTTCGATTTTTGCCGTCGGAAAGAGAGAGAGAAAACGCAAGAAAGAAATACGGGCAACAAAATTTTTATTTTCTTTTGTTTTACACCTACAGCCACGTGTCTCACCTCTTAGCTTAAACAACGTTCCTTAGCTAAGAAACGTTTGTTAGCTTTAACTCTGATTTATCATTTAATTTAAATCAATATTGTTGTTAAGATTTGGCTAAGAAACGCCCGTTAATCATGCTCTAAATGGTCGAAATTAAGACCTCTTCGTATACTCACCAAAGTTAAACGACGTTTTCCTATGAACAATCCACATAATACATCAGCGTCAAGAGCGAGAGAGTGGATAGATAGCATCTTATCAATTATGCAACTCTGCTTTCAGATATTCGTAGGTACAATGATCGAGTGTAATGGCACCTATTTTTTCCACTTTGGTAGAAGTTTTTTTTTTTTCCCAAATGTTTTGTTGAATTAATGAAATGGATAAGTCCTTTTACTTTCCATCTAATTGACATGATGTATTTTATGTGGTGGACCCTCCAATAACTAGTTCTGTATCACCGTATCTGTACCTGTAATAATATCTCATCATATTCCTTTGGATATCTACCATTTTTGGAATTTCCAACCTCCCATCTTTGTCAAAAAACAACCTCTTTTGGATGCATTTATCGTTACTTTGTATGAAATTAATGAAAACGTTAGTTTTTGAAGTGGACGTTACTTACTTTTCTCAATTTATGCTTATTATATATTTATTTTTAAAAATGTCGTAATCTCCTACACACAACGAATTTATATAATCGGTCAGCCATGTACAATATATTGTCATAGCTAGAGAGTTGACCCGGTGGGAAAATTGAAAAAAATGAAAAATTAATAAAAATTAAAGTTTGACTAAAACTGAAAAAGAAGATAATGCATTGCATGGGATGGAATAAAAAGAAGTTTTTAAGAAAAAAGTACACTCGATCGGTAATGTAATTAATGGAGTTGGTTTGTAACTAATATAGTTAAGGTTTTGTATTACTTGCAAGATTTGTTTTCCCTGGACTTATTTCTTAATTAATCAACCTACACCACCCACCCACCAACTTTTATTTCAATAATATGAAACTATAATCTATGTTTTGATAGTTCGACTTATTGTTTTCTATATTGAAAAAATTTATCCACAAGCTATCTTGTGACATGATCTTATCATCCTCGTATATATATTTTAAAAATCAGATATCATCATCATTTTTCATCTTTTAGTTCAAAATGAAATCGTTCTTTCTGCGGGTGCATAAATAAAAAAAGGTATAAATGATTAGAATGGTGGGGAGTAAAGTGCAAAAGATTAACTTTTAGTATTAGTAAGGTAATTATCAATAGACTTTGCAAATTGTAACAAAATGCCTGCATGAGCGCCGCCTGGAGCTTTGACGACCAGTTCTTTGACTCCAAAACGCGTGAATACTGTGTGGGCTTTTTACTCTTTCTCGTTTTGATGTCACAACATAGTGTGTTAGCTCATAGGAGAATTATAACCGGTTGATCCACGTAATTTGTTTGTTTAATCATATGTTTCAACCTCGTCGTAGTGATGATGAAAAGAGGTCGAATCCTATGCACACCACCACCAATATTTGACTAGCTATTAGCTAGTTCTTCATATTTGTGACAGTTTATTTGGCAGAAACCGTCATTATATTATATTATATTACTAATTAAAAATGTTTTTTTTTGGTGTAAAAAAAAAACCTAATTAAAAATGTTTGAAAGCTTTCGATTGAGCTATCTGAAAATCAATGTGGATGATTGTTCAGAATTATCATTGCAACTCAGTGTAGTCTGTCTTTCTTTTTCTGATAATTAATATCTTAACTTTGTGAAGACATAAAGCAAACGTTGAAAGATTTTTGGGTTAACTAAAGATTTAGTGTCCTAGTTAATCATTAATTACCAGTTATGCTCGTCACAATTTTTTTTTGAAAAATAAAAATATATTGAGTTTGTTAGTAATCAGAAAAGAATCCCCACTAATAATAGTAATATTATGAATATTATTAAATAGAACGTAAAGTTTGGGGGTTTACTATAAAAGTCATGAAAGGTATATTCCTTTTGTACTACTAAATATGATTATGTCTCCGTTTTACAGCCGAACCACGAGAGCCGTTAGATGCAATCTGAATCGTAAACAAGGAGGAATATAACGGACAGGATCGTAGTGGGAGGATGATACAGACCACAGAGGATTCTTCTTTGGCAGAGTCCAGGGTGGAGCCAATCAATTAGTCGAAGGAAGGCCTGCTGTCAAATAATGTGACCTTCCCACAGCTTCTTTTGATTCCTTATTAACAACTTTGATTAGTAACGCTTAATTACAATCTCACCTTTTTACTAAACCAATTGTGACAAATTATCGAATCAGCTTTTCAAAATCATCACTTTGCTTTAGGCAACTCTATTCATCTTATTCCTTCCTAAATTGTTAATTAAAGTGATTTGAATAGGTAATAATCTCGTGCATTTGTTGCTAATTTGCTATGTGTCAAAATATACTTGTTTTGGGGTTATTCACCATTTTCATGTGACCTTCTTGTATGTTTTACAACGGTTGATTTGTTTTTTTTTTGGATCAAACTTATAAACTAATTTAGAAAAGACAGTTACACTTTACGAAGGGAAAAATTGGAAACAAGCAAAAGAACAGATTTAGCAAGTGCATCTGATTTGAAATTGTTTAAACGAGAAAAATATATAGGAGAAGGAATTCTTTAGACAAGAACGTCAAAGATATCAATTATCTTTCGTTTATTCCTATTCAATTTTTTGATTGGGATCCAATCCATCAAATCGCTTAATCACATATGTTTTGTTAAAATTTCCGACCCTTTATGAAGAGGATTTATTATGTTCGTAAAACCGCATTTTTAAGTTTATTGAAACATTGTAGATTTGTAGTGAGCCTTATATAACATATTGATTATGCTTAAAATGAAACTCTCTCTTCCCATTCTTCTCTCCAATATCTCAAATTTTTAACATAACTTGAGCATCACATAGGCCTTGTTCTTATAATAGTCGTGCGATCCTCACTAGCGACATGTTTGAAAAAATTGAGTTTTGTAATTTTTTGATATCTTGTAATTATGAGTATCTTTAAGAGTGTAACTGTAAAATTAAAAATTTCTAATTAAAAATTACTTCTTAAGTTGGAGAAGAAGATATGAATATACAGATTAGTAAATCTTTGATTATGGCAATTTGATTTTAGAAATCCAGTGACAGTCGCTGCTTTAAAATGAAGGATTGGGTTGTATCGTCGTTTTATCCGGCAATTATGGATTCTCAAGATTTTAGTCGCTGCGATATAGATTAGGAAAGATGAAGAAGAGATAAAAGAGATGTAAAAGCAACTTTTAGATCGACTCACTCCCGAAAAGACTATAGTCTTTGAAAGGATAAACCTTTTTTCCGTTAAACTCCTAGTCAACTAGTTATCTTGTGTTTTCGACGTAAATAATATGTATTATGATAAATCAATCATATTTTTTAATTATATAAAGTATGGTTTTCAAAGTTAGTAATTCATAAGATTGTGCCACATATCAATTTTATCGATACTAGAGGATAATCCGGGCTACGCCCGGAAACATAAATCTGACATTTGATATTTTTTGTGTTATAAAATAATCAACTTGTGTTATCAATTTGTCATTAAAAACCAACGTGATTATTTTTTCCTTGGTTGGAAACATAAGTCGCACGGTCTTGCCAGTGGTTACTATCTTGCCGGTGGTGGTAGATACCCCCATCAACATGATTACTCATTGGCCAATCACGTTAGGTGTATTCTCATATTTCAATAAATCATAAACATGGAACTAAACATAAGCTAGACTAAATAAACATTAGTTGAGAGTAATAATATGGCAGAAATTAGGAGCACTTTGTTTTTCAAGATAAAATTCAAAAATCATGGAAAGTAAATTATTTGAGATTACATATAATCTTGGTCGACGAATGTTCTGTACCGATGTATTATGCTTTATGTTAATTAACATTATCAGAGATCAAGTAGGTAATTTATGAAATAAGTATATAAAATAAAACTGAGAAAAGAAAGATAGGAAAATAAATGACCAATTCTCTTTCACACTTTGAGTTAAGGTTAACTGATCGGCTTATCATATCATTAGTCAAAAATGATAGCTCTTACTAACAACTTCGTTTCACCTATATAGATCATTAAAAAATCGGCCATCTCATTCATGAAACTGTGAAAACTCCAAAGTTTATTTAGAAGCAAACTGCAAACTTAATGATTTCAAATAATAGTCTGAAACATTTTATAACAGAGTACCTCATACTTGACAGTGATGTAAGTTAATCCCACTATCACTTTATTATATATTTTCCTAACAGCTTGAGAAGATGAGAGATGACAAAACTCGACATTGATAAACCTGGATAGAAGTTGAAATATGACCGGTTCCAAATAACGTAACAGTTAGAGAGATATGAGCTTCTTTATATCTATTCATTACATTATTTTGAAATTTTTATAACAAACATAAAATACAATCTACTTCTTCACATGATTGTGATCTAAACACAATATATTAATCATAGAAATTTGGAAGAAAAAAAGAGAGGAACTTGCTAAACATCAACAACAACCAAGGAAAACCCATAGTGGAAAAAGATAGATACCACTAAGACTAATAGCTTGTGAAGTTCAAAAACCACAAGTAATCTAAATAATCGAGCATGCTTATGGTCATATTCCAAACTGGATGTTTGGTCAAGTTTTTACCAATTCGTAAGGATTACAATTTAAGAAAAAAAATCATAAGATCACTTTTATAATCTAGGAGAGATCCTTGTAACAGGGAAGCGTGTAGTATACCTGTTGTGGCTTGTACTGGTCACCAAATTGATTCTGCAGATTGATAAGCATTATACTATCAATCTTTGTCTCAACATTTGCTTGTCAACGATCTTAGTCAAAAAGAAAAACCCAAAAAGCAGAATTGTTACCTCTGTTCTGTTCTTTATTTTGTTCCTGAGATAGAGAAACACGTCTGAAATTTAACCTATAAACTTTGATGTGTTTGTAGAGATCATTAGGAAGCCTAATTTATATTGAATTCTATTTGTTGTGATGAAATTTGGAAGACGAAAGGGTAATCTGAAGAGAAAGAGAGACGAAGAGGTGAAGACGCTTCATAAACCTAATTTTTTTTCCTCTTTACTTGCAACTATTGGATCTTAAAATATTAAGCTGACGTGGCAATCTGAGGTTAAAGTTTGAAATGCTGATGTGGATGGCCTAAGAGGCCTCAATTAGCATCTTTTATTAGTAAGAGATTAGATTTTAACACGTGAAAACAAACATTTACTTTTATTAATTTTAAGACTACAAAAAGTAATTCTAATAAATTATAAAATTATAAAATATAAAAAGATAATTATAAGAAACTGCAGAATTTTAAAAATGTAAATAAGATAATTATAAAACCAAAGTTAGTAACTCATAAGATTGTACCACATGTTAATTTTATCGATCTTAGATTTTGACACGTGTAAAATAAAAAGAACTTTTTCTAAGTTTAAAAAAAAAAGAGAAGTGTAAGAATTTATAAATTTAATTTTTTTTTAAAAGTGTAAAAGGTAATTGTAGGAAACTAAACAATTTTAAAAATGTAAGGTAAAACTAACGTTTGAGATAACGTCACATAGAAAAACTATACTTTTAACAATGTTTGTTTTCCAATATTTTTTTTTTTAGATTTCTACTTTTTATTAGTTATGTTTTGATATTGTTAATCATTTTTAATATTAACTCAGATATATATTTGGTTTATATTTTTAATATATTATATTTATATCTAATATCCGTTTATTTAGGCGGGTTTTATCTAATATGTATAAAAGTGTAGCTTATAATTAAACTTTTCGAATGTCAGGTTATATTTGTGTTGATTTTTTGGAAATAATTATAATTAATGTATTATCTGTGTATCATGAATTGACTGACAATCATAAGAAATCACTCTAACAATAATAAAATTTTATTTTATTTAATAAAACATACATATTTGATAATGTGATTAACACCGTAAGATATATTATTTTTTTTCGCGAAACTTTAATCTGATTTTCTATTAAAATATCATATATTAAAAAAAAAAAAATTGGGCTGAAAGAGAAAGGAATTTAACCATAATTGGGTAAATAGTAAAGTACATACCAAAAATTAGATTAAGAGGAAAAATAAAAAAGAAGAGAAAAAAGGAAAAACAGCTGTAGTCTACATTTACATACAAGTCGTGGACTAGCAGCTATACTCTTTCTCTCTCTAAATATCAAATTCCCCAATTTTTTTTTTGTTTTAATTTTTCCCAATTTAATTTCGAGTCTGCGAATGGAACCACCGCCTTCTTCTCTTTCCTCCACCGCGGTGGCTTCCTCCTCAATCCCCGCCGCTACGGCCCCTGTTCCTCCTCCTCCACCTCCTCACGTGACTTCTTCTTACCCCGAATCTCTCGACTCTTCCCCTCGTTCTCGCACCACCGATGGCTGGGATGACCTTCCTGCTCCTTCCGGCGGCGGTGGAAGCGCCGTCTCTTCTAAACTCCGTCTTATGTGCAGCTACGGCGGTCATATCCTTCCTCGCCCTCACGATAAGTCTCTCTGCTACATGGGCGGCGACACTCGCATCGTCGTCGTCGATCGCAACTCCTCTCTCCCTTCTCTCCTCGCTCGTCTCTCCAACACGCTTCTCGACGGTCGCTCCTTCACCCTCAAGTACCAGTTACCCAGCGAAGACCTTGACTCTCTCATCTCCGTCACTACCGACGAAGATCTCGACAACATGATCGAGGAGTATGACCGTACCATCTCCGCTTCCAATTCCACCAAACCCTCGCGCCTCCGTTTGTTTCTCTTCACCTCCAAGCCTGAGGCTACTCAGTCTATGGGTCAGATCCTCGAGAGCTCTGCCAAGAGCGACGATTGGTTCCTCAACGCTCTCAACAGCGCTGGTCTCCTCAATCGCGGATTCTCTGATTCCGATGCCAACGTCAATCGTTTGCTTGGTTTGGACGATACTCTTGCTCTCCGCTCTAATTCCGGTGACAACAACACCAATCGAGATGGAGATGATGGCTCCGTTAAAAGCGCCAAGCAACAACAGATCCAGCAGCCTCCGCCGCCGCAAGGAGGCCAAGATGTGAACTGCTTACCGGATTCTCCCATGTTGGATACATCCTCTTCTTTCGGCTCTACTTCTTCCTCTCCCTCTCTCGCCAATTTGCCTCCGATTCGTGTCCATGTAGAGGAACCCGGCGGGGTTAGGACTTTGCCAGATCAGAGAAATCTGGGAATCGAAGAACAATTCGCACGATTCAACGTTGGGAACAAGCATCAGCTACAGGACGACGGATTTGCTGCGATCTCTTCACCACCGCCGATGCCTGTCACAATCGCCCTTCCTGCTGCGCCTGTGAGTGCTGCGACCGTCTCAAATGAGTTCCAGGCGAGGGTTTTCTCGGACGACGAGAGATCCGATCACGGCGTGACGGCTGGATACAGAAAACCTCCGACTCCGCGATCGCAGCCGCAGAATCTACCGCCTCAGCAGGCTCATCAGCTGAAGTCAAATAGCGGTGGACACGAGCTGCCATCACCAAATTCCGTTTCCAGGTACTCTTTCTTCTTAAATTGGAACTCCATGAGCCTTAATTTGATGCTATAGAGAACTAAGATTGGTCAGAATTCTGATTTGTGTTTGTTATAATACCTCAGTGATAGCAGTATGAGCAACCCAATGTTTCACCAAAGACCTTCTGTCTATCAAGAACCAACTGCTCAGATGCCCTCTGGCTCTACCGTAGTTACTGGTATGATCAATCCCTCGGATCCCAGCACACTTTTGTCCCAACATCAGAATCAGGACCCAGCCTACATCCTTCACCCCCAATTTGAGCAACAATCTGCACAATCTCAGCCACAACAGCAGCAACAGTTCATACACACTGCTCCTCCTCCTCCTCAATACATTCATCACCATCCGTCTAGCGGCCTTCCTGTTCAGACTTACATCCAGGTTTACCCTTCGCAACAGCCGCAGTCCTTCCACCAACACCCAGGTCGACTGGATCAGCAGCCTTATCCTGTTTATTATGTCACTGCTCCCGTCCCACCTAGGCCCTACAGTATGCCCGTGCCACAATCTCCAAGTGTGAGCGAGGCTCCAGGTTCACTCCCTTCTAGCCATCCCAACTCTACCATGATGCCTCCACCTCCTAACAACCACATGAGAAGTGTTAGCGGTGGCAAACCTGAGATGGGACAGGCTGGGGTTTACACAACAGCCCCAGGTGTGGGCGGTGCTCAGATGGTTCACCAGATCCCAACAAACCAGCAGCAATTCATGGGGTATTCGCAGATCCGTCACCCTCCTCAGTCTGGTTCAGCTGGGAATCCAAACTATGGATATGAATACGCCGACAATGCTCATACACAGATATACTACACTCAACCTCTGGGACATGCACAGTACCAGACAATGACAGGGCCTCCACCTGCCATGGTGATGCCTGATGGCTCTGCTGCTGCTAAGCTTCCAGCTGAGAACATGACTCAACAGATCCGGAGTTCACAGCCATTGTGACACACAAGGAACACAGGAAGATGAACCACAAAATTTTGGAAGAAGCCACGGGTTGGTTTTTAAACATATAAATATATAAGTTACTTTTTTCTCTTCTTTTACAAGTTGCTGCATCAAAAAAAGAGTCTGGCGTCATGTTGGTTTGGTATTATGGATTATGTTTAAAAGTGTTGTGTGAGTAAATTAAATAGACAAATAAGGAAGTAGTGCTTCTTGGTGGGGTTTAACATTACATAGTTGCAATTGATACTGGTGGTGCTTTACCATTTTCGTGGATCTTATATCTTATTATTATCATTCATTTTATATTGTAAATGAATCACTCCTTGATCATCTCTCTATCTTGTTTTACTACTTGTTAAAAAGAGACTTGAAAGGCTCTAATATTTTGTTTAGAAAGATTCTGAAATGTTGTGTCAAAACATTTAACATTTGGAAGAATATATGTCTGGCTTCTTCCTATCCATGGGAGCATAGGTACAGATATTAAATCATGTGTGTGGTCTTGCTAAAGTACACACAACCCTACAACTTCTCAGAGACAAGGTGTGGGTGAAAAAGGTAGTGACAAAAACCACCTGTCTTGCAATTTAGCAACATAACTATCTCTTTTGAAAGAGAGAGCATTTGTATCTTTACCTAAACACCAAACTCAATCCTTTATCTCTCTCTCTATCCATACGTTCGATTCAAGATATTTTACTAGTCTCTCAGAAGCAACACAGAGCCTCCCACCTTAAATCGAGTTGCCAATAGTCTCAAATATATTTCTGACAGAGTTCACTGAGTTGAGATGTGATTTTTGTGCATCAGAAGCATTGGCTGGCCTGGTTGGTTTACAAAATCTGAACCAAATCTCTCTGTGGTCAGCTCCCCATCCCTTGCTTCAAACCAACTGGATCTTAATGGGTTTTTCTTGTCTTCTGTCTCTTTCCTGTCTGCAATTCTGTCTTTTTTTCTTTAACTCTTCTGACACTCTTTTAGCATCAGCTTCATGCTATAAATCTTTATCAATGAGCTCTCTTTTTCTCATCCCACTTTCCCTTCTCTGCATCTGTAGACGTAAAGAAGCATCAATGGACCCAAACACAACTGCAGACTTCTTCCAAGGGTCTTCCAAGTTTCATACATATTACTCGCAGACTAAGAAGGGTGGTGGCGTAATCGATCTAGGCCTCAGCCTTAGCACCATACAACATGAAACTTACCTCCCACCGGCACGAAGTGAGTTTCTTTGCTGAAGAATAGCCATGCTTTCACCTCACCATTAGTTAGTTTTCTTGATCCTCAATAGCTATCTTCAATATCTATATGTGAATCAAAGTGATAGGTCTCGACGGGTATGGAGAGCTCATAGACTGGTCGCAGCAGCCCAGCTATAGCAGCATTACACAGTTGAAGAGTGAGGACACTGGTCACAAAAGACTTGCCCATGGATATTACAATAATGAAGAAGAGAGCAGAGGAAAATATGCTTATGTAAAGGTAAATCTGGATGGCCTAGTGGTAGGGCGAAAGGTTTGCCTTCTCGATCAAGGAGCTTACTCAACTCTTGCTCTTCAGCTCAATGATATGTTTGGTAAGCCGTGTTCTTACCCCAAGCTTCCAGCTACAAGTATGTTTCAGAAGCTTTTGCCACATTAATTTGAATTTGCAGGGATGCAGACCGTGTCTGGATTGAGGTTGTTTCAGACTGAGTCTGAGTTCTCTTTGGTCTACAGAGACAGAGAAGGTATTTGGAGGAATGTTGGGGATGTTCCATGGAAGTAAGCTCTTGCACTTTCTCTATACAAAAACTAGCCTTTTAAGTATACCACTTTTGTAATTTGCCTGAAACTTGATAGGGAGTTTGTGGAAAGGGTGGATCGGATGCGAATCGCAAGAAGAAACGATGCTCTTTTTCCCTTTTAAGCTTTTAAGTCCAAGCTTCTCCTCTTCTGGGGCTTTCACTGTTTACCTAAGATCCAAACTATCTCACTTGTGGTTCTAATATTCAATATCTGATGTAACGGGAGCTTTAAGCTATAAATAAGATTATGAAGAGAGGGACATCTTGTTGAACAAAAAAAAGAAGAGAGGGACATCTTAATAACCAACCACCAACAAGACTTGGACAAATAAAAGAACAAAATAAAACAAAACAAACGGTAACCAGATTAGAGTCATCAGGCTTATGCTCCAAATTCTTGCAGCTTCATCTTTTAAAACAAGCTTTATGTGCAATCTCTAGATGTCTCAATCGCCGGCCACTGGTAATCTGTCAAGAGTATCAGAAACGTGCCTCATGGTAGGCCTTTTCTCTGGACTGCTATTCACGCAACTGATTGCAATCTTAAGAACAGCGACAATCTCGTCTTCCTTATCTGCTTCAGGAGCCAAACAAGGATCAAGAACATCACACAATGGTTTCTTCTCCTCAATGCATACCTGTACCCACCGCACTAGATCCATTTCTGATGTCCCCACCTCCACTGCCGGAGACCTACCTGCTATCAATTCCAGTAAAATGATCCCATAAGAGTAAACATCCCACTTCTGTGATGGTTTTACCATCTTGAGAGTCTCAGGTGCTTGATAGTAGGATCCAGACGAAGAATGAGCAGTGAACTCCGAAGATACGCTCTTGTGATGGTGCTGTTGCCTCTCTTGCGGCTGTTGATCCGTTTGGATGATTCTGTTAGACTGTATGGTCGGAGAAGATCCTCCAGCAATGTTAGCCAACCGTGCTAGTCCAAAATCAGAGATCTTAGGTTCCATGTCCTGTCCAATAAGAATGTTGCTGGGCTTGAGATCTCCATGGACGTATTTCTTGGGACTAAACTCGTGCAGATAAACAAGCCCTGTCGCAATCCCTTTCACTATCCTCAGCCTTTCGGACCATGTCAACGGAGCGACAGTCACCATTCCCGGCTTCCCTGCACACACACACACACACACATTTACAATATCTTTACATGATGTAATTGAATGATGCATCTTGAAATGAGAAAAGGGTGACTTACCGTGGAGGGCGGTTGCGAGGTTACCGTTGGGAACATAGTCGTAGATGAGAAGCTTCTCATCCACAGACCAATAATAAGCTCGAAGACTAGCAATGTTAGGATGTCTTATTTTCCCTATGGCTTCAACTTCTGTCTGAAATTCCTTGAATCTCTGAGATCCTCCTTCACCCAATCTCCGGACGGCCAGTGTGAGCCCGTTCTCGAGAACCACTTTGTACACAATGCCGATTCCGCTCTTGCCCAGAACGAAAGCTGACGCCTTTAGCAGCTCCTCGAGGTTAAACGCAACCTGAGCGTCGAGAGCAACAATGTCGCAATGCTCCACGTTTTCAGATGGCGTTTCGGATTCGTCTTTACGGAAACAAAGACACTCTGCAGCCCTTTTCTTGGATTCTTTCTCGAATCCGAACTGGTTCTCGCGGTTACAAGCGCAGAACTTTGAGTAGCAGTAAGTGAAAAGCAAACCCACGAGGCAGATACCAAAAACGTCGCATAGAACAATGGCAATGACGGCGCTTTTGCTCAAACCACTTGATTTCTGTTTGGTTTCAGAGTTACTAGTATCAGAATCCTCAGGTGGGTTGTTGCTTGGGATAAAAGGGTAAGAGGCATTGAGGCCAAGTTGATATCCTGGGCAAAGGTCCTTCAATGGCGGGCCGCATAGCCCAGTGTTGCCGATAAACGCCGTTGGTCCTCTGTTCATCAGAGCACCGGTTTGAGGAATGGGACCGGAGAGATTGTTGAAAGTGAGATCAATGTAAACCTTTTCAGGAAGATCTCCCAGAGCAGGTGGGATTGAGCCGGTGAAGTGATTATGAGAGAAATCAGCAGTTCCTTGAAGGTTGGAGAGGTTTCCGATGTCGCTGGGGATGGAGCCGTTGAATTGGTTGAAGGCGAGGTCGAGTTTCTCGAGAGAGACGAACGCTGAGCCAAACCCATCAGGCAAAGCACCAGACAAGTTGTTTCTGCTGACATCGAGTGTTCTCAGTCTGTTGCATTGCAGAATCGAAAGCGGTAACGACCCGTTGAAGAGATTCTGCGACAAATCTAAGGTCTGAAGAAGCTTAAGCTTACCGATTTCGTCCGACAACGACCCATCAAAGGAATTGCCGTAAAGGACTAGACTTTGGAGACCCTGAAGCTGGAAAAGCTGAATAGGCAACGACCCATAAAACCTATTGCTGCGGAGATTCAAGTGACGGAGACTGGAGAGAAACCCTAGAGACGAAGGAAGAGAACCGTAAAGGCTCTTCCTTGGAATGCTTAGAGACACCACCCTGAGTTCTTTGCAAGTAACACCATTCCACGAACAGGCGTCCTCGTCTGATGAGTTCCAATTGCTAAGGGAACCAGTAGGATCATCGTGAACGCTCTGCTTAAACGTCAAGAGCGCGAAGCCTTCGTCGTTTAAGCCACTTGTTAGAGTCACATTGCAGAGAAGTGCAACGAAGATGATCAGCGAGGCAAACATTTTCAGATGAAAATTAGAACAAAAAGATGAGTGTTTTAGCAAAAAAGCAAGAGGAGTGTGAGTGTGATGGTGATGGAGTGAAGAGTAAAGGTGTAAAAGAATAAAAAGATACTCTCTCGTCGAAGAAAAAGGAGGAAGAAAGAATACAAAAGGTAGAGAGAGAGAGCTCTGTTTTTGCATTGGGAGAAGAGAATTAACAAAAAAAGCAATGACCCAAGTTTTGTTAAAAAAGAGAAGCCATGGCGAAGTAATCCATACGCTAATTTGACCACTAATCCATTTTTAACTAATTAACATGTCTGTCATTTATAAGCTTTTCTGACCAAAACTATCGTAATCTCTTATCTTATGTAAAAAATGTTACAAATTCAGAAGCTTTATTCAAATAGTTACATCTTTTAAATACCTTTTTGTCATGATTGTTGTTTTATACTGAAAAGTAATATATTGGGGTCCTTTGATTGATCTGTCAATTGTCAATGTAGGTAACATTTACAGTGTTTGTCCTTTTCTATTCATCTATCTTCTCAAAATATATGACTAGTAACATTTTTAATACATAGATGATGTTGCTGCAGCACGAAACTCCATGTAATACCAACTGATACAGATTACTAGACATACTCTTAAATACACTTAAACAGTACTACTATATATATGCATTGATTGGTCAAGAGTAATTCAAGAAAAATAAAGGGAAAATTCCCAAAAAAAACCTCAATTATTTTTTATTTGGACGTTTAATACCCAATTGTTTTCGGTTGGAAGAAAAATACACATATTAATAAAACTGTGCAATTTAATATCCAAACAATTAAATGTTGTTATTTTCATACTCACGATCTCACAACAAAAATAAAATTCCAATTTTACCCTTACTATCTCAATTAATTATTAACTTTTAGATTACGTGACAATAGTTTTTTATTTAAATAAAAATTAATTTTATTAATATTTCATTTCTTTGTTATCCCAAAAAAATTTTAAAAAAATTTCAAAATAATTTGCAGTTTATTTTACAAATATTTAATTTTTAAAAATTAAAAATAAAATTAATTAGCAAAAAATTTAGAAAAAGTAAAAAAAAAAAATTAGCCATTTTTATGAATTGATAAATCTTGAGAGAGACGATGAGATTCAGATTGAGATTTTGTCGAAAATAGTTTCATTCGTGAAGGATTTATATTCGAATAGAGAGTTTCTCACGACGAAGAAAAAGTTCATATTGATGCTCGTTGATATCATATGCATCACGACGAATCAAATGAAATTAGTTTTATTGGCGATGAAGATTTTGGATAGGATTAAAAGGAAATTGTGAACGGTTATCGAATTTGATGGTTGCAAAAGAGGACGATGGAGATTGTTTACCGGTAATTCTCGTAGATATTAATCGAAAAAATTAGAATCGAAGAGGAAACGTCTCTTTGACATTGCAAAGACGGAATAAGATTGTACAAATGACTATTTTTAATATTTTTGATTTTAAGCTAATTTTTATGTTTAATTTTAAAATAAAATAATTATATAAAATTAAAATTTATTTTTTAGGCAACATAAAATAAAACATTAACAAAATTAATTTTTATTTAAATAAAAAAATAATACCACATTATTTAAAAGTTAATAATTAATTGAGATGGTAAGGGTAAAATTGGAATATTTTTTTTGTTGTGAGTTCGTGAGTATGAAAATAACAATATTTAATTGTTTGCGTATTAAATCGCACAGTTTTATTAGTATGTATATTTTTCTTCCAACCGAAAACAATTGGGTATTAAACGTCCAAATAAAAAATACATCAGGTTTTTTTTGGGAATTTTCCCGAAAAATAAACCATTCAAATGAACATTTTTGTATTCTTAAAATCAGCATTTTGGGAGAGATCTAAACAAAACAGTGGAGATTTTAAGATAAAGAGAGTTTGATATTACTAGAGAAAGGCGTCTTAAGATACCACTAGGCTCCTACTTTCTTTATTCGTCTAGGCTTCTTTTACAGTACCAACCAATTGAGAATAAAATCACAGCTCATCTTACTTATATTTACTTTGAATTAGTACCTTGGTACAATATATTTTTACCAAGAATAAGATTCATATAGCAAGAGTTTTATATTTTCATGAAGAAAGAAATGAATGGTTAACGATTAAACTGATCAATAGTTTGGTTGGTTTTGATTAGTTAAAGGGTAAAATGAGAGGACATGTGTACAAAGTTTTGTCCGGCCCTTATTGTCGTTATGGTGATACGATAAAATTGTCGATAAGTAGACTTGGTGAAGTGTGATGTTTCCTAGTTTCTTAGTAATTGTATAGAGAGCCCCAAAAACCCAGAGAGAGTGGGCCTGTTATCTCCTCACGGACGGACTAACGGCGACGACTCCGAGGGAGCGCGGGGGGCAAAGAGTAATAAATAAACATTTCGGGGTTTTAGCGTAATATACAACTATTTTGGGGGCACAGATTGTAAATACCGAATTCTACAGTGGGGGCGGCTAATTTCCGGGACGATTGATCGATCATCATCAATGGGAGGAGACGAGAGAGAGCGAGAGAAACAATGGGAGAGGCTGCGATCCGTACCATCGTCGAAGCCATTCACTCATCTCCGACGCAGGCCGTCGTCTATCTTTCCGGCGGTGCCTCTCTGGTTTCACTCTCTCTCTCTCTTTCTTTGTGATTGATTCATATGCGATTCACAGTCTCAATTTATACTAGATGAATTCTCTCAGGCTTTAGGTTGGTTGATGTCGGTTCCTGGAGCTTCCAACACGCTTCTCGAAGCCGTGGTTCCTTATTCCAGAGTTTCTATGGTTCAATTACTCGGCAGGGTTTGTTCATAACCCTCAAGCAATCGTTGTTTCTCTCTCTCGATTATCAATCAGCTGATTTTGTTCGCTCTCTCATCAGGTTCCGAGCCAACACTGTAGCCAAGGAATGGCCAAGGAGATGGCCTTGTTAGCCTACAATCGGGCGCTTAAGCTCTCTAAACCAGGTTTACTTCACACTTGCTCTCTTTCTTCACATCACCATCCTTGTTAGCAAGAAATCCTGGAATATAATCACGTGGTTTGCTCTATAACTTCCTTAATCTGGTTGATAGGATATCCGGTTCTTGGTATCGGTTTTACGGGATCATTGGCAACTTCTCGTCCTAAGCGTGGGGATCACAGGTTTTGCAGTTTTGTTTCCTGCTCTTTTATAATAAACATGTTTGCTTGAAATGACAGCTATCACGATAAGTTGTAGTCCAAACAACCATAGCAAGGGATTTTGATGTTCTACCATGGCTGCTTATGCTTTCTATTCATCATAGTATTGTTTGTTGCGCGAGAGTAGGTTCTTTTTGTCTATGAGAGCATCCAACCGGATTTGGGAATCTTCAGTCACTCTAACTAAGGTCATTGCAACCTTCTTTCTCCCATATTGCTTTACTCTTTAGTATCAACTACTCATGTGTTTTATCTTATTGCGGAATATTTTTAGAACTTACGGAGCCGAGAAGAAGAAGATAAGGTGTCAAGTTGTGCACTGATCCAGGTGTGTTACAAAGCTAATTACAACCTAGTATCTGCCTAGGACATTGCTGTCTGATTTTCCTTTCTCTAGTAGTTTTAAAGGAAAAAAGAAAACTGCCAAATTAGTTCAGTTAGTGGTATTACAAACAAGTGCCTGTTGACGTTTCTCTTTCGGAATTCTGTAGTTCTTAGACTATATATTCTTCTGGGTCAGTTTTTATCCATATTTCTCCAAAAGCATTGTTGTCTGAGGTTCATCGTGGACTGAGATCTTAAAACCTTTCTGGTCATTATCTTAGGCTATGGCCAAAGCATGCCAAGTTTCTGGGACACTTGACTCTGGCTTGACCGAGTCTGAGGTGCCTTATGAGTCTGAAACCCACTTTACTGAAGAACAAGAACTAGAGCAGCTTATAAATGGGCACTTGACCTGTAAGATTTATCCATTTTCTGGGGGTAAGATTTTGGTCATTTGTCCTAATGAAACTTAGAATTTTTTTTTTTTTAAACTTAATCTGGCATTTGTTGCCATTAATGATGTAGTTCTAACTTTGTGGCAGAAGCACATGGGTCTGATGAATATAGAAAGATTATACTTCCTGGCTCTTTTAACCCATTACATGAAGGTCATCTCGAGCTATTAGAAGTTGCTCTGAGGTAAGCTAGTATATCTTTATTATTGGCTTAACGAGTACCTGTTTTTCTTTCAGGTGAACATGTTTATAAAAAAAAAACCGTGGTTAACGTTAATCATTGTGTATAACCTGAGTCTTCTGTGTGTCTATTATTGTCTTTGACCCTTTGCTGTCTCTCTGTTTCTTAGTTAAATCTGATATGCTATATTATGATAAGTAGTAATTGATAATTTCTTCGTCGTACCCACATGTTGTGACTGTATGAATTGATTCCGTTGTTGGAATTTGGAGAGGCCTCTGGCATTTTGATAACTGTCCTTTTTCTCTGCAAAATAAAATTTAAACAATCTCACAAGCAGATTTGTTTATGCAGGGTTTGTGGGGGCGGGTACCCATGTTTTGAAATATCCGCAATAAATGCCGACAAACCACCGCTTTCAGTTGCACAGATTAAAGATCGTGTCAAGCAATTTGAAGCAGTTGGTAGGCGGGATCTTTATTTTTCACCCACTATCTATTTATCCTTTCAGTCTTGTGCACCACTTTTTTGGCATCTCTAAGTTACAACAATCTTATCATCCATTTGTTTCCAACTAGAGGAATCAATATTGTGATCCAGATTCGAGCTAAAAAAGTTTCCAATGCATTTTTTTTTGTCTATATGCTTGTGCCATCATTTGATATTGGTTTAGTATTCGGTTGGCAGGAAAGACAATTATAGTTTCAAATCAGCCATACTTCTACAAGAAAGCTGAACTCTTCCCAGGAAGCAGTTTTGTAATTGGCGCTGACACTGCAGCGAGGCTTGTCGATGTATGTAAATACTGAACCGTTCCCTGATCCTCTTGTTTTTTTTTTCCTTAACTCTACAGTTAGATTTATTATTTATATACTACACTGTTGCGGTCAGCGACCTGAAACTTAGTAAGAAGTTTGAAGTGCTCTATGGTCTTCCAATTCCACACTATCAAAGAAGATTAAGAAACTGAATTTCTTGCAGCTAAAGTACTATGAAGGAAGCTACAAAAGGATGTTGGAGATACTTGGTGATTGCAAACGGACAGGTTGCACTTTCCTTGTTGGTGGCCGGAATGTAGATGGTGTATTTAAGGTTTGACCTAAGCACTAGAATCTAGAGCAATACAAATTTACTCCCTTTGAGAGTTGTCTATGAGATTGTATGCTTAATGCCTTATCCTTGCTCCTCTGCAGGTTCTTGAAGATCTTGATATTCCGGAGGAAATCATCGACATGTTTATCTCAATTCCAGCAGATAAATTCAGGATGGATATATCCTCTACAGAGATAAGAAAAAACCAAGGGGGTGTTTCATAATACACAAATTAACTACTTTTCGATCCACATGAATGTCTAGGCTCGCAAGACAATTTCTTTAGTGCAGTTGCTTTTTGATATGATATTGTATTGTTCCATTCTATTTGTTATTATGGAATGCTTACATATTGTACAAACAAGCTGCATCATCTTGGAAAAGGGTTTTTTTCTTTGTTCTTGCCATGCTTGTGAAAAAATAAGAACCAACTTTCTTAGCTTGGTTTTATTCTTTTTCTGGCACCATAACTTGTTGCAGTTGCCTCAAGCTTTCACTATCCAACCCAAGCTTGATTTCTCAAAAGAACAAGATAGAAATCAATCAAGAACTCAGTTATGCAGGTAAACCGGATCTTGGTGTGATTACCGCTGTTTACAGGGAATGGGAAAGATGTATTTCCCTTGAGGTAATGATCTCGATTGCTTTTCCATTGCTGAGTATAACAATCGCATACTTGTGTTAGTTCTCCGTGAATGATAGATGCTTAGCAAAACAAATTCTTATTCTGAAAACTCAAACCAATTTGATTGTTGCTCTTAAATATCTAGTTTTTCATTGCAGTATATACGCCTCAGTGTATATACTGCAATGGTGGCGGAAGGAGGTGAAACGTCTCTATGTTGCGGATTTTGGGTCAGGTCGTGTGGACATAATGAATCCGGATCAATGGTATGAGCATTTGCACAGAAGAGGGATGAGATCGAAAGAGCATTGCAGAGTTGCCTGGGAAGAGTTTAAAGAGTGTGCGAATGTTTGTGAATTGTGACAGAGAAGCCTTGTTAGATATTTACCACTCATTATAGTACAAGCTGATAGTGATTAGAATCTGTAAGCATATTATCCAGGGTTCTGCCTATAATTAGGGTTAGTGCGCAAACCTTGTAATATATCCGAATGATAAATAAATGTGATGCGATCATTGACAATGTATGCATGAATATCCGTCACAGGTTTCCGCAAATGTAACATCTTAAAACTTCGTATGCGATCAAAACTAATGGATATTCATGCATACATTATGCTCCAGTTCTTCATTTTTGTCATTGGGTTTTTTCAGCATATGTGGGCCAATAATCATATGGAAACTAATTGCTTTGTAGCCCAATGGGCAGTATAAAAGTCAGCCCAAAAGTGGCTGTCCAAAATGCGAGACGCAAGTCTCTTACCCACTCTCAGAATGAGCGCGTCAACGCCACCTCCCCGAAATCCCTGGACTAACACATGCAGAAATTGCTGTTTTTCGTAAATTTTTACAAATTGGCGCGTGAGGATCATGTTTAGTTTGTGGCAAAAAACAAAGCAAATCCGCTTTGACCAAATTTTCGAGGGAGCTTTATCATATTAATAAGTTAAGTATAGGATAAGAAAAGAAGTATTGAAATAAATTTAATTAATAGATTGTGTATCAAGCATATATCTTTTTTGTTTTCTATTTTTTGTTGTGATTACATTTTAATAAAAATTAGCAATTAAAATTAAATTAAAATAATAAAGAATTAAACAATTTTCTAATAATATTTTTTTTTCGTTTTTAGATTCTTAATTAATTTTCAAGTAATAAAGACAATAAATAAAGAAAATCATAAATAAAAAAATAAAGTTAAAGAAATGAATAAAACATACATTATACTTCATAATAATTCGATTATTAGAGGATAAATTTTGATATTCCAATAGTTAGTGGCGGAAAATCTTCTAAATATCTTATGAATCCTTATAAATACCTTAAAACTTTATAAATAATTTACAAAACCTTATAAAATGATGAATTTTGGTATATTTTTTTTAGTAAGAAAAATTTCTATAAAAATAATTGATCTCAAGATTTAGAATGAAATAAAAATCTAAAAAATCAAAGTAACGAATCAGAAAAAGACACATGGCTAATATCACTCTTTATTTTTGCCTCACACGCTTGACAATTTTTGGTTGGACACTAAAAACTCCACATCGTTTCAACACCCTAATTCAACAACCTCATTAAACCTATTCAACTTTGAATAAAAATGTTAAACATCTCCATTATAGAAGGTCTAATAACCTCTATACGAAATGTTGATGACGTGAATAGAAAAAGACGGTTTGGACAAGATCAACTAACATCATCGAAAGCATTGTTAAAATCTCTTTACAAGAGGCTTTATCGAGAACGTAAGAAAAGTAGAAAACATCACGTAAAACCCAATATTCTTTTAACTCTAAGCCATAGAAGAATTAAGAAAGAATCCTATAAAATAATTTTAAATTTAATGAAGATAAATCAACAGAGTCTATGAATCTATTCTAACTCTCAACGAATTCCACAAATTTTAGACGGAAAAGTAATTGTAATATTTTCGAATTCTCAAGGCATAATGACAGACCGAGAACCTCGACTAAAAAGAATTGACAAAAGAATTTTGTGTTATATATAGTACTATTTCTAATATAAAAATTGGATATATGGAACTTACGATTTTTGATAATAAGGTGAAATTAACATTAACATGGTAAGGGACTTATGTCTATCAAACATATGAAATACCACTGATTTTTTTTTTGTAAGAAAATCTTCATTCAACTAATTTTAAATAAGTCATATTTTTCTTAGACTAATATGAGGTTATAGTTAAAGTTGCTAGTAAAAACCAAAATAACTAATTCTAGTATGTATGAAGGGTCTTAGTAAAATATGTTTTTTATACATATGTTTCTAAAGTAGGTCCCTAGATATCAATTTTATTTTTTTTAAGGAAATAGGGAAAGATAATTAGTTCCAATTATAATTTTTTAAAATCAATTTGAAATCATCACTCATAAGTGGAATCAGGGTCGGTCATGAAAAATATGGGGCCCAAGAAAAATTAGAAAAATAATTAGAATTATTTTAAATAATCTTAGGATTAATTGAACAATCTTAGGATTATTTTTTACTTTTTTTAAATAATTAGAAAAAGTTAATATATGTATATAACTCTATCTATCTTCAGTGAAAATATATACTCTCTTTGTTTCAAAATATTTAGGATGGTTTCAAAATATAATATGTGGGCCTAAAGTCATATGGAAACTAAGTGCAATGGATGGTATAAAATTCGGCCCAAAAGCGAAGCGCGTGGTTTGTCGAACTGCGACATGCAAGTATTTTACCCACTCGCAGAATGAGCGCGTATTCGCCACCTCCTCGAAATCCGTGGACTAACCCATGCAGAAATTGCCGTTTTTCCCTAAAATTAGGCATGACCAAAAGCTAACCGTAACCGTATTTCGGACCGTAACCGGACCGTTTTTCAACCGTAACCGAACCGTAACCGTATAAAACGGTTAATAACCGTAACCGTTAACCGTAAAAATAGATTAGTTACGGTTAAAAAATATACTAACCGTAACCGTTAATTAACCGTAAACGTATCAAAACCGTTAGTTAACCGTACGGTTAACCGCACGGTTAACCGCATAGTTAACCGTGCAGTTAAAACCTAAAATACATAATTATTTTACTAAAACAGTGCCTTAAATGGTTCAATGCGCCCACTACTAAATTTAAACCACTCCACTCGTCCACTACTTATTTTCCACAAATCAAATCATAAATAATTCACAAGTTATTATTTTTACTTTTGTAATCGTTTCTTAATTCTCATAACATCCTTTCTATAGTATTGTTTGGAATAAGTATCGTCAATAAAACAATAATCATAATCACATATATTATATATTGTAAAATAAATATTATTTGATATATCATCATTAAAATTTTTATTCTAAAGGTTAAAATACCTAAGCTTTTGTATTTGATATTAACCGTATTGTAATAATTATATAACTGTAACCGTATTTAACCGTAACCGTTGTAACCGTAACCGTATTTAACCGTAACCGTTTTAACCGTATATATAACGGTTAAGGTTACGGTTAGATAAATTTTATAACCGTAACCGGGGGTTAATAAACCGTAACCGCAATAACCGTAACCGTGGTCATGCCTACCTAAAATGTAAAAAGCGGGCGCGTGAGGGTCATTTTAGGTTGAGACAAGAGTAGAAAAAAAAAACTGCTTTGACCAAATTTGTGAGGGAGCTTTATCTTTGTTATATTATTGCCAGGGTTGTCTGATTGTCTCCCTCGAACTATATACTGAATGTTATAGCCTTGTTCATTTTGCCTTTTCCTATTTTTTTAGGTTGGTACTTTTTACAATCCAGTAAGGAAGGGGGAATCAAACTCAGTCAAATCAATGTAAGATCTGCATACATCTGATTCTTTACCTATCCCAATTCTATTCATGGAAGATATATATATAGTTCCTGAAATAGAAGTAGCAGTCCATAGAAAGAATCAAAGAACTTGCTCCTTAATTATATTTATTTAGTCTCCAAGAACTCCCAAAGTTTTATTATTCTGTTTCAGATAAACGTCACCCTTACATGTGACAAATTAGTATATGTTTTCATCCTTTATACTCGGTTTTTTACTATTAGGAATGTGATAATAGCATATATAGAGGTGAGGTTGGCTTTCATTCCGGTCATGAACTACTCCACCTTGGGGGCCCTAGGAATTTTAGAGACAACTTTGGTTTTGAATACTTCAAGTAACTTGTCCTTCTCTTCTGATACCTTCCCCATGAAACTGTCAATGACCTCTTGAAATTGCTGGTACAAAATCGGAATCGTCATCGAGCAGACTAAGCCTGGAAGTGTGTGGTTATAGTAGTTATTAGCAACGAAAAATATAAGGAGATAACAAATCAGTTATATGTGGTCTTACATATATACAAAATTGTGAGGAGGCTGATGTAGCTCCCAATGATGTATATGATGGTCACATAAAGGATGGTCTGCCACATGTAGTTTATAAATGAATCTTTAAAATTGTATGGAAACTAGCTAGAAAGTTGTGTTAGGTATCGAGTAGTGAAGATATATTCACCTTAAGAAAGGTTTTGTTGTCTTTCCCATATGCAATCTCATACAGCATTAGGAGATGGCCCTCCATCTTTAAGAACAAGGCTTTAAGTGGGGAATCTGGTTGATTTAGCTCTTCTAGAGTGGGAGGTCTCCTGTGTAATTAAGATCACAGAATTGGTGAGACGTTAAGTAAGCTGGCTCTACCTACTGTTATACTCCTCGGAAATTGTAAAGACGTGAGTATTTGGAAGGTACCGAGTGAAAAAGATTTCTCCGAACTTGGCCCAAAGGAAGAGGAGGAGCATAAGGAGTAACAAGATTGAGCAGAAAAGCGGAACAAATCGAGCCTCCATGATCTCCAAGAGGAACCAGAATAGTGTGGCCATTACAAGTGTGATCCCCGAGTTTATCTTGTCCTTCCACTGACGACAGAGATCTGCCACTTCAACAACAACATTCCCAATTGGTTAATCGTAAGGTAAAGCCGGTTGATTAGTCTCTTCTTTGATTAGATCATCTTGTTTCCTCTAGAAGAATGTCAGGTCTTTATCATATTTTACTAATTAGTGAAAGAATTGTGCATGCATGGATTCATATTCATAAAGTATTAGTAAGTAGAGGATCGAAGAAAGAGTTTCTTTCTATAAGAAAATGATAATTGTAGATTATGATGTCACCTACCTGCTCCATCGCCAAGTATTTGATCCACAAGAGACATTTTGGTTGTGTTGTGATAATTCCTTAATTCTTAAAGGAGACCTGCTTCAATCTCCATAGACCATACTCAATCGGGATTTTATAAGTAAAATAAATCATAATTTAATCTCTCTTGTCTGCTTTTTTTTTTTTTGGCATGCCTTTTAGTCTTAATTAACTCTTAATTAAACAATAATTATGGTAGTTAGCCTTTGATATCCCAATGGCCATGTTCACAGAGATGATGATACATGTTCTATTTATTCATGCAACATATTCATTTTCTTTTGTAACAAAAGATTATCTTCTATACCACTATTAGTCTATTATTAATACGCGTTGATTTATTTAACATTTCCATGCAAAATTATTATAACATTTGTTGATATTTAGCTAGATCCGGTTTTCTAATTTTTATATATATATATAGTTTTTAGTATATAGAAATATATTACCTTTTAATTTTATTTCTTTCCATTTTAATTTAAATTATACAATAAATTTTCTATAAATTAATAATGTTGGGAACGAGAAATTATATTAATTTATAGAGTTAGTAATTTATAGAGTTATTAATTTATAGAAAGATTTTACTAATTTTGTAATTTCTTAACAAAATATATCTTAAAAGTAGGTTTTTTTTTTTATAATCAATATCTTTCTAAAACCGATTACAAACAGAAAATCAATTTTTAAGTTTAAAAAAAAAACACAAAATTTTTTAGAGATTGGAAAAATATTAGAATTGAATTCTACTAAAAAAGAATACAAATTTAAGAAAACCAAACCATACTAGAACCATATTTCTCTAATTTTTTAATATAAATATTAAGATATACAGTAAAACCACTATAAATTAATACTCGATAAATTAATAATCTCTATAAATTAATAAATTGTTCCGGTCCTTGAGTTGGGACTAGTTTAAATATGACAGTAATCGATTGGAAATAAATATAATAACTTTTTTTGAAAATTCTATGTAAACATATGGTCCCATCAATATCATAAATTAACAATTGTATAAATTTATTAATATATATATATATATTATATGTAAATTAGTGAAATGTGACTTTAGTATTGTTTGTTTTTCTTAAATTTGTATTAATTCTTGTAGAGTTCAATTCTAATATTTTTACTACATCTAAAAAAGTTTGTGTTATTTTCTAAACTTATAAAGGTTTTCTACTTGTAATTGATTTTAGAAAGATATTGATTATAGAAAAAAACTGATTTTCAGATATATATATATTTTTAATAAATTATAGTAAAATCTTTTTATTAATTTATCCATAAATTAATACCTTTATAAATTAATAGATTTTCTTAGTCCGAACATTATTAGAGATTTTACAGTATATAGATATTGATAAGTTTATACAATTATTAACTTATAATATTGATGGGGTCATATGTTTACATAAGATTTTCAAAAAAAAATATTATATTATTAGTTTATCGATTTGTGTTAATTTTTGCATTGGTCCCAACTCGGACCGGAAGAATTTATTAATTTATAAAAGTTATTAATTTATCGTGTATTAATTTATAGAGGTTTTACTGTACATCTCTATATATTTTCAAAAAATTGCATACAAAATTTCATGCTCATTCTTTGTTTCCAGTTCTTCATTTTGCTTCCTTTGACATGTTTATATAAGGTCATTGGATTAAGTTTTCATTAAGTAACCCAATGGGCCACAAATTAAGAATGTAACATCACATTGCTCCAATTTTAACCAGAATTCACAAGAATGCTTAGTTTTTCCACCACCGCGCTTATTACGTAAAAAACTGATCATTAATTTGTTTCAATAGTGGCAGAATTTATACATCAAACAACGAATTCGATAACAATATGAAGATGCCGATTATGAAACAGTTTCAGACAGCTAGAGAGATTTTGAAGTAAACTGTTTCTTAATAAACCCATTAAAGAGAAATGTAGAATTACTTGCAGAGTCCATAGCACAAATTAAGATCCAAAGAGAACAAAAGAGAAGATTCAAAATGTCTTTTAACTGAAGAAAGAAGATCAAAATCCAGGAGGAGGCATAGAATTGAAACACAGAGAAGTCTGACATTGAAAAATAAAACATCTAATTCATCCTCCTGACAAGCTCATTGATGAAGTTCTCACGGTTTCCAGCATCACCACCTTCCACGTAGTGATTTCTCTTCTTCTTGAGGCCACCGAGAGGTGCCTTGAGCTGGAATGGCCAAAGGAAGTTGTTAGCTTCCTTGAAATGAGGTCCTACTGTTAGAATCTCGTGGATCAAATCCTCAGTGCAGATGATCCCATGCTTTCCTAGAGCCTGTTTTAGTTTTTAGTATGGAAGAAGAAACCATGAGTATACATAACTTCATATCAGAATAAAAATTAAGAAGCTCGAGGCACAGAAGCAGATTTCAAACCTGCTCAACGATAGAGTTGTCAGTCAAAGCCACCCTCTGGTGGTTTAGCTTGCCATAACCTCTCTTGTAGATCAATTCCTTGACACTCTTCAAGTTAGGGTATCTGAAAAAAAAAAAAGGAAGAGAGAGGTCACTCCAAGATTAAAAGACTAGTAATCATGGCATTAGAGTTAAGGGTTTAGGATGAGAATGTATATATACCCGTAAGTGACATAGGGCTCAACACGGCGAAGCATGTTCATTGTAGCCTTGTTGACTTTAAGGAAAACACCATTGAAAATCTGCATTAGACCACGCCAAATTCCATAATCAATACCAAAAGAATCATTTCATATAGTTGTCTTTTGCCATGGAATGTGACACTATCAGAGCAGCTGATTATCAATAATTTTCATGTTTAGACAACAGATAAAGTCATTAACCTATGACTAATAAGATAGTATGAAACACACTATATAGCAGTTAGTGACAATCCTTCCAAAGACTCATCTACACAAACAATAGCTTAGACATATTAACAATAGCAACAAATAAGAAAGCATACAAACCTGTCTCAAACGCAAAAGCTGGAGAATCTTCTTGGTCTTAGGGTCAATGGCATTGATACTGCAAATTCAAGGAACAAAAGATAAGGACAACAACATAAATCTGTCTTTGGAAATGCTCTAAAACTCAGAAAAAAACAGGATTACATACCCACGGATACGGATGATGAACAAGAGCTTAGCTTCAGGGTCAACATAGAAACCTCCCTTAAGCTTGGCCTCGCGTTTCAACGAGATCAACTCCTTCTCCTGTGACCACAAACTTGAGTTTCTAAACAAGTGAACAGAGATCAACTTGAATTTGGAATTAAAAATGTTTACCTTCTCGGCATATTCCTTGGAGTATTGCTCGGCTCTTTTGAAGATAAGCTTCCTGTTCTCTGCGTTCTTCTTCTTCGCGGCTTCAGCGTTCTGCTTCTTCTCCAAAGCCCATTCCTCCTCTCTCTTCCTCTTCTTCAGCACCGACTCCGGAACTACAACCTTTGACTCAACCATTTCCGAATCCTGCAGATCTCAACCCAGATTCAATGATTATCTTCTCAAACACGAACGATAGATGATGAGTGAAAGAGAGAATCGACGACACTAACCTCTGTGAAGCTCTAATCGAACGCAATTTCTCAGAGGCGAAATATTCTGCGGCGATGACAGTTTATATATATGCTTCTCAAATTAGGTTAAGCAAGGAAGCTATGGGCCTCAGGAGCCCGTTATTATTTACAAAGCCCGTTTAATAAAAGCCCATCTTATTCGTGATCCAAATTGATTAAGCCCGTTTAATAACTCTTTATGGTAACCCTTTAACCTGACACTGGCATGCCATTTTACCTTTGTCAACTTTGTTAAATTTTCACATTGTACTGGACATTTTACCTTAGTTTGAACATTCCCATTTAGTACTCCAAAAGTTTCTATTGCACACAACATTGTATTGGTATACAACAATACAGTTAGCCCAGGGTTCACATACATTATCTGACCAAACAAAATTCGTTTATCTATATAACTTACAGATATAAAACTCAACTCTTTTTAAACCTGAATCTGACAACAACCCATATCAACAGTTTTTGAGTTTTTCTTTTTAAAACTCTCTCCAAGTGCCTCACAACTTCGTGTCATTTCCGTATGGAAACTTCCTTATAAAATCCTACTCAGCGACGGCAGAAGAAGAGGAAATCAGGGTGGTTGACATTACAAGAATGCAACCACTTGTCAGCGGCTTGGAAGAGAGAGTTCACGAGCTGGTGCTCGGAACCACCAATGGGTGTCCATAATGAACCTCTGAACTTGTATGAAGCAAGCCCAAACACAGGCAATGACATCTTTTCACTCTCCCTTGCCTGCATAAGGTTCATTGATTGTGCACTGCCTTTACCTACAACAGCCAAACGTTGTGAATACATCTATCTACCAAACAATTTGACTTCACACCAACTGTCTCTAACTCTTCTGGTGAACACACACCTAGTTATGTTGTCAAGGTGATTGTTAGTCAAATGATGCTACTCTAGCCACAGGTCACTAATAAATTGGAATATTTTGGATCTACTCAAGTATATTTTTCAAGGTTCGTATGGTTGGAAACATGGCTGATTAGATATAGTCCTACGCAATTTTCGTCTTGATAATTTTAACAGTGTAAACCTACAGCTTGTTGTTTTAATTGAATAAAACGGTTTTGTTTTACCTCCAGAAGGTGTGTGTAGGGAATGATACGTCAAGAAACAAGCATCCAGGTCCTTCAGTGTCGGTCCTGTAGGTATTCTGTAAATTGGGTACCTGCAATGTATAGCATAGCTTTTCAGAGACATGAACAACATAATGGCAGCAAGCAACTGCATCCAAGATACAAGCAAATACCATGCCACAGAAAACCAGCTTGACGGAAGTAAGTCACAGCTTTTCAGCGTCATCAGCTCGGGAAACTGAGCTGCGAGGTCAAAGACCTGTATTGCAACATAGGCAATAGTCAAGAGGAGGAGCCGAATATTAACAATAGACTCAAACCAGTTCCCATTTCTTGGCGAGTTTAGAATGTGGTCTAGTTTATTGACTAAAATAAATAAAAAAGAATGTGGTTTAGTTTAAGTTGACGATGACCAGTTCCTGAGCAGATTGAACATTTCTGATTAGTTGATAGCCAACAGTTGACTGAAATTATAGGGTTGGAAACAACCAACTGTTGTTTTTGAGCAATTAGTTTTTAAATTTGAAGTTACTTGGTAAGATAAATGATATAAAAGAGCATACGAGATGAATAATAATATCTGTCATCATCTTAGTTTTTGGGAATCCTCTAATGAGTATACTACCGCATGCTTTCGTAATTCTATATTGTGGGGTTCTAGTAGAGAAATGAAAGCACAAACCTTGTCGGCCAAAGGTTCACGGATGTATGGAAGGTCTCTTTCAAGATACTCAAACATCAAACGACCCTGAGAGCCTAAAGGCTCACCATCATCACTGGATGAATCTTCCTGATGTTGATCCCTCAATGAGATACGGTCTACTCTAGCAGAAACCCGCTCAGAATCACTATCGCTGCTGACATCGCTACTTGAATCCCGGAAATCACTGTCGCTACTATCACCTGGACGCCTGCCATAGGAAGGTGATATAAGAGCCAACATAATGAAAAACAGCTTGTTATGTTATTATAGTGCTGCTGATATGATGAGTCCAGAAAGAATAAGAGAACCTTGATTTAAGAGAAGACTTCAGGGTATGAGAATGAGCATAGATTTGAATGGCTGACAAAGAAGGGACATAGTATTGGATAACACGATCCTTATTGTTATTCAAAACAAGAGGCACTCCGGTGCCGTAAGCACTCCACTCCGCAAATGAGTCCCATATATCTCCAAGCACAAAGTAAGGCACAGGTTTATAATCATCATCGGCTCTTCTTTCCCGTAGCGATGTCTACACAGAGATTATCATCATCAACCATTTCGAGAATAACACAGACTAGATATACAGAAAAATGCCACAAAAAGAAAGAGAAATAGAAACCTTGGATAAAAACTGGGCGGGCACGGATGGTGTGACCGACTCTAAAAACCGATCTAGATTACTCGAAGACGAAGCGGACGGCTCAGAGGCAACAAGATTAGGAACGAGTTGTTGTTGTTTATGAGGAGAAGAATCGTTGTGGTTATTGTGTTTGGAAGGAGCTGATGATGGGCCGTTAGAGACGTCGCTCTGAGCTCTCCGGAGCTGATCGATGCGTTGATTGGTCCTGCGAGCTTTCGCCGAAGTGTAGAAAGGATCGTCGCCGTGTCGGCCTCTCGTTAACTGAAATCCAGCACCCAACATCTCCTTCTGATAAAAAAAAAAAAGGCTCCGAGTTCGTTCGTCGATCGATAAACACCAACAGTCCTCGTAGTTGATTTGACCTATCTATCTATCTATCTATCTATCTAAGTTCAATTTAGTTGATATTGCGAAAAAAATAAGCATGTGTCTGTCTCCGATGAGACGGCGAAGAAGCTTGGTCGAATCGGAGATTCCAAGAAAGGGGAAAAATGGATCCAATGAAGACAAATTGATAGAACAAAAAAGCCTCCTGATGATATCTAAGCTCCGATTAAACAGCCAAAAGATTAGTGGAAGAGGAAGATCCCAAGAAAGGAGAGATTCGCCGAAATGGAGAGAGATTTGGGAATTTCAAAAAAAGGGTCAATGAAGAGAGAAAGACGATTGGTTCGTAATTGGAGAGGGAGAGAGAGGAAGCCACTGAATAACAAAATAGTCCCTCATAGTTTTTGGTATTTACAATTGGTCCTTTACATTTGATGATTGATTACAGTTTTACCCGAAACTTTCTTTTGTAATTGGCCTGAAGTCATAAAGCAAATGTATACGGTTACTTAAACAAGTTAATCCCAAGGAAATGCAAAGTACTTTAAACTGCTCAGCTGCATAACGTAGATGGCGCGTAGGAATGATTTGGGGTTATGAATGTAACATTGTAAAATCTGATGAGAAATATGTGACTATGGGGAAAATAAAGGGGGGTAAACATTGGCAGAAGCCAAAGGCCATCCATATATATTAGGAGGCTCTTTAATTTAATGGTGGATACTCGATGTTTGCTTGCTATATAGATAGATGCTGACAAGATGATAAAATATATGCAGTGGCAAATATAAAAAAGAAAGGCTGTAAACATTTGGTCTTTCTTTTCTTTTTTTTTCTCATAGAAACTTCACAATGTTGAAGAATAAAACTCAACTAATACATGTGTACCTACTTCTTTCATCATTCATTGACATTTTGACAATAGCATAACATTAATATTCATCATTCTTATTCATTGGGGCTTGAATTATCCATTAGATTTTTTTATATTTAATAACACTTACATAAGATTATATGGAGTTTTGATAAGTGAAATGAATCAATTTTATTGTGCACGTGAATCTGCATTCTGCAATAGGCGGCTAGTTTTTTTATCAGCCACATAAGGAGTAGTAGTATTTTATTATTAGAAGATGTGCACATGACCAACACACATTACAGTGTTCTTTTTGCCTGGCTTCAAAGGTCCACAAATAATGGGTTTAATAATTTTTAAAAAAAAACAATTGTTGCATACTGTGGGGAATTCGACTATACTTTTTTTTTTCATCAGTGGGGAATTCGACTATACAGGAAGCATTTTGGAGGGGTATAAAGTTGGAATCTAAAATTAGCACTATGAAGTCTATGATTAGTGTTTGAATAAGGTGATCTTTGAAGGATAGCACAATTGGGCCCAAAGTGTGTCTGAATAGCCCATTATAAAACAGTAACGGAGTTCAAAGAGTGGGTAAGAGATGTGCGACGTCGTTCCAGAGCTTGTATATCAAAAATCTTCTTCATTTTCTCTCAAAGGAAGAGGAGGGAAGCTTTCGTTTCGTCTGTAGATCTTCTTCGCTTCCTCTCTCTCTTAAGAAGAAGAAGAAACGAAACTTTGAAATCTGAGAGGAGGGTTCGTATTTCAACAGGGCGCTTCGATTGGATTTGATGTCTTTGGTGCATCTGCTTTTGTTCGCCGGCCTTGTAATCGCCGCGTCTTCTTCTTCCCCGGGCTCGCGCTTGATTCTCCGGGAAATCGCCGATCAAAAAGACAAAGCTGTTGAATTGAACACTACCAACTTCGATTCAGTTCTTAAAGACACCCCCGCCAAGTATGCCGTCGTCGAATTTTTCGCTCACTGGTAAGTTCTTCAATTGCTTTTGTATTAAATCTCCACTTATGGTTGGTGGGTTTTGCATCTTTATCTACCTAATGTTTGGTGCTGGATCTAGCGTTGAATTCTCTTGCAAGTGTGTTCTTCTTATCGGAAAAGATTTTAACTTTATGATCCTATTCGTGTGCTTATTGCTACTACAAGTCTTTATATTTCCACAGTACTAGTTTGGGCATATACTGATATGTGTATCGTTTCACTTGATTCTAGGTGTCCTGCCTGTAGAAACTACAAGGTAACAAGTATTCAAAGCCTCATCTTTCATTATTCCACGCGTTTTACTCGGAAGATTTCCGTTGCCTAAATTGTTACTCTTCTGCAGCCTCATTACGAGAAGGTCGCAAGGCTCTTCAATGGACCAGATGCAATACATCCCGGAATCGTTTTGATGACTAGAGTTGATTGTGCTATGAAGGTACTTACTCTATGCTCCTAATTTATCTATCAGTGATGTTCAGTTGTGTTGGTTCACTGTTTCTGATGCTAAGTCGGTCCATTTAATGACTTCCCTGGCAGCGCAGACGAATACCAACCTCTGTGACAAGTTCTCTGTTTCTCACTATCCAATGCTCTTTTGGGGTCCTCCTATAAAGTTTGTCTCTGGCAGTTGGGAACCTAAAAAGGATAAAAGCGAGATACTTGTTATTGATGATGGCCGCACTGCTGAGCGTTTGCTCAACTGGATTAACAAGCAGATTGGCAGGTTTGTGCCACAGATACCAATCTTCAGCATTGGCTCGAAATATATCTAACATATTCAATCTATGTTCCATCTTTGAAGTGTATCTATAATTTTCCTTACCGAGTTTGCCAATATCACATCTTACTTACTCTGTTTTGTTTCTCAATATTTTGCAGTTCTTATGGCTTGGATGATCAGAAATTCGAAAACGAACATGCCCTGTCGAATATAACCGACTACAATCAGGTTTCAAGACTGATCTCTGCCTAACTTTACTGAGATTATTAGCGTTTCTTCTAAGATTAAACAGCTTTAAGATAACCGGGTGTTGATTTGCCACAGATTTCTCAGGCTGTGTATGACGTCGAGGAAGCAACCGCAGAAGCGTTTGATATCATTTTAGCACATAAGGTAGAGAGATGTGCATGGTTTTTTTTGTATGTATGTGACGTTCTTCCATTCGCTCAGTTTCGTTAATTTATACATAGTTTCATGACGTGTACAGGCCATTAAGTCATCTGAAACAAGTGCTTCATTTATAAGATTTATCCAGCTTCTAGCAGCACATCATCTTTCCAGGAGGTAAATTAAAGTCTCATTATCCTAATGCTGTCACAAGCATTCCGATGGTCACCCTCTTTTTCCACACTAATTGTGCAATTTATATTCTATAGGTGTCGGAAAGGAGCTGCAGAAATTCTAGTGAACTATGATGATTTATGCCCTTCTGGAAATTGCTCTTACGAAAAATCTGGAGGGAATGATACCCTGGGGAATTTCCCTATTTGTGGAAAGGATGTTCCGCGTGGATACTACGTGAGTGCTAGCAACCAACTCTATTACTGTTTTCCTGTATATCCACATTAGAGATCTGATTGTGCTAATATCATATTTGGTAGATGTTTTGCCGTGGCAGCAAGAACGATACTCGCGGATTCAGGTACTGTAGTTCCTTTTGAAACTTCATACCATGATACTTCAATTCAGTTTACTGAACTAATCCTTGAATGCTTGACTGTAGCTGTGGATTATGGGTTCTGATGCATTCACTTTCCGTGAGAATTGAGGATGGAGAAAGTCATTTTGCATTCACGGCAATATGCGACTTCGTCAACAACTTCTTCATGTGTGATGAATGCCGCCTGCATTTCAACGACATGTGCTTGAGGTAAAAAAAAAATAATAACTCACAGCTCGATTAATTGTGGTATGTGCTCAACTAAACCACATATGCATGCATTTCATGGACAGCGTCAAAACTCCTTTCAAAAAGGCACGTGATTTCGTATTGTGGGTGTGGAGCACACACAACAAGGTCAACGAGAGACTCATGAAGGACGAAGCTTCCCTTGGTACAGGTGACCCCAAATTCCCCAAGATCATATGGCCACCAAAAGAGCTTTGCCCATTGTGTTATCTCTCAAGTAACCAGAAAAGCATAGAGTGGGACCACGACCATGTCTACAAGTTCTTGAAGAACTACTATGGGCCTAAGCTCGTCTCCCTTTACAAGGAAAAGAGTGTCAGCGGGAGCAAGGAAGAGACCGTCGCAGCCACTGAAGACTTGACAGTGGCCACCAACGCTCTGGTTGTGCCGATTGGAGCAGCATTGGCAATAGCCATCGCCAGCTGTGCATTTGGGGCGCTTGCCTGTTACTGGAGGACACAGCAGAAGAACCGCAAGTATTACTTCCATCTATCTATTTAAATCTAGTGGTAGCTACCAACTCCTGTTTTCTTACCACTTGTGGCCATCTTTTCTTTTCAGGCCGAGGAGAAGGTGAAACTAAACTACAAGAAGCTCTTGATGTCATCATAACTTACAGACAACAAACACAAAGGCTCTTGTTTGGAGTTGAGATCCCAAAGTCGCTTCCTGCAGGTCCTTTCCTTGTAACTTTTGTCTCTGATTTGAAAGATAGTCCAGATTCTTCTCTTGAATTTTGGGATACACACACAGAGAGAGACTTGTGAATGTTGGGATCTTTTATAGGAATCTTTATAGTGGTTTATAATTTTGTATCTGACCATATGGTTAGAGTTGTTGTGTATGAATTCAAGACGAGTCTTTGTCTATCTGCATTGCATATCTGGGAAAACACTTGAGAAGAGAGCTTTCCTAATGAGATACTTTTTTTTTTGTTTCAATCTGTTAAATCAATCCAACATTTTACATGTATAAGCCAGAAATTATATTTACAGTGTCATTTGACTTTGTGTGTATGTGTGTGAAAGAAAAGAAGAGTGCTCATCGTACGCCTATAATGTAAGATTGTGTTTGAGGCAAGCGCCATGAATCTGTTTCTTCATCAGATGATGAATCATCAGAGTGAGAGGTGTCTAAGGTCTGAGAATGGCGGCGGCAGGTGGCGACTGCTTTGGTGACAACGTAGATGGGTAGCATGATTCCGAGTACTCTCAGAAATAACAACTGAAAACCAAAAATAACAATTAGGGTTCGTACATTCAAATTAGTCCCTTGAATCTGTTGTGAGATGATAATAATGCTCACCGTGAACAAAGGGAAGACATGGAGGTTTGATCCAGAGAGGACTAAGGGGAGGGTATGCCGGAGAATGAGAAGAGCCATGAACTGCAGATTACAAACACAAACATGAGTAAAGAGACATCATCAAAGTCTTGGTTTGGTGGGAAAAGAAAGGAGGATCCGTACGATGAGAACAAGGGAACGGCAACAGATGAAGCTTGTGGTGGAAGAAAGAGGATATTGTTGGTCGATGAAAGTTGAATCAGCAGGTACAACTGTGATGAAACGATGCTCCCGTTGAGAGATTCCCCAGTTTCCCCTGAAATGGAGAGGAACATGACCCAACTCTAGCAACGGAGGCGGCGCTGTATAATCCGGCTTGAATTCCTGAACAAAACATAATCAGATTTCATTCACAAGGAAAAGAGAAAGAGACAAGGAGAAGGAGAAGGAGACCTGATGGCAAATCTCGCAGGTTGTATCACCTTTCTCGTTACACCATCTCTGTACGCACCTCCGATGCGCAAACTGCCAAGTTCCAACAACAACAACATTGATCATATGATCAAACCAAACTGGGGAAAAATGAATGTTTGTAATTGTGTTTACCTTGACGCTGCCACTGCAAGAACAAGGAGTCTCCATGTTGGAATCCAAGTCCTCGTCGTGACAAATCCTGCACTGAGCCATTGACAAATCTCCGTTACGAAGCATCTCAAGTGTTTTCTCGTCCAAGATAGTACATTCCTCAACGGGTAAATTGGCTTGCAACATCTGGTTCCTGCTCTGAATCGCAGCCTCAATTGTGGATTCTGTTATCAACCGATCCACCAGCAGCACGAAATGATCTCCCATGTTCTCTCTTCTCACGGTATAGAAAGAAACTTGCTTGCAGCTGAAGAAATCCTTGTTTATTGGTACTATTATTCTTCCCCTATTAGCTGCGAAATGATAAATAATGGGTTGGGGTCAGCATTTGCATTCAATGCTTAGGAGATTCCATACGCAACATAAACATGTGAATTAGAAGCTGCGAGCGAATTAATGAAGAAAGAGTTTGAACATTGATGAGATGAAGCGACTTAAATAAGCAAAACAGTTTTGTGGATTAATTGAAAGAGCTATAATGGATGCATGGTGGTTTAGGTAAAAGCTGAACCAAACCTGGTTGGTTACCAGAACACATAAGCTGTACAAACTATTTATCTATTTATTTCTTTTCTTTTGATCAAGTTTATCGAAACCGTTAAGTCGAATTTTGCAACAAAATAAATAAAATGTCGCTAGAGAAAAAGGAAAAAAAAAAGAATTCTGAGAGTTAAATCTAGGAATCTGAATTTACCCGGATGAGGAAAAAAAATAAACGAGTTTTGAATGAATCAAGAATACACGGAGACAAATAATAGAAAGCGAAATTGACAAACAAAAGAAAGAGAAAACAGAGGAAGAATCGAGAGGCAGACCCAAAAGTTAGGAGAGGAGCAAAAGAGCTCTGTACCGTTTTCTTCTGCTTTTGTCGAAAAAGAAAAGAAAGAAGAAGAAGTGGAAAAGCGAAGAAAAAGGAGACTTAGAAGAAGAGAATCGTATTTAGTTTTTTCTGACGTTAACAAAAGCTTCCTTTCTTTCTCTCTGATTTCCGAATTATTCAGTCAGGTCATAAAGTTATGTGTGTTTAGAGATGAAGCAAAGAGATGGAGTAATAGATTCGAGAATCTTATGATTGTTTTTTTCACTTCATATACCAAAACAAAATATCATTTATCATTGGAGACGTATCCGTAGATGATATAGTAGTACATGTATGCATAACATATACGCATGGCCATTTCATTACTAATTAATATATGGTCAGAGAAAAATGCCTTTAACAAACAAATAAGATGAAATTGACAACAACAATCAATAGTATGTTATGGATGAAAGAAAGAAAATAGAGTAAATAATATTCAAAAAAGCTAAGACTTAAGAGAGTGATTCACAAAAACCACCAAATTTTGTTGGATTATTGCATGACACGTGTTAGTGTTGCGAGTGTGAAGCGTCTTACGGTGGAATGAGGTGTGCCATCAATTGACCGGTTGATAACTAACCACAATCGTATCAGTTTTTTGTTTTGTTAATATTAATAAATAATAGACGTGTGCAGTCTGATCAGGCGATGACAACATTTTTTAACGCCGAAGAATCATTTGCCGATTTAGGTTGACATGTTTCAATATGGGCCAAATCCGATTTACCAATGAGCCGAATAATGGGCTTAAAACAAATAAGGGCTGAGTTGTTGTGTCTCTATTTCTCCTTCTCTTTCTCTTAAGGCCCGGCCCATGGCTAAAGTTGATGAAGCTAGGGTTTTAGGCATCCGATAATATAAAGCAATTTAGAGGCGGTAGCTTTCAATATGTCTCTGTGGCACAGCGGCTTAGGCTCATTCTTACCTTCGAAAGGATTCAGGTTCGAGCTCGCTGCTTTACAATATTTTGAGTCTCCTCCTGAACTTATTGAACTCGTTTTCGTCGTCCTGGTAAGAAAAGTTGATGTTTAGCCTGGATTAGTCCTGTCGTAATCTAGTGGTTTATTGTTTGTGTTGATGATGTTGAGTAACATTCTTTGAGTGTTAGATCCGTATTATTATTAGCTAACTTGAGACGGGGTCATGGTGTGGTGTAACCATTGTGCCAAGAATGTTCCCGGATTTCGCCCCAGCGACAGTGGTTTGTAAGTGTTTTCGATTTTAGATTTGAGGGTTTCTATAGCTCCGAGAGTTATGATGAGCTTTGTGCTTTTTGTAGGGCATGTGATTTATGTGGGAGGATATTGGAAAACTTCAATTTTTCTGATGAAGTTACATTCGTTAAGAATGCCGCTGGACAGGTATGTATACTCAAAGCTCCTCCATCAATAGAGCACTTTGTTTTTGTCAAATCATCTCTTCTAAGATTTGGTTGTATGACAAGTTAGCAACTTTTTTCTTCTTTAACAGTCTAGTGACTAAATTAGATATACTCGTGCCTTTTAACTTGATCCTTACCTCCATTTATATGATATTATTTACGTGCCTGCAGAGCCAAGCGTCAGGTAACATAGTGACGAGTGTTCAGAGTGGGCTTTCAAGCTCACGTGAAAGGAGAAAGAGAATAGGTATACAAAGATGAGTTTGCTTTTTTTCAAATATCATTCCTTTGTTCATTTGGCTCATCTTTTGTTTTGACAGCTAGAGATGAGTTAAGGAATTTGAAAGATGCCTTGGGAATTGGTGATGAGAGAGATGATGTGATTGACATGGCTGCCATATTCTTTGAAGTATGTTTAGGTTTTACATATCGTCTGAATATTAATCAATCTGTCAGGATTCTTACACCGTTTAACTTTATTTATCTTCTGAAGATGGCAGCTGAACAAAACTTCACTAAAGGGCGCAAAACTGAACTTGTACAGTCTTCCTGTCTCTACTTGACTTGCAGGTTAGAATCTTAGTAATCCTACTTACATATTTCTTTCCCTCATATACATGCTGAGTTATGTTATGAGTGATGCGTTATTTCGATTTATGTTAACCAAATACTTTCTTTACTTGTAGAGAAAAGAAAATTCCGTTTCTACTTATTGATTTTTCAAGCTACCTTCGAGTTAGCGTGTAAGTTGAGTTGTTTCTATTCCCGTACTACTTTTCTCTTTATTTGATAGCCTGATTACCTGTTAAGTCTACTGCAGAGTCGAGTAATGCTGGTATTGGTTTAATGTCTAGTTACGAGTTAGGTTCTGTGTACTTGCAACTCTGTGAAATGCTGTACCTTGTGGATAACGGGAACTATGAGGAGCTTGTTGATCCTTCAATCTTCATTCCTCGATTCATGAACAGTAAGTATGTCATCTTCTGCCTCCCATTCTTTTTCTTTATCGGGTTGATGCAGAACATTCTATTTTAGTCAAAATACAAAACAGTTATATCAAATTCTTGTTTCATTATATATTTGCAGACTTATTGAAAGGTGCACACAATATATCAAAAAATGTCTTGGATAACGTCTTGCGTACGGCTACAAACATTATATCTAGTATGAAGAGAGATTGGATGCAGGTGTGTTTTTATTGTTAAAAGGATAGTTGCCTACATGTTCTTGATTATGGCTTGTGTTAATGTTGGCCATCTATTGGCTTGCAGACCGGCCGGAAACCAAGTGGAATATGTGGAGCAGCAATTTACATAGCTGCACTTTCTCATGGTATCATGTGCTCGAGGGCAGATATTGTAAGAATATGATTTCACCTTTTTAAGAGAATATTGTTATAAGATGAGATAGCAAGGATGTTTCGATTTGATGTGTTTTCTAAATATTTTTCAGGCAAAAATTGTGCATATGTGTGAAGCAACAATAACCAAAAGATTGAATGAGTTTGCTAATACCGAGGCTGCAACTTTAACTGTGAGTTATTTCATTTGCAGGATTATGTTACAAATCGTTTCTAGTTGTAGAGTTAGTTATACGCTAATTACATGTTGTCAATTTTTTGCCTCGTATTACTTTTTGATTTTATGTTGATTCTTTTTCAATTGTTGTACATGCTTGTCTAGGTTGATGAGCTTGATAAAAGCGAAAAGATATTGCGTGACAAAACTTTTACCCCAAGACCAAATTCTGACAAAGGAGTAGTGAACTGTAAACATAAGGATTTAAAACGTTTTGGTTTCGGATTATGTAAGAGCTGTCACGATGTTGTAAGTCTCCGGACTTGTCTCTTTCCAATTTTTTTTTTTTGCTGGCTCCGAGAGTTGACAATCAGATGTTCCAAATTTTTCCGGCAGTTCATTAAAGTATCTGGTGGAGTTGTTGGTGGGTCGGATCCTCCTGCTTTCCAGCGAGCAGAGAAAGAGAGAATGGAAAAAGCAGCTAGAGAAGAAAACGAGGGAGGAATTGGTAGCTTAAACCACCATGAACAACTCTCGAAATTTTATTTTTTGATATTGTTTAGCTCTTGAGAATTTGTTTTGTGCTGTGTCTCAGAGAAAAGTGAAGGAGAAACAGATTGGGATGCTGAAGCTTCGGATGAATCAGGCAATCTTTCTGACCTCGATGGTGATGCTGAGGTGGGCAATAATTTTACTTCCTTGTGTTGTATAAGATTCTAAGTAGAATGTTTTACCTCGAAGATGGAACATGAAATGGAAAAAACTCTCTTCAGTCTATTTTCCTTACAAGAGTTTTTCATTTTACATTTGATGGTTGGTCATAATATTTCACTGTGTTCCAGGTGGATGGCTGTTTTCTCAACGAGGACGAAAAGCTCATGACGAAGATCTCATGGGAATTAGATAACAGAGTTTATCTTGAGGTGAATCTTGAGGTGATAGGCTATATCATTTATCTTGTCTTGTATTCAGACACTCTGAGAAGAATTTATATTGTTTGGTAGGAGCAAGCAGCAAAGGAAGCAGCTCTGAAGGCTTCAAACCCGGGCAATGCTGCTAATTGCCCAGAAGATGCAAGAAACCTTTTCGAAGCTTCTAAAGAAGCTGTGGCGAAATCTAGAAAGTAAAAGCGACAAAAACGTGCCGAGGAAGCAAAGAACGCGCCACCACCAGCTACAGCCATGGAAGCAGTTCGCGGAACAGTAAAGAGGAAGGTAAAAATATTGTATCTATTGAAGACAAACGTTTGGAGTTTTCTTGTGTTTCTGATTTTGAGTCTTATACAGAGAGTCAGTGGAATCAACTGCGATCTTTTGGACGATCTCTTAGATAATGTGGTAAGTTTATTATCTTCTCTTCTTGTTTCCTTAGTTCTCATCACTTTCAGGTCTATACATTTTGTTCTTGTTTCTTCTTTCAGACGGCTGAGAAGTCACAGAAGAAACCGAGAACCGAGACAGTTACAGAGAAGAAGAAGGAAGAGCATGAGATTGTTGAAGATGAAGAAGATGAAGAAGATGAAGAAGATGAAGCACCATACGAGATGAACACATATGAGAAATTCTATGAAGACGAAGTGGAAGAGGAAGAGGATGGTTATGATTTTGGATTGTATTAATAATGATACTTTATAGTATTATCTAATTATATTTTGATTCATTTTGTTTTGCCGAACTAGCTAAACAAATTATGTGCATCAGTAGTGTAGGAGAACCCAAATTGGTGTTTACTAGTAGTTTTAGTGTCATCGTATTGGCACAACATGGATTCAAACCCAACCCGATGCATGTTCTTGACAAAAATGTGATTTTAGTAACTCTTTTCTCTGTTTCGGTAGGATGAATTTCATTAAGGATTTTGATTGAGGATACATAGTGAAGGGTTTGCATGTGATTTAGTGAATTGAGAATATAGTAGTGAGCCTATGAATCAACTACGATACAGTATTTAATAGAAGAAGTCAAGAAGAAAAGCCCAACACAGGCCCAGTAGTTTAAAAGAAAGCATTCAAACTCAAAGGCAACGAAGCAACAACAAGCCGTTTACAAGATTGAAGATTGATGATGATGTCAATGCATCCAAAACTCTGTGAAAAGTCACATATCCTCCTCACAGTGACATCATCCAAACCAATCTCATATCATCTAAATCATAGAGCAAACCATAATCCTCTTTCTCCTAATACAAAAATGGCCAAAATCAACTAAGAAGAGGTGGTGGTGTGTTGTTTGTTCTTGATCTTAACACCAAGCTCACCTGCAATGATAACAGTAGAAGCCATATCCAGAAACATTCCATGCTCCACTACTCCTGGAAGCCTCAGAATCGCATCACTCACAGCTCCCAAATCTCCCATATCCTCTTCCAAATGCATATCCACTATGTAATTCCCATTGTCTGTCACAAAGGGCTTACCTTTCTCTCCCAATCGAAGATTCGCTTCACACCCGTATCCTTCCAGCAGACTCCGGAGCTTCTCCGCCGTGAATTTCCAGCAAAAGGGCACTATCTCCACCGGAAGAGCAAGCTTGCTTCCACCAATGTGCTTCACCATCTTCGACTCGTCAACGATCACCACGAACTTCTTAGAAGCTCCTTCGATCATCTTCTCTCGAAGCAGAGACCCTCCTCTGCCTTTCACCAAGTTGAGATAAGGGTCGACCTCATCGGCGCCGTCGATGGAGAGATCGATGACAGGATGTGCGTCGAGATCAGAGAGAGGGATGCCGAGAGACAGAGCCTGCTCCTGCGTCTTCTTCGAGGTTGGTATACCAACGATGTTCTCGAGTTTGCCTTGACGGAGAAGCTCGCCGATGCGGTCGACGGCGTGTTTGGCGGTGGAGCCGGTACCGAGGCCAAGGACCATGCCGGATTCGACAAATTCAACGGCTTTGTAAGCGGCGATGCGTTTGAGCTCGTCTTGTGTTAAAATCATGGGATGTGGCGGTGAGGCAACATCAAAGGCGGACAAAGCTTTGTCCGATGCAATGAAGAGAGGATCATACGCAAGCGCCATTGGAAACCCTCTTCCGACGGATAAAAAGGCCGAATTTTGCACAAATTTAAGATTTGGGGATGAAAAAAAGGACGAATTTTGTGAAAACAATTTCAATTTTGCAGAAAATCCGAAAGAAAAAGATTTTGGAAAAGAAAGCAAATATGTAATGGCTGAGGAATATGAATCGGATTAAGGAACACTCGACGGGAAAAATGAGGGAGAAAGATTAAGATTTTTGAGAAATTAGGGATTGGGGGAAATGAATAGGGAAGGTCGAATGAAATGAGTGTGTGTATATATAGAGATGAAGAATAGCGTAAGAAATATGCAACTTACAAAGAAAAGAAGAAAGAAGAATGTGTTTGTGTGGTGGCGGAGAAAAGATAAAGAAAGTGGAGACTGATGAAGAAGAAGAAGATAGGGTTTGTGTTTGTGCGAGAGAACAAACGAGTAAAGACAACATTCTCACTTTCGAGAAACGAATCTTTCGGGCTTCTCGTTCAAAATTTTTTTTGAATCTGAATCTCAGATCTGAGATCTCCCTAGTTTCTCCGATGAACACCACCACCTTCGATCATCTTCCTTTTTCCCACTTACTTTTTATCAAGCTTTAGAATCTGAAGAATCCTTCACTTTCTTTCTGTCAACATTTTGTCCTGCATCTTGCAGTGTCACTTTTACAAAGAGTTCTGCTACTTTGAACTATGATTAACAATATCGTGCTTAACTCAGCCCATCATGACTCAGCATAAGCATCATCCTCCTATCCCTCTCCGGCGTGCTAGTTTTTTCCGGCGAGATTGTCTCGTTAATATTCTCACGTGTGTGAAGAAATCTCGACGACCAAAGTCCCAAATGAAGCCAAATGTTCTTTCAGTGGCCTCTGTTTTGTCAGAATCGCTAGATCTGAAATCGTTAGGGACATCCGTGTTGAATCTTTCAGATCTGTTGGACAATCGAGATGCGGTGGATTTTCCTCGATCTCTGTCGAATTTCTTTCGTCCAACCGACACATCCCGCGGGTTAAAGCCAACCAAAGATCCGCCGCCCTCACTGATTTCTCCGGTATTTTTTGGCCGAGTAAAGAAGCTGCTGCAGCCACCGTATACGTCTCAGCTCCGGCAACGAGCTCGTGAACCGCCAGTTTCACGATCTTTTTTTCCAGCCAATATTTCCGGAGTGAAGAAGATATGGGCCTGGCCCACTAAATTGATGTCTTGGCTCTTTCGTGGCCCAATAAAAGTTCTGTATCCTACAGTCATTTATGGTGATCCATCAAAATTAAAGTCTTCCATCAAAGAAAGACTATTCCGACATTCTTCCTTTATGGAAAGAATATATATGCAATCGTACTCTATTTTGGAGAATTATTGGAAATTAAAGAAGAGATATTCCATTAAATCATCATGTAAAAGTTTAATCTTGTTTGTGGTACGAGCTACTCTAACTTCCTCTATCATGAAGGAGCCATCCACATTAGAATATCAAGACAACAATCCGGGACTTGCAAAACTACTAGTCGCTAAAAACTTAGTTTCTTTCCCTCTTAATGAGGAGTCTTCATTATCAAAGTGCAAAGACACACGAGGCAATGTTAGTACGGTGGGGTATCAAGCTCCCTCCGGAATTAAGATATGAGGACCTTAGCATGGAATTGTCAAGGGGCGAAAGCAAAAGAAACTTCTCGTCGACTGGTAGAGTTGTGTCGTATGTACTCTCCAGGTTTCATGTTTTTATCAGAGACCAAGAATGACAAAATGTATCTGCAAACTTTGCAAGTTGATCTTGGATTTGACAACCTCCACACTGTTGAACCTGATGGTACTAGTGGAGGTTTAGCTTTATTTTCATCTAAGGAATATCCGATTAAGTTTTTGTTGTTAGATGATCGATTAATCGACATCGAAACTATCATTAACGGTAATCGAGTTTTTATGACTTTTATCTATGGTGATCCTGTTGTCTCAAATCGTGATTATGTTTGGGAACGATTAATGCGTATCGGTGTTTCTAGACCCGAAGCTTGGTTTATCATTGGAGATTTTAATGAGATAACAGGCAATCATGAGAAACGAGGAGGCAAAAAACGCTCTGAAGCCTCTTTTCTACCTTTCCGCGCTATGATCCATTCGTGTGGACTTATTGATTTTCCCTTTCATGGAAATCAATTTTCATGGATTGGACAACGGTCAAATGGTAAGATTCGATGTCGCTTAGACAGAGCCATGGGGAATGAAGAATGGCATAATATTTTTTCCCACACCAATGTGGAGTACTTAAAGATGTGGGGTTCGGATCATAGACCACTCCTTGCAACTATACAATCAAGTCCGAGAAAGTTCTCGAGAAAATTTATGTTTGATAAAAGATGGATTGGCAAACCGGGACTCAATGAAGCAGTGTTGGAAGGGTGGAATGGTGAGAACGGTCGGGTTGACCGACCCTTAATGAAAAAAATCCAAAACTGTAAACGAGTTATCTCCATATGGAAGAAATCAACACGGACTAATTCTGAGATACTTATCAAGGAACTCCATGATAAAATTGAGGAAAACTACGCGGACGACAATGCATCTTTGGATGAACTTCGGGAGCTAAAAAGGCAATTGGGTGATGCCTATACAGAGGAAGAAATATTTTGGTACCAAAAGAGTCGCCAAAATTGGCTAGCGCTTGGTGATAAAAACACAAAATATTTTCACGCTTTAACGAAACAACGAAGGGCGAAGAACAAGATTTTAGGCATTCTAGATGATAATGGGACGTGGGTGGATAATGAAGATGGAATCGAAAAAGTCGCGGTGGATTATTTTGAAAACCTGTTTACTTCATCGAACCCGAGGGATCCAGTCTCCGCCCTTAGAGACATCTCACCATCGGTTACCCCAGCTATGAATGAGTTCTTAGTCAAAGAAGTCACCGAAGAAGAAGTCAAGCGAGCCTTATTCTCCTTGAATCCAACTAAGACCCCAGGTCCGGACGGGATGACTGCTCTGTTTTTCCAAAGGTTTTGGGAAGTCATAAAAGGCGATCTCACCAATATGGTGAAGAATTTCTTTAGCTCCGGAATTTTTGATGGGAAGCTGAATGAGACCAATATATGTCTTATCCCTAAAGGTGAAAGACCGCGAGAAATGTCTGGTTTTCGCCCTATTAGCTTATGTAATGTTAGCTATAAGGTCATTTCGAAAATCTTGAGCCTACGGTTAAAGAAATTTCTTCCGGAATTAATATCCGAGACACAATCTGCATTCGTTGCAGGGAGATTAATCACTGATAATATCCTGATCGCCCAAGAAAACTTCCATGCTCTTCGTTCTAATCCAGCAAATCGTAAGAAGTTTATGGCACTAAAAACGGATATGAGTAAGGCCTACGATCGGGTGGAATGGGGCTTCCTCCGAGCTCTGATGGAAAAGATGGGATTCAACCTTCGATGGATAGACTGGATAATGCAATGCATTACCTCAGTTTCATATCGGATTTTGATTAATGGTGACCCAAAAGGACGGATTAGACCATCTCGAGGCATTCGTCAAGGAGATCCAATTTCTCCGTACCTATTTATCTTGTGTACGGAAGCACTTATCGCTCAGATTAGGAAGGCTGAAAGGGAAGGCAAAATTCAGGGGCTTCGAATTTCTCATGCGAGCCCCCGTGTCTCACATCTTCTGTTTGCCGATGATAGCTTATTCTTCTGTCAGGCCAATGCTGATCAGAGTAAAGAAGTTATCGATATCATCCGCTCTTATGGCGAGGCATCTGGCCAAGAGGTTAATCTGAATAAATCATCCATTATGTTCGGCAACGAGGTTCCTCCTCCCGTACGGCAGGAAATCAAATCGATTCTTGGGATTTCACGTGAAGGAGGGATGGGAACATATTTAGGCCTTCCGGAAAAAATCCATGGATCAAAAGCTCAGGTCTTCGCGTTTGTGAGAGATAGATTACAAACTAGAGTAAACTCGTGGTCGTCAAAATTCCTCTCTAAAGGCGGAAAAGAAGTCCTAATTAAATCACAAGCACAAGCTCTTCCGACATATGTTATGTCGTGCTTCCTACTGCCAAAAGTAATATGTTCTAAACTTACTAGCGCAATTGCCAACTTTTGGTGGAGTAATAAAGCTGAAAGTCGAGGAATACACTGGATAGCTTGGGACCAAATTTGCACCCAACTATCAGAAGGAGGGCTAGGATTTAGGTCCTTGGAAGATTTTAATCTCGCACTCTTGGCGAAGCAATTGTGGAGATTATTACGATTTCCAGATTCCCTCCTTAGTAGGGTTCTTAAAGGACGTTACTTCCGATATTCTAGTCCGCTAGAGATCACCGTTTCCAATCGACCGTCGTATGGTTGGAGAAGCATGTTGGCCGCGAAGGACGTTCTTAGATATGGTATCCGCAAAACCATTGGTTCGGGCTTTGGTACCTACATTTGGACAGACCCATGGATACCAGATACTCCGGCACGGCCACCTAAGGGATTAACGTTAGAGAGAGACCCTTTGGTTTGCGTCAATACCTTGATTGACTTTGGATCTAAACAGTGGAAGATGGATCGTCTCCGGGAATTGTTTCCCCCTGAAGAAATTACCCTTATATTAGGGATTAAACCGAGCCGTATTGTCTCGAGTGATGGTTATTGTTGGACAATGACAAAGTCTGGTAATTATACCGTCAAATCTGGATACGAGGTCGCGAGAAGTATTTCTCGCCCTGTTTGCGACCACCCTTCTCAGGGACCTAGTGTTACGACACTAAAGGCGCAAGCTTGGAAATTAAAAACTACACGAAAATTAAAGCATTTTGTGTGGCAATGTGTGACTGGTTGCTTGGCTTCAAGCCAACGGCTATTTTATCGCCATATTGGTAAAGATAAAGGATGTTCAAGATGTGGTGCAGAAGAAGAATCAATCAACCACTTGCTCTTTGAATGTCCTCCTGCTAGACAAGTCTGGGCTCTCTCCAACATCCCATCTTCCCCAGCGCTGTTTCCCTCGGCGTCGCTCTACAATAACTTTGATTATCTGTATTGGCGGGGTAAAGAGGCGGGTGCGGATGAAGAGAGCCTAAGAGTATTCCCATGGATTATGTGGTATATTTGGAAGGCGCGCAATCGAAAGATTTTCGAGAATTTGAGCGTACCACCTCAGGAAACGCTAGATTTTGCAACTCAAGAGGAAGGCGCGTGGAGGCGAGCAAATCAGAGAGAAGACCCCCAGACCCAGTTGGTACTTAGTACGCACGAGTCGTCATCCCCAGAGGACAGACCGGTATGCTTCATTGATGGGTCTTGGCTCGGGACGGAGACTAGAAGTGGACACGGGTGGCTTGTTTTTCAGGAAGGACGACTGCTACACTTAGGCTTAAAAGGCTCGCGCAGAAGTCTTTCTCCCCTTCATGCAGAGCTGGATACTCTCATATGGTCGATGAAGTGCTTATTGGCGATCCCAATGACGAGTATCCTCATTCAGACGGATTGTTCTGATCTTTTGGCTATGACCTGTGCTCCGGAAGAGTGGCCTACGTTTTCTACAGAATTGAAAGATTTTACATATTACAGGGATCGTTTTACTACTTTCAGTCTTAAGCATATCCCTCGTAGTGGTAATACCTCCGCCGATTATCTTGCGAAATGTGCAAGAAATCGCGGGTTCTGTTTTTCCCATGTAAGTTCGACGGTACCTGATTGGCTCTCTCTAGAAGAGAGTCTTATTCCGTGAATTAATATATGGTGTTTGATTGGCAAAAAAAAAAAAAAAAAACGAATCTTTCGGTTTTTTATTTTATTTCTGTCCCTCATTTTATCCTTATTTACATGAATTAACCCAAATTTATTTTTATAAATTTCCAAAATCGGTAATTCCCAAAATATTTTCTCTTTTTACGTAAATTATGGAAGGAGCTATAAAAATTAGAAAGCGTGACGGCGGAAAGTAACGGGTCAATATAAGGAAGAAAATTTGGGACAACGCACAACCATTGTTGGGCCCAAAAAGGAGCTACTGTATACGCCGTTCCATTGTCCACTCACCTCCCTTTAAGGGAAAACAAATCATAAAATGAAATTTTCAACAACAAAATGATGATTACATTCATTTGACCAAAACATATCCGAATGTACTATTTATCATAAACTCCATTACCTTATCGAGTAACATTTTTGTAACTAGAATGTATATTTGATTACTATTATTTCATCGCATTGACATATCAAGATAAAGTTACAAACCCCATGTAAGCATTTAATAACAAACGAGACTTAATTTACACATATCTTAAGGCTTAAGCTAATGTAAAAAAAAATCATCAGATAAATAATAAAAGAATTGGTGGTTTACAAATCTATTTATTCACATAATTAAATATATAAAAAGAATTTGTAAGCAACTAAGAAAAAAAAATGAGATCAAGCCACGTGGGCTGATGTAGCGGCGGCGAGAAGCCAATGAAAGAGATCAAGAAGACGAAACGCGATCGCGGTGGAGGAAACAGGAATGCTGACGAGGAGGAAAAGCAGCGTTGCGATTGCTACAGTAGGGCGAGAGTTCATGAGGAAGCTCTGAAGAAGACCAACGGAGTCGCAGATAACAGAGTCGTAGCTGCTGTAGAAACGTTTCTCCCAATCCATCCAGTGAGAAGGAGGCTCGTAGTTACGCTCGACCATCTTCATCTCGTGGATGCGTTTCCTAAGAACGATCATATTCTCATCCACCAATCTTCCTCCTCCGTAGTAATGGTCTTTTCCTGAAGAAGCCGCAGCAGAGACGCTCATCGTCATCGTCTTCTTCTTGGAAATGGTGATTCTTTGAGAAAACATAAGTGGATGGAATCGGAGTGGTGAAATCGAAGCCGGCGAAGAAAGTAGTGTGGCCTCCATTGTATTGTAGTTTGTGAGATTGATCGTTATTGTATGAGTTTGGAATGTTGTTGTTGGTTGGAATCAGGGGATGGAGAAGATAATGGACAGTTGGAAATGTATTTATAACCGAATTATTTGGATAATATAATATCAAACAATTTATCAAAATAAAAGTATAATTTATGATTAGCGCGTTGCCATTCGCAATTTGATTAATGGTGTATGGAACCCACTTTCCTTTCCCTCCACGTCATTTTTTTCGTTTCTTTAACATTCGGCGATTCTATTAAATTCTGCTTACACGTCTTTAACTATTCACCATCAAATCAACCAACTTTTTTTTTTTGCTAAAGTGCAAATATCATATAGATGAAAAGTTGGTTTTACAACTTATACATTGGTTTCTCGGCAAAAAATAAACAAGAAAGCAATACATTTGGGAATCAAAGCAGTCTCACTGGAGCCAGCGAGTCATTAGGTTCTTGAACCTTTTCTTGTGTCTTCTAGCAGTGATTGTATTCTTTATCTCCCTATCAATGTCCAAGAAGATCAAAGAAGGCAAGATCAAATCAACCAACTTGTATATGTATTTATCATTTAATTCTGCTATATCTATAGATATTCTTCTATGTTTTATTGTAGTTTCACTCTCTGGTTCGTTTCTAGATTACGTGTTTGTATTCTAATCTTTCTGCTCCAACTTAGAAAACGTTGATTTTTACTCGACATGCTTATTTTTTCACCTAGGTTGGAACACACTTGAAAAGTTAGATTCTATTTGTACCGGTCGGGAAATTTAATCCTATGAATTAGAGCGCTATTAATGAAGAAATGTTGATGATAAAGAAACGTGAAATTATAATTGATGCATTGTGAAAACGCCTACGGTACGTTAACTTGATAGCTTGTTGGATTGGGAGACACGGTAATCGGAAAGTGAAGTGAAATTGAGAGAATCCTCCATTAATAATTGCACATGATATGCATAATGCGTAGGCCGACTCTTTTTCATAATAACCATTTAAATAGATCTCAATATAATGATATACTATATCCATTCTTTATAGCGAAATTGACCTCCCATTTGTTTATGTAATTGCACCTGAAATAGCGTACAAGTCGAAGTCGGTGACCTTTTTAATTATGCGCTTACTTCTTTATATTTTAATAAAATTGGAAAGTTTAAGCAAATTATGGGAGAAAATATAGTACGTTTGGATGCTTTTATTTGTCTTAACATGTTCAAAATCAAAACTCACTTTCATATACAATATAAGCTGATCACAAAACTATAAACAAATTTATTACAATGCAGCAAGGGTTAACGCCTTAAGTTTTAATGGTATAATTTTTGTTAATTTTTTTGGTAAATTAGAAACATAAAGAGCCATCTGCAGGCAAAACGTAAGGTACGAGAATGTTTGGACCGGACGCCACGTCACGGATGGTGTCTTTGACTTTTTCCCAATGGACGGCTTCTTAAATTACTAGTTTATTAGTAGTATCTTATTTAATTAGGGAAATTAATTCGGTTATTAGTATAATCTAAGTTTGAGTTGGGTTGGATCGGAGTCTTCAGACGTCGATCCTGACGTAACCACAGTTTGAGTTTTCAGGCAATGTTCAATGTTCCCGACATCTCTATACGTTTTTCTTTCCTTCCTCACACTTTTTTGGAAAGTCACCGATAGACTTTTCCTTCTCCTAATATACTAAATTATGTAAAATCAGTGCTAAAACTTGTTTTGATATATACTGTGGATACAACAAGAGATTAAGTCAAAGAGTTGAAGAAGAAGCCTAACGAAACGAAGATGAGTCTTTCTTACATTGGGGTTAAAGGCAGAGAGAGAGAGAGGTGTAATAGGAGCAACTCTTTTATTCGCTCACTTTGCTACCTGCTGGAGAATGGAGATAAATCCATTATCACCACTAAGCTCAAATTTACTAACTGTAATAAAGTTCATCACAAATGTGTATGTATGTATATTGATCTTTCTTTCACCTTTAGTTATCTGGGTTGTTCTTAGTATTCCTTTGGATGGATTATTAGTAATTACAATTTTACAAACCTTCGAGGACAAAGGGACGGATTTCGTCAAGCTCATCTTCCGAATCCAATGTCTGACTTTGATCCTCAAGTGGCTGCTTGATATCATCATCTTCAGGTTCCTCTGCTTGATCAATCTCTGCTTCATCCAGCTGCACTCCTGGACTCTCACTTTCTCCATTGTCAACAAGAAGCTCAAGCTTTTGATACTTTGGCTTGTTTTTCTCCAGGAGAAGGTATGTGGCGCTATACCAGAACATCAGAATCCGGCTTTGAGCTGCTATCGTCTCCCTTATCCGCCTTCCTCCAAACGACAGTCGTTCTAGCGCCTGCCACAAACAATGTAACCTCTGATGAGCTCATCAAAGACACGGGCAATGAATGGGGTTTGATATAAGCTAACTGTTACCTGTTCTCCAGTTTGGACGTCAAAAGTGTTCTGATGATCAAACTTGAGGCCGCTGAATTCGTTGATGCAGAGTCCCTGGAAGGCCCTGAACAAAGACGAGTGGATGCTAAGACTTAAGAGAGTACATATATAAATAAGGTCATCATCGCTGTATAGCAATTTAGGTAAGGTGGTTCACCATCTGATTAATGAAGCACGAGGAATCCAACGGAAGATAATTGGGGTGTTGTCTGCATTGACATAGTAACCTCCAAACACGATGAAAACTGTCATGAGAGATGGTCCTACAGCCATTGCAGCTTCTGTGCTTGGGACCATAGCTCCAACAGTTAGACCCATTGCAGACGCAGCAAAAGACTCCACAGTCACTATCCCACAAAATTTTCCAAATCTGGCAAAAAACTATCTTTGTTAGGGACATAGTTGTCATGTGCATTTCTCACTGGGGTTCATTGGTTGGTCAAATACACGGAGAAAGCTCGAGAATGGCTTATCAGTGCCATGCAAGTTAGGGCATGTGAATAACATTTATCTCGTGGCCACAGTAATAACAAAAAGATAGAAAGCTTCGGAATTACCTTGACAAAGTGGGATTAAGGCGAGCCATGGGGTATAGTACAGCACCAAACATCAAAGGAAATGCAGCTCCAATAGGAATTTCAGCTATTGTTTTGGAGAGCAGGTAAGGGCCTAAAGAATAAGACCCTTTGGACCGTTCTCTATCCACAATGGCACGCTCTTTAGGAAAGACACCAACTGTCTTTGTGAGAGCTGCCATTGCCGTGTTTATTGCAGCAACCTGAAGTATATAGATATTATTTCTTAGTATATAAAGAAATTCAACAACACAGAAAAAAGAGAGATGTATATAGCAAAAGCAAAATGTGTTAGACCTGAAGCAAACCCATTCTGTCCTGAATTGATGTCTGAGATTTCCCCATTCTCCAGAAAACGGACCCAAATATCAGAGCAGATGCAACAGACATTCTTGCACGGACTTTGTTTGTTGGCCCATCTCGAGAAGCCTATGGAGTCATATATGAAAATCAGAAAAGGTGCTCTATTAACTCTAGGTAGGATAGTATATACAATTCAAGGACCCTTCTATGATGCCTATGGAAGTATGGAGTCGGTGAATTTTTTTTTAGAAAGACTAAATGCTCAAAATAATGTCACATGATAGAAGGGGACAATTCCAAGATTCTCCCATATATCCCTTTCTTAAGCGTCTTCCTTCATTCGTAAATGTCATGCTACTTCTTAAAACCGTAAGTTGATATTTCAGGAAGTCAGAGTCTCAGAGAAGGTGTTCAAGCCCAGTATGTTATAGAAAGAGTTCTTCAGATCATGCATAGATAGGAGGATACCTGCATCCATGCACGCTTAAGCAGCAAGAAAAACTGCCTCCACCAACCATCTTTTCTCTCAACAATGGCTTTTCTGCGAGGTCTAATGCTGTTCTTTGTTTCATCTTTTATGCCGAGGGGAGTAGCATAACGAACAGATGATGAACGCTGGGAGAACGCATCAACAAGAGCATGTACTCTCTTCTGCGAAGAGTAGACAGTTTCCGAAGAGCTATAGTCAACAGATATAAGATCAGCAAGAAACTCAGCAGGGTTTACATGCTCTGGGCAAAGGAACCTGTTCAATGATCAGAAGAACAGTTGTCAGCGGATAATATGAAGACATGTGATATATAAGGGGAAATGTTCAGAAAAACAACCCGAAGTTCCCGAAATATGTCAAAGGTTCTTTTCCTGCAGGGCCAGCATAGACTAGAGTTCCTTCTGTTAGTAACACAATGTCGTCAAATTTAGCGTACACCGAACCTCTAGGCTGGTGAATGGAGCAGATCACAGTGTGTCCATCTTGTGCAAGCTTTTGCAATGTTTCCATCACTTTCTCAGCCTGGAAGGCATCAAGCCCTGAAGAACACATGAATATATAATGAGTTTTAAAACCAATCCATCAATGTTTATAATCAGACAGAGTAGGCATCTACCAGTTGTGGGTTCATCAGCAAATATGACAGAGGGACTAGCGATCAATTCACATGCAAGTGACAGCCGCTTCTTTTCTCCACCGCTGATGCCACGAACTTTTGCATCGCCAACACACGAATCTGCACAGCTGACCTTTTGGAGAGCCACAAAAGACGATCAAGAAACATAATTCCAGGATTTCAATCTACCACCAGATTACCCAAAATGCGGAGATCAATGAAACCTCACCAGACCAAGTTTAAGCAAGAGGTTGTTCACATAGTCATCCCTCTCCTCAGCAGAAGAGATCTCCGGAAGCTGAAGCTCCGCTGCGAAAGAAAGTGTTTCCCTGACAGTCAACTGCGAGAAGAAGAGATCCTCCTGTCTCACAAAAGCAAGCCTGCCATTTGCAAGAAAATCAGTTAAAAAAAAAAATCAGGTTTCACACAAATATAGACTTTGTATTAAACTCATAGGACGTACTTATAAGCTCTGCTTGAGCTTGGTTTTCCATTGACCTCCAAAAGACCTGACAAATGCAAACGTGGAGATGAACTAAGCTGTCCAGCTAAAACATTGAGCAATGTTGTTTTCCCAGATCCAGAAGGGCCCATTATCGCTAGCAACCTCCCAGGTTTTGCTTCTCCAGAGACATTTTTCAACAAAAACCTCACCTGATGAGAGTCACATAATAATCAACCAATTCTGATTCAGCTACATGGAAATGGATAAATCATATACTTATCTGAAAATTTGTAAAGACTACTATACATGCAAAAGGAGAAGAAATATGCTCACCGATTTGGAGGACTTATCGGAGAGCGAGCAGGTGATGTTCCTCCAACGGATTGTCACCGGACGAATTTTCCCCGGAGAAGAATCACCACCACCGTCTTCCGTCTCAGCGTAATCATCGTCAGCCTCATTTTCAGGTAAGAGAGCGATGCCGGGTCCAGCGAAGAGGCGAACCAACAGAGCGGCGGCCACCGCAGCCAGAGCCCGGCCAACTCCATTCCCTCCGATGCCAGAAACAGCGTCCACTAAAGATTTCCCGCCAAAAGGCGCCATAATCTGTATATCCCTGTGTCAGTGTCGTCTTCTCCTTGGAAGCTCTCCGGTGAGGTAAAGCCGTACGAAGCAAAGTAACAAGTACCAACCAAGGCTCCAAACATTATCTCTTCCTCTAATTATTTAACCTTTGTTTAAATTTTCCTATTAACACTTTTTATTTAACCTTAAGCCTTTGACTCAGCACTAATCAGCACGACGGACGGAGTTGAGTTTGACCATTGAGATTTGCTAGATTTCAGACACGTGTGCATTTCATTGTTCATAAGATACTTAAGCTTAATACAAACAAGCAACTGTCAAATATATAGAGACTACAACTTTCAAGGATGGTTTTAGAAAAAGGTTATAACAACAAGTCACTGAGGTTCGATATGCCACAAACGAACGGAAGCGTCTTCTCCGGAACTTGCTACGGTGCAATCATCAATGAAGCCTACAGCATTAACTCCCCCGAGGTGCGCGTTTCTGACGGTTATGCGACTTGAAGCTGGCTTGTCTACTTCATATACAATGACGCAAGTGTCTATGGACCCTGTGGCTACCATCGTGCTGTTTGGTGACCATGCCAAGCAGTTTATACGAGCCGTGTGGAACAACATGTTGTTTAGCTTCACCTGCAAAACAAAAACCGACTTTCCAGATTAGCTTTTAAGCATGATTGAATATATAAGACACGCAAGAACGCCTCTAATCACGTCACCTGTTTGGTCTCGCGATCCCAGACAACAGCTTCGCGGTTGGCATCTCCAGAAGCAAACATTGTTAAGTCAGGAGAGTAACGTATCACTGTCAAAGCACCTCTGTGTTTCTCCAGCACGGCTTCCTCTTTCAGGCTGTTGTCCCCTGAGACTGAGTATATGTGTAACTTCCCGTCTTGCCCTCCTACTATCGCTTCTTTCCCGTCAGGTGAGATCACGGAGGCTGCCACAGCAAAACCCAGATCGATCTTGCTCAAAATGTTCAGACCATTGAGCAATACAACTCCGGAATCAAACGAGACTAGTGATGTGGATTCTGGCGAATCAACGGCTATGCTTATGTCCAGAGGCTGATGGCCTATATCGACATGTTCTGCAGCTCCAAATTCGTTGTCGGTTAATGGAATTCTCCAGACCTGGCAAGAATTGAAGATGTCATATGCAATGTAACACTGACTTTAACACAGTCCAAACCCAACTCTCATTGAACAAGTGTTTAGTTATCAGAACTTGTACCTTGTTATCAAATCCGGATAGGAAAATGCTAGATTCAGTAGCCGCTAATCGCTTGATTTTGGTGTCTTTCATTTGTAACTTGCAACTGTACCCAACCCCTTGTAGCCATTTGACTATGAGACCGTCATAGCTACAGGACAGAATCGTCTTCTGGTTTGCTCCAAGAACAGCCAAAGACGTGACATTCTTTATATGCCCAGATAAAAGCAAGGGAGGCTTATCCATATCATCTGCAGAGAAGAGGGACATGGTACCGCCAAGAGACACAGTAATGAGATGATCGTTCTGCCAAAGACATCCCACAAGCATATCTTCTGCTCCACCAGATTCTATAAACGTCAATGTTTTAATTACAGAGCCAACCGTTCCATCTTCAGCTACCTCCCATACCTTGGCAGACTTATCAGCAGAGACAGTGAGCACCTGAAAACTCACAAATATCAGTAAAATTGCATAGTTTGGCAACAACATTGTAACCCTAACAACATTACCCTTTTGCTGTCGGGGCTCCAACTAACAGCGTAGATGCTGCCTTTGTGACCATCTTCTGAGGCCAATTCTCCAATTTTATCTCCAGTTTTGCCATCGTAAATCATACCTTTTTTGTCAGAGCTTACGGTAATGAATTTAGTACCATCAGGTGAATATCTGATGCAGTTGACGAAGTTGGAATGCTCCCTGTTAAGCAGATGTATTAGTCAAGAAAACAAAGTGCTTAATATCTGAGAGACATATATGATTTGATTGAGCAGAAGAAAGGTGTTGCCTGTGAGAAGAGTGAAACTTGAAAGGTGGACCGTCGTAAAAGTTAACCAAGAAGTCTTCACCGCATGTGGCAATTCGGAAAGGTCGCGTTGGCTTGAAGGCACAACTCAGAACCCTACGAGAATGGCCATCAAAATCCCCCATTGTATTGCCAGAGTCCCATCTATACATATATATATAACAAACGCAAATTGATCAAGCCCTAGAGACCATTCCAGCATTTCCAGGTAATCTAATCTCAGAACACACAAAGAGAACGTCATCATTGAGACCTAAATTGTTAGAGCCTAATTTTCAAGGAAACGCTAAATCACATTCAACACGAAATTGAATCTCAAAATCAGCGAAGAAGAAGAAATGGAGGAGAACTCACGCGAAGGATCGAACAAGAGATTTGCCCTTTCCATCGCCGGAAGCAACAATTCGAAGACCATCGAAAGACCATTGGAGATCATCGATCCGACCAGCAAGGACTCTGAATTCGTTCTTGAGCACGAAGCCGTTGTGCGTTCCCCAAACGCGAACCGTGCCAGAGACATCAGCGGAAGCAATCCACTCGCCGTTGGGAGAGTAGCGAGCAACGGTGACAGCATAGCCATGTTCACCGTAAACTTGGACGTCTTGGGGTTGGCGGAGGCTCCGGATGAAGACAGAGCGGCCGTTGCAGTAGAGAATGGTGTCGGATTTGGGGTCGCCGGAGATCAAAATGCCACGGCCTCGTTCGGTGGACGGAACACAAGGAAAGGTCTCGAGGAGTTTCGCCATCGTAGAATTATTGGTAGGCAGAGTCGGAAGGAGTGCGTCATTTCTTCTTCTTCTTCAGAGGAAAATGGCGGAAATTAAGGGTTTGGGATTTTGAACGATTCTCATCAACATTTGCTAATTTTGACTCAGCTGACATGTACCGGTTTTTTTGGTCTGGTTTGACGTTTTTCCGGTTACTAGTTAAATCACAAATATTGAACGGGTAGTGGTTGGGTTGGGCCATAGGCCCATAGGTAAATCTCTTTCTAGGTTCCTTCCTTGCTCTTTTCAGCCCAATTCTTCTTCTTCCCTCAGTTGTTATTTTTTTTTTTTGTTGCATCTTCTCTCAATTGATAACTGGCATTTAATATACTTTTGAGACAAGTTTGATCATTTTTGACTAGTTAGTCACAAATTGATATAATTGGTTTCTTTGTCATGCATATGATTGGTTCATTCGCAATCCAATTTATATGGTTACCGGATGGGTCATCAATGGAGGTTAACAAGGTTTTCAATATTAATTAACTGCTGGACTTGGAAATTGTTTATTTTTTTCCCGGCTAAGACACAAATTTGACAAATATGAATAAAGCACGTTTTGATAATGTGATTTCGAGCTGTTTAATTTGAACCACGATGTACATATGATCTATCAGTCAATAAGGAATCTTTATACTACTAATACATAAATTGTGTGCAACATCGTATGGATAAATAATAATAAAATGTAATATATCTAGTTAGATTATTGACCAATATTGACGATAAAATTCAAGTGTAAATTCGTCATTAGTGGACGAGGTAGGCAACTTCGCAGGAAGTGATATTGCGAGACTACAAGTTACAAATATAAAGGGCCCATGCTTTTCACGCAGCTATCACACTTAAACGTGATTACGTTACGTACTTGTTTAACGTCCCTCATGGTCTTTTTTTATTTGTTTGATAGTAACCTTCATGGTCTTTTTTTGGTTTTAAAACATTCATGGTCTTACCACGTTCTTTGAACGTTTCTTAACTCTTGACTTATAATCAGCATGTATAAACAACCACGCTTAATTGTATGTAATGATCACATTCACAAGGTAAGCTTTTGATTTTTTTTCCCAAAAAAATGCAGCCTAAACATTAAAAACAAAGATTCAAGCTACATATTTCCGACTGAATTTTAATAACGTACGGATTGTCAAGTTGATTTAGAAAAAAAAATTACTTAATTAATTTAATCGTGATTAGTGATATACATGCAGAAATATTGTGTCAGCTGTTATGTCATTATTTATAGCTTTCCAAGTTGCAAAGGAGACCATCATTTTGGACTTTTTCTTTCTTTCTTGTAACATCTGTTAAGTATCAGTAGACACTTGCAATTAGGTCCACAACCAAATAACATGCATGTTACCTTTTTTATTATCTCGTTAGTGGACGGACCATAATTAAGAAATTAGACACGAGTGGCCGAAGTATAACGTGTGATTACATATGTACCTGACAAGTAAAAATTGCAGATTTCATCGACATAAAAGGTGCATCTAATTTATAAATGATGGATAATAGAGTGGAGAAATAAGTAATTTCCTGAAGCATGCACCGTTAATTTCCCGTAATCAACGTAAAAGTAGCAATCAGTATTAAAAAGCAAAAGACAAATGATTATCGATCGCAAATTACCAACCCATTAAGCTTAATTAGTATGCATGCGTATTATATCAATCAAATCAAAGCATTAATATGGTCCACAAGTGTAGAAGAGTTGTACCGCGCATCCGCATGATGTTGTCAAGTTGAAAATTGCTTACAAAGTCCTGTTTTTTTCAACCTAGAATCCATTTCCCACAAAAGTTAGCACTTTTATCACTATTATTTTCCTTTTAAATTAATATAAGGGACCCTCGATATAATCTAATTAAAGAACGAGTGAAAAATTTTAAAACAATTTTAGGGTTTTAGATATGGTGATAGTTTCTCTTTTATCACCTCTTTATTTAGTTTATTATTTCGTGAAGCTCATCATTATTTGAGCGAGGCAATTACTTAATTCCTACAAAAGTTCAACGTTGGCAAAAAAAGGTTTAAATAACAAAACGGAAATATAAAACTAATTACTCTTGAAATAAACATGAACTTACAAGCTATAATTAATAGTTGCAGCTGGTGATTCACACAAGTACAATCTTGTTGACTAGTAGTTGTACAATTTGAGAGAATTCAAAATATCAATTAAAAAAGTCATCATGATTAAAATAATTAGGCTTGAAATCGTATCGTCGTAGTCAAAAGGTTTGTCATTAATTAAGAAAAAAAAAAAAAAAATGGACCAGCTTTTCCACGTATCTACAATCTCTCTTACCCCATATGCACATGTCTGCGAACCCCATCATTTAAAACCCCAACGAGTTATTTGTCTCACTGCCCTCAATTCAAGGTTTAAAAACTTTATCCTCTTCTTTTCTTTTGTGTGGGAGAGAAATTAATTAGGGGTGCATAGATGGGTAATAGTTTAGGCGGCAAGAAAATGACCAAAGTCATGAAAATAGACGGTGAGACTTTTAAACTGAAAACTCCGGTGACGGCGGAGGAGGTCTTGAAAGACTTTCCCGGCCACGTTTTGTTAGACTCCGAATCCATCAAGCACTACGGTGCCCGAGCCAAACCACTTGAGGTATTTTTTTTTTAATATCAAACTATATATATGTTATGTTTCTTGTTAAATTATACGAATCATGTTTTGATAGACAAAGCGTTTTAATGTTGTTTGGGTCTGCAGTGGAGGCAGAGGTTGGAGGCGAAGCGGCTATATTTCGTGGTGGAGCCGGTGAAAGAGTGTCCACCGAGAAGGGTAAGATCGGGAATCCACGTGAGTGCCAAGGAGAGGCTTGAGAGTCTCATGCTTGCCCGGAGATCCTCTTCCGATCTCTCCATACTCAAACCAGCAGGAGGATGGACGACGGAGGAAGAAGAAGGAGCGGTGAGGAGGGTGAAAGTGAGGATTCCCAAGGCGGAGCTTGAAAGACTCGTTAAAGAAGGAGCCACCGAAGCCGAAGCCACCCAAAAGATCGCTGCTCTCTTTATGGCCAAACAGAGGCAAGAGGAGGCACATCAGAAAACGCGAGAGGATGAGCCCGCCACCACCGTCACTGCCGCCGCCACAAGAGGAGTCAAATCCCGTCTGGTATATTTTCTCATCCATTTGTTTGTTTTTTTTGTGTACAAAGTAAATAAGGAAAAATATTTTGATTAAAAAAAAAATATATATATATATTTTGATTAGATCAGATCAGATCAGAGTGGCATTTCGCGAGTTTTGACTTTAATAATATTACGCTGTGTTGAAAAAAATCACTTTTTAAAGGAACTTTGTTGTGGTCAAAATTTGCATGCTGGTACTTTAACACTTTTATACTGTTTCCAGATATAGCACAAAATTATTACACAACTTTTGATTCTTTCCTTAAAAAATCATTTAAATTCCATTCTACAACAATGTTATTGATATATTATTATTATTGATGTTGCAGAAACGAGTGAGTTTCATGGCGGAAAGAGGAGGAAGCGAGATCACTGTAGCTTGAACCAATAAAATATATATGTATTAGAGAGTGCTTCCCAACGTTTCTGCAAATGTATGTACATAAAAAACGCAGAAAGTTTGAGAGAAAGCTTATTCAATATTCATCCATGTCTCCACTCTATTGTACTCAAAAGAGTTTATTATTATTATTACATTGTAGAAGAAGCATTAGTTTCTAGGCATATTCATTCGTTTGTCTCTCCTTATTGATTATATGTTTCCCGGAAATAAAAAGAAAGTAAGTAAGAATACGAGGAAGACGATGCTCTCTATGCTCGTTTTGTCCTTCTTCCCACCTCGAGAGCTAACTCTGTATCGATCTTCAGAGATATGTCTAGCGCTTTCACCGAATGCGTAAGAGCTCCACTGCATTCATATATTCTTACAGTTTTTTTCATCTGCCCCAAGAACCAAAACTTGTATCAAACAGATTTGAAAGAATATTTACCTGCTAATGAATGTAACTCCACTCTGTCCGATCTTGTGTACTGTCTCAAGGGTAACATTTCCCGAAGCCTGCATCATGAGATTAGAGTCTTCAATCAGAGAGTTTCACTAAAAGAAAACTGTTATCTCTCTTTTTAACATACACACACACCTCGGTCTCGAATCTCCCGTTGATTAGCTCTACCGCATGTTTAAGCATTGTGACATCGACGTCTCCATTCTCTAATGGCACAACCATATTATCCAGCATTATTCTCGTCAACCGACTCTCGGATCCACTAACATACTCTAACACTTCCTTCACTTCCTCAAGCGTTCGTGTCTCCACCTTCAAGTCGAGATATATAGTGATTAAAACTTGTTTCATGTCTAACTTGCAGCCACAAAAGGGTTTGAAAGCTTTAGATTAGTTACCTCTACATCCATTTCGAGATTCTTTTGCTTTAGATATTCGTCAACGGATTTGATGGCATTTACTATACCGCCTGCAGCTGAGATATGGTTATCTTTTATCATCACCATATCAAATAACCCCATCCTATGATTCCTCCCTCCACCAATCAGCACCTAAGCTAAGCAAGAAAACTTGAGGTGTATCAAGAGATAATAATCTCAGAATCTTAATGTTCCAAAGATGAGACAAAAATAGCAACAAATGCGTCCTAATGTTTGGGTTTGAAATAGGTAAAACAAGTGTGGAACGTACCGCCCATTTATCTACCAACCGCAAACCAGGAGCAGTTTTTCTTGTCTCCAGTATACGTGCAGGGGATGCAGCATCTGCCATTAACTGCACATAACAGACTCATCAGGTAAACTCTCCATCACAATTTGAGATAACAGAGAATCATGAACCTAAACAGAACTTACAAGCAGACAATAATCAATTAGATGGACATAATTCACTACTATACACTGCAGTACTGCACTATAAAACCAAAGAAGGAATGGATATTATCGGTGAATTACCATAAACCATGCACTAAGCCAACAAAGCCTTCTCATTATAAGATATAAGCTCACTAAGTTAATATGAATGCAACCACAACAATCACTAGACAATACTTGAGAGAATCTATAGAGATAGACAAAAAAAAAGAGAAAACCTTGGTAAGGGTAGCAATTCCGCTCATCCTCTGCATAAAGTTGAGCACAACTCTTTCAGCAACAACAATCTTGTGTGCATTCCCTGATACTTTCCCAAACTTCAATCCTTTATGAACATAATCTCCATCCTTTCGCATCCATTCAATCTGAGATTCAACAATAATCACTTAAATACATACAAAGCCCTTTCTCAAAATGAGGGATCAACTTGTTCAAGAGTAAGAAGAAAGACCTTCAAGGAGGGATCAACTTGTTCAAAAATCATGTCAGCAAGAGAAATTCCAGCAACAATACCATCTTCCTTAGCCAAGAAATAAGCTTCCACTTCCAAATCAAACGGTATCGTAGCCAAACACGTTACATCTCCTTCACTCAAATTCAATTTGACGAACTCAATTTCACAAAATTTTCAAAGTAAAAATCGAAACTTTAGAAGGTGAAGAGAGAACCTGTATGACCAGCATCTTCAGCTAGGGCTAGTTTGATAACGGCTTTCAAATCGTAAGTAGGATGTGAAGGAGGCTTGATCGCCATGGAAACTTCTCCGGCCGTTTGAGTCGCAGAAGCAGCCATTTTCACAGAGCTCCTGAAACAATTGAAATTGGGTTTGGACAATTACAGAAATGAACAAAGGAGAGACATAAAAAGATTAGGTTTTGTTTTGTCGGATAAACCTTTGAATTGCGTAGAATTGAGGCGACAAGAATCGAGAGACAGAGATCATTGTAGAGAACTGACTCAACTCTGTTTCTTGTTTGGTCTTCTCCTGTGAATATATTAATAAACAGTCTCAAAAAGAAAAGATATTTGGTTGAACCAACTTACTATTGGGCTTTATATGTCTCTCCACAGAAGCCCATTCCATACTAGTCACTTCTGCATTTTAGTTAGTTTAGTTATATTCAACCAAAAATCAATGAAATCATGAGAAATTTAGTTAACGTAGACTAGTTTTCATTGATTTTTGCCAATATTCATGTTCATAAAAGTAAATTTAACATAGATTTTTAATGATTGGTCTAGACTCAACTACAAATTTTAAACTAAAATTGCAGTCCATAAAAAAATATCGAGCCAAGAACGACTCTGCCCTCGGACTCCATGCAGTGCCGTGCTTAGACGTATTGTGGCCTAGGACACGTTTTAAAAAAAAAGGTATATAGTACTCCCTCCGTTTCGTTTTAGTTGTCGTTTAAGGTTTTCGCACACAAATTAAGAAAATCATTAAATTTTTTGTTTTACCCTTTATTAATATATTTTATAATTTTTTCATTGGTCAAAACATTAAAACATTAATGACAAAACATGAATTTTCACCAAACATTTGCATTGAAAACCTAAAACGACAACTATTATGAAACAAAATTTTAATCCTAAAACGACTACTAAACTGAAACGGAGGGAGTAATATTTTAAAAGAGTAATCATACTATTGAATCGAAACAAAATGTTAGTAACAAAAACTGATAATGTAAAAGAAAATCAAAATAAGTTATTTTCTTTGTTTTCATATGTTTTTCTACCAATATTATTTATTTTTCTAATAATATTGTTTGTTTTTAATATATGTTTTTACTTATAATTATATATTACTAAATAATGTGTTTTCAAGATACGAAAATCTCCTCTAAATAAGTAAAAGCATAGTTAAAAATATAATTTTCATTAAAAGAATTTCATTAAACAAATATTTTGTATCAAACTAACTAAATAGATATACTACTTTCTTACAAAAATGTGGCCTATAAAATAATTTTTTTTTGTGTGGCTTTGGGCATTTGCCCTTTTTGCCAATAGGTTGTCACGGCTCTGACTCCATGCCACGGAACGCATCGTCTTCATAGACCTTTCTTGCTCGCTAAACTAAATTTTGTTTAATGTGTTAGTAGTATTTACAATTTATATTATTACCAAATATATAAAGGTTTAATTTCTCTAAATCAATTAAAGATAAATTTGTAGTCTTACATTATATGTCATTCTACTATAAATATCTTCCAGCAATTGACGGCCTAAAAAAACCGATAGTATGACATAAAATACTAGTCTAGGTATATATACATGTAAATAAATGTGTGCAAAATTTGAATAAAATAAAGAAATTGTTCTAAATAGGCTGCTAAAGTGAAGGCACAACAAAATTCAACATAAAACATAACACTCAAACTTGTTACAAGTAAGGAATATTAAGTCAAACAATTACAAGAAGCTGCCTCCCTGTTTCGTTTATTTTGAAAATTTCACAACAAATATCAAACAACATTCAAATAAAACCATTGTCTCTCTCCCTCTCCATGTATCTTTATATATTTCCTCTATCAAAGCTTTCATCTCCCATCTTCTTAATTCCGTTCTAACTCAAAAGATCCATTATTAGCTAATTCAACGTTTCCTTATAATCAACACTAACCCATTCATTCAATTTACTTTTAATCCCGACGTCGTCACAAGACCGATTTTTTGCATTATCATGAGGATCATGTGGAAATTCATTATCGTGATGTATTTGATAGCTTTGGTGGGATCAAGAGGAACCTCGGCAACAGCAAGGCTGAGGATGAAGAACAAAGATATAGGAAGAAGGTTTGCTTTGCAGAATAAGCTCCAACGAGGTCCGGTTCCTCCTTCACAGCCTTCTCTATGTCACAACAAACTAAACCCTCTTTCTCATTCAGAAGACTATTCTTCCCACACTTATGTTACTTGCCCTTGAATCTTGATCCACCACATTTTTTTATTGTCTCTCTTCTCATACATAAATGTATCCGATCCGACTCCTCCAAATTCGAAAGAGTCGTACGTGTAATTTGTTTTGGACATAAATTATACAACCTTTTGTGTTATAGAATTAATCATTTGATCATTTTCTAACTAATTAGCACCATTTTAGTGCCACGAATTTGTTTTCGTAGCGTGGAAAATTCACAAGAAGATAAAATTAACAAATAAGCGTATACTAAACACTAGTCAAAGTAAATTATAAACACTTAACTTTTTTTAGTTGCGGTTAAAGACTGGCTTAGATTATTTTTGAAATTTTACTTGAATAAAACGGCGTCTTCATTATTATTCAGATTTTATTCAAACAAAAAGTGGGAATTTAGAATTGGTTCTCTCCTGGGCAAATTTCATGCGCTTCTCTACCATCTTCCGCAACATCATCCCAATCCAATTCTCCAGTCCCCGGAGCTCCGTCAAGCTACTTCACTCTCTTCCTCGTCCAAAACCCAGAAACCCCACAACCTCCAAGCGATTCTCCCAAAAACCCAAACTTGTGAAAACACAGAGCACACCAGATCCAAGGGTTTACACAAGAGACATTGTATCCAACATCTATAACATCCTCAAGTACTCCACTTGGGAATCTGCTCAAGAACAGTTCCCACATCTCGGTGTCAGATGGGATTCTCACATTATCAACCGTGTTTTGAAAGCTCATCCTCCGATGCAGAAAGCTTGGCTCTTTTTCAATTGGGCTTCTCAAATCAAGGGATTCAAACACGACCACTTCACTTACACCACCATGCTCGATATCTTCGGTGAAGCCGGTCGGATTCAATCCATGTACTCTGTCTTTCACCTTATGAAGGAGAAGGGTGTGTTGATCGATACGGTGACTTATACATCGCTGATTCACTGGGTTTCAAGTTCCGGCGATGTCGACGGAGCAATGAGGCTGTGGGAGGAGATGAGAGATAATGGGTGCGAACCTACCGTCGTGTCGTACACGGCTTACATGAAGATACTTTTCGCCGATAGGAGGGTTGAAGAAGCCACGGAGGTGTATAAGGACATGTTACGGTCGCGAGTTTCTCCGAATTGTCACACTTATACGGTATTGATGGAGTATCTTGTTGGCACAGGTCAGCTTCGTTCTATGCACACCAACTGTTTGTTAAAATGCCTAGCTGAAAATCCATCAACTTTTGCTTGTTGATGATGATGTCTTAGTTTCTTCATTTGATTTGTAGGAAAATGTGAGGAAGCCTTAGACATTTTCTTTAAGATGCAAGAAATTGGGGTTCAGCCAGATAAAGCAGCTTGCAATATTCTGATAGCGAAAGCTTGTAAATTCGGGGAAACATCATTCATGGCTCGAATTCTTGTATACATGAAAGAAAATGGTGTTGTCCTTCGTTACCCTATCTTTCTTGAGGCTTCAGAGACCCTGAAAGCCGCAGGCGAAAGTTATGATCTGTTACGGGAAGTCAACTCGCATATTTCCGCTGAATCTTTGTGCTCCAAAGACATCGATGAGACTCCAACAGCCGAGGTTGATGATAGTAGAGTTATCAGCTCCGTTCTCTTGATGAAGCAGAATCTGGTTGCAGTTGATCTTATACTTAACCAGATGAGAGATAGGAACATAAAGTTGGATTCTTTTGTTGTTTCAGCTATCGTAGAAACAAACTGTGACCGTTGTAGAACAGAGGGAGCTTCATTGGCTCTTGAGTACAGCTCGAAAATGGGAATTCATCTCGAGAAGTCAGCGTATCTTGCATTAATTGGTAATTTTCTGAGATCAAACGAGCTTCCTAAAGTGATTGAAGTGGTCACGGAAATGCTAAAAGCCCAACACTCGCTTGGTTGTTACCAAGGAGCAATGTTGATCCACAGGCTGGGGTTTGGGAGAAGACCTCGCTTAGCCGCAGAGGTTTTCGACTTACTTCCGGATGATCAAAAGGGTGTAGCTGCTTACACTGCACTGATGGATGTTTACATCTCAGCAGGGAGTCCAGAGAAAGCAATGAAGATATTAGGAGAGATGAGAGAGCGAGAGATAATGCCTTCGCTGGGGACATACAATGTTCTGTTGTCTGGTCTTGAGAAAACCAGTGATTTCCAGAGAGAATCAGCGTCGTTGAGGAAGGAGAAGAGAAGTCTTTTTGCTTCTGCACGTTTCCGGGAAAATGTTGATGTTGAAGACAAAATATGTGATCTTCTGTTTGCTACAAATCTGTTGTAATCTGGTTGCAGGTGAAGTCAACATGTACATGTTTAAACGAGGCCCATTTATGTATAATTTGAGGCCCATCATTTTTAGACACACATCACCAATTCACCAGCCCACCATTTAATTTCTTTTTTTTTCATTTCTGATAGTCATTATTAACGGTGCTACTGACGCCGGAGAAGAGAGATGGCGAGATCGTGCTCTATCTGGACACCTGTTTTGATCTCACTTTCTCCGATTACCGGAGAATCACCTAAATTTTCCCGGCGCCGGGTGATTTTAGCCACAAGTGTAGGTTCTCCTCAGGTTCGTACAACAGATCGAATTCGTTTTCTTTTCCTGGAGAAATATGTGTGTGAATGAATCCGTGGCCGTTGAGTTCAATATGTGTGTGAATGAATCCGTGGCCGTTGAGTTCAATATGTTGAGGTAGTATAGATTGTGTTTTTTTTCAGAAATTCAGTTGTTATGATTTTAAATTCTTTTGTGCATATGAATTTTGGGCAACAAAGGGTTTTTCTACATATATGGATGTCAAGCCATAAACTTGTGCAGACAATCTTTTCATTTGTTTATGACCTCTACATCAAATGGTCTGACAGATTTATGATTGCTTCTGCTGTTTTTATGGTCAATAGATGAAGATTGGTATTAAGTCTGCATTGCAAGCATAAGTTTTGTTAGTTTATCCAGAGCTCTGAAGTCTGTCCGTCTCTTTTGCCTTTTCTTTGACAGCCTTTACTTGAAGCAAACATTAAGGAACCCCAGAAGCTTCATGTCCTTGATTCCAAAGATGTTTCTAGAAGAAACACGATGCTGTATCTAGCGGCTGGATTGCTTGGAGGGATCAACATTCTCCATGGTGAAGCCGCAGAAGCTCGAGTAGGGAGAAAGGAGAACAGAAAAAAAGCACTGGAGAAGCTAAGGGCGAAAGCTAAAGAGTCAGAGCCCAACAACAACAAGTCAGGAAACCAAAAGATAGAGAAAGAGTTAGAGAAAGAAGAAGTGTTTCCTCTACTTCCTCCACCTCTTGTCGTGGAAGCTAACTTGCTGCAATAAGCTCTCTCTCTCTTTTGTTTACTTAGCTACACAAATGTCAGAATCAATCAATAGCTTTCATTTCAACACTACATGCTGCTGTTCTGTGCTAGGTTTCCTTTTACAAAACGTGTTAATAAAAAAGTGAAGATGATGAAGCTAAGAATAGAAGGACTAAGTGATCTTTTTGTCCATGTTTGTGATGAGCTTCTTCATCTGAAACCTCCAGATACAGAAGTAAGCGAAGCCAAATCCGATCAACACATATAACCAAATCTTATCTTCACCACCTTCCTTCTCCGACCAAACCTCTTCTATACCAAACCATTCCCTCGCTCCTTCTTCTTTGTAGCTTCCCATTATCCCCTCCATCACTCTCCCGTATAACACATATATCCTATCCCGTTCCCCCACCGTCACCGCCGTCGGAAAGCCCTCAAGGTCGAGGTCAATTTCGTCATAAACCACTCCTTCACTCCAACTGTCTTGGCTCTTGAGTAACCAAAGCTTCTTCTGCGACACCACCATGATTGTCCCGTCTCTCTGTCTCCTCGCCATCCCGTCCGCCGCAATCAGATCTCCGTTCAGCAACACCAGCCTCGCATTCCCGCTCTCTTCGTCTACTTTGAATACCTTCCCTGTGTTGCTCTGCACCACCAGGAGGTATCCTTTGCTGATGTAAACGATCCCATTCAGGCCGCAATCGCGGAAACTTGCGTCCGCGTCTGCTGCCACAGGCTGCGAATTGAACAGCGGCGATCTGGAGAAGATCGAGGCAGCGCCGTCGCGATCGACTTTCCAGATGAAGTTTTTGGCTGAGTTGGTGACGTAAGCGTTGCCTTTGAAATCAACCGCCACGTCATTGGCGACATCACGAGCGATGTCTTCGTCGTCCCCGGGAAGCGACGGGAGAGGAGAGAGGAATACACGACGGCCTCCGTTGCGGAGATCGTAGGCGGCTAGGGCACTGAAGGGAGGGAGAGGCGGCAAACTGTGGATGCAGGCAAGCAGACGGCGATTCGTAGAGTCAACGGCGAGGCCGAGGATAGTGGCGTTCTCCGGTAGATCGAGATCGGAAATTAGGGTTTCGATGACTCCAGCGTCGGAGACGGAATGAATTGTGCGGCTGTGGAGGGAACCGACTAGAAAATGCTGGTCCCTTGGATCCCAGGTTAGTCCCTCCGGGTAGAGTCCCGGCGATCGGAAGTTGATAACGTGGCGCGTATCGGCGGAGGAAGGAATCGGAAGACTCAGCAACACGACGGCGAAGAGAATTGGGAAGACGAAGAAGGATCTGCATCGAGTGGAAGCAGAAGACATGTTCGCTTTCATCTGTGATTTCGATTTAGGAAAAGTTTCAGAAATAATGAATTGGCTCTTTTTAAAAAAATCAAATTCGATGTATAAAAAATATGACCAGGCCCATTATGTAACAAACGGGCCACATTTTGCGCGTAATATAAGATAGAGCCCATAAAGTTTATTGGTCTTCCTCCATTTGCTGTATTGTTTTGTTGTTGTCAAAAAGAGAAGAGTTCATCAGTTACAATTTCAAGTACGTGAGAATTATTGAACTCTTGGTACGTGAGAATAAATTTCAAGTGTTCAATGTGCATTAGAATGATAAAACAAACAAAACTTCTATATACTATACGATATGGCCACCACACCAGTCATATATATAAGGCTTTAGTACTTGGTGTTTTGTAGTTTGTATACACACGCATGGATTTGTTATCCACAAGACATTAAATTGGGAAATGATAGAGACGTACGTGAGATGTGAATCTTATGCATGTTATGTAATTTGGACCGTTGCATCTAAATGTAAGGAGAACGACCCTACGATTAGACCAGTGTTCGTGGTTCCTCATACATTGCCCATCACCTTTCTCTCTCAATACCCCATTAATTCGTTTTTTTTAATTGTTTTATTCGATTTATATTTTTATAGATGGTGCTTTTTCATTTTGTTTCCTTTTCATTCAATCCATTAATTCCAAGCACTTCGTTTCACAAAAAGTCATATTATTAGACACTACAAAAAATGGATACAATGCAATCCCCCGGAAGAACTGTATGGAAATTTACTGATCGTTCCTATATATTCATATGTGTAAACAGAAGTCTTATAATAATGTTAAGATATATGCAAGGGCTAGTCTATGCAAAAGTGCTTTCCATGGTCGACTTTTATGTCCATTGTGTTAATATATATGGGTCATATCAGTATCTATGTAAATATATATGGCTTTTTTGTCTTTGTATTTGCACGATTTTAACAAACTAAATCCCAAAAATGAATCATGAAGGAAATTATTTCTATATACAAGAGAGAAGAAAAAAGCAAGAATACTCGATTAGAGAGGGAAACTTGAGCATAGTGTATAACAAAAATGTTGTCCAAAGCAAGCAAAAGTACATTTTATTACAGCCAAACGACAACTTGAATCCAATCTTTTCACAACAAATTCATATACTGGATTTTATGAGGACCACATTGTAAATTGCGGCAATACTTGAGATGGCAAGGCAATCCAAAAAAAATACTGATATTAAGATCAGCTAAAACAAAGTGATTGCTAAAGGTAAAAATAACTTAGTAAAAATGAAATAATTTCTATAGATGGTTTAATACTAAATAAAGTAGTATTTCTTCTTCATGAACAAATCCTTTCTTTGAAAGTATGTTTGTCCCGTCGACTAGAGTTTGAAGGATTCCTAGATTCGTCGATGACACTAGCTCTAACCAGTAATTAAGTAACTCTGAACGAAACGTGACATCCATGGATAAAAGATTCGTACATGATTTGATTAGTAAATTTTTATCGAAACAATAAGTAAGAGTTATTGATTTAAGTATTATATCGTTTTGATGGTTACCAATTACAAAAGACGTAGAAATTCAGGATTCTAAAAATAGTATTATTATTTATTTTTTACCGTTAATATTTTATGGTTTTAACTATTCTGCTATCTTTTTTGTTGTTTTTTATTATTAAAACAAACTTTTATTTCTTTTTGTCACCAATCAAATTTATAATGAGATAGATAGAAGATGAAAAATCATAATTGAATCAGTAAAAGGAACAGCCAGCTGCTACTTTCAAAGTGGATGCATAATCGAAGTTGTTCAGTTTTGAAGGAATGAAAATCTTTTTTCTTGTGATATTATCGATAATATGTGGGAATATGATAAACTCAATATTTTGACTGTTGATTAGTTCCAGGAAATCTGATAAACTCAACATTTTGACTGTTGATTAGTTCCAGGAAGATATATAGTTAAGTGTTATAATCGATAGTGTGGTCCATGTTGTTATAATACTTTGATGCTCAAATACACACGTGGGAAGTTTTTCTTTTTCCATAAAAGTTTGAACTTTACGTTTAAAAAAGTCTAGTTCAAAACGAATCCTTTAGAATTCCCCAAAATAAAAGAACTCAGAACTTCTAGGGGCATATATAAGAATAAGAATATCGGGGCATGTATGTAAACGACTAAAATAAAAAAGGTTTACTTGCAAAAGATTAACTTTTGTCGTCAAGGAAATGCGTCGTCGCTTTCGGGCGAAGCCTGCATGTTGGTGTCCATCTTAGATTTGCATTCCATTGAATTTTCTTCATATCCACTCCATTAGTTTTGATGTTAGTTTCCGAATAATTTGCTTTGTTTTCTAAATAGCATTTTGATGCCTTGCAAAAAATACTATTATAAATGTTGGAAGAGTAATCATACAGTATATTAACTATATGAATGACCAATCCTAATACGAAAATTAGATGATCAATTCATAACATTAAAATGTTTGCGTTGGCCCGAGTAATCTATAGGTTGTTCTTAAACAAGATGAGATTCACACTACTTTGATAGTCTGAAGACCTTTTTTCTATAACTTTTTTTGAATGAATCGATTAGAGATTTTAGGTTATCTGAAAGGTTATTGAGATTTTTTTTTCTGCTAGAGATCGTGTATTGTAAACTGTAACTAATTATTATACTTTTCAAAATAAAATAAAAAACTAACTATTGCAAGGAAAAAGAAAAAGACATATAGCATTCCGCTTTAAAGTTTTGTCAAGGAGAGCTTTTTTGGGGTGCATAACTGTTTTAACCTCTCAACTAATTTTTTTACTTGCTAGTAATGGGTATAATATACCTATTGTCATAAATAATATTATATATTATGTGGATGTCTATTATAGGTCTGTTAGAAAGTTATTTATTACTTAATTTTTATCATAAACCATAACGTTGTATCCTTATTACCTTATGTATATGTTGTATTTTGTATCATACATCAATAACAGAGAGAAACACTTCTCGAACATACATGTTCATAACACAAATGCATATATACATTTATGATTATTTAAAGAATTTACAAAAAATAAAAAATAATAATAACTTGTTTATTGCCGTACGTACAAAAATGGAGTGAACTTTTGGGAATGAGATCGCGATAAGTCACGGGTGAACTTTAAAAAAACGGGACCGTAAACATGCATCGTATGATGATATGATTAATTAATTAATTAGAGATTAGGATTTTGCTTCTGTCGTAAAACAATGTTTGTTATCAAGTAATATGCTTAAGTTAACTGTAACAAATTAAAATCATTACCATCTACGAGGGTGTATATATAGTATATAGGACTATTTCAATCCAAACAAAATTCGTAAGCTAGTTTGACTCAAGATTAAAGTAAGTTTAGTGAACAAAAGTACTTAGAATTTAGTTTGTTAATTTTTCTTGTATCGTGTAAAACTAAATCTTGCATATTATCGATTTTCGAATCGAAGTTATTGCACGGTGTCATTTACTAGTATAAACCACTCGATTAGAAACGTTAGTTAATAAAACAAGGTGAATAATACATAAGCTTAGCCAAAATCTACACATAAATTAACAAAAACGGAAAATGAAAAAATAAAGATAGATGGAAGAGTTTTTTTTTTTGCGCTTTTATCTTGTTGGCGTCTAATGAAGACAAGATCCTTAATCCATTCAAATCTTGCTCACTAAATCCTAAGTACTTTTGTTGTGTTCCACAAATATTGGAACCAAAAACCAAAGGCATATCTTCTTCTTCACCTTCCACTCTTTCCCACGAAAATAAAGGCTTTGTTTATTTCCTGGTTACCGAGAAATAAATAACCCAATCTCCGAGGCGCTCTCAAAAGCCAGTTGAAACTGAAGGGACCAATTCAGAGGCCAAGAAGAATATAGTAGACCAGAGTTATGGGTAAAGCTATTAACATTCCAAATATGACCCTGCATCCATTTTCACAATCACACCCAACAATATTTGTTAATACTATATTGGAACAAAAATAAAAATGTCGTTGTAACATAAATAAGTATGGAACTTACCCAGTGCTTAGAATCGTGGGATGCACATTGTACTCTTTTGCAAACACAAACGGAACTATTCCTTGAGGCAACGCAGCCTATAATTCATGCACTCAACATCATCATCATGACCATGTAATATTTATTATAGACCTAGCTATATATCATGTAACGATAGAAATTTGTATACCTGGACGATGGCTATACGGAGAAGGTCCCCGTGTAACCCAATGGCAATCCCAGCAACAGCCATGATGGCCGGACCGGTTATAAATCTGACGGCCATGGCAAACGTGGCGACAGAGTTCCCACAAGCAATGATTTTGGGTTGAAGTGCCATGAATAAACCTTAAAATTACACCAAAAATAAGCAATTCATTAATTAATGAGGGATTTGAGAAATTGACAGCAAGAGTTAGGTCAGCTACTTGGTGAGACCCAAATAAGTAGACACAGCCTGTGGGGACCGGACACACCAACATGTCTGGGTCAGAGGGTCAGGATTCGCTTTGGGTAAGTGCTTTGTACAGTTTATATGACTTTTACCAATTACAAGCTGGACAACTACGACTAATTAAACACCCAGACCCACCTTTGCATTAAATGAATCTTTTAACAGATAAGATGAGAACAAATTGGACCCAACTTTAAAGATTAGATCATCATCAACACAAGTCTAGATTTGCATGAAGCAAAGTTAGTAGTATTACCTAAGCTGAACATAGCCATTCCAAGACCAGCATCTGAGAGTATGGAGATGGATTGTTGTAGTATCTTGGGCATAGCCACATGCCACCTGCTTCCAAAACAACCCATACTCATTATTAGTCCCATTACAATTATTCCATGCATATATATGATTATATTATTTCCTTTTATTATTATTAAAATAGTTATCCATAAAATCGGTATGTAAGAAAATGATTGGACTGACTGACTGACCGGTAAGCAACAAGAGCCCATATGAGACCGATTAGACTGGAGTATGTGTTTGGGTTTCTGATGAGTTTTCGCCACACCATTATCAGTATCAGTCTCGTCATCACACTTGTCGGCGGCATATGTGTTCCGTTGCCGCCTCCGCCGCCATCTCCACCAGCCGCCTCTAGCTCCGCCGTGGAATTAGACCCCACTTTATTTAGCCCTGCTGTAGCTTTCTCTATCTCTCTTTCACCCTCCCCAATATCACCACCGCCGATATCATCACCACCACCACCTGACAAAAATCAGAATCAAGAATACACAAAAAATTAGAATTTTTTGATTAAATAAAACTTGTATAATAATTAAATTCAACCAATTACCAACCTCTGGCATTACTCTTTCGAGGTTGATCAGAAACAACCATACGGATCTCCTTAGCACCTTGTTCAGATTGTTCCGTTGCCACGTGTTCACCTGCACCTCCGCCAAACACGTCGGAGACCGGCGAAGCGCTTGAGCTCCAAACAAACATGTGAAGCTCCTTAGCGTCATGGCTCGCTTTGTTATCCTTATCAAGCTGTTGTTGGTTTTCTTTTGGGATTTTATTCGGTTTAGTTGAAACAGCCGGACCGGAGGAGAACTCCGGGTTCGGAGCCGGGTACGAACCGGCCGCCGGAGCAGAACTGTTAGTGTTAGGGTAAAATCCATATTTCACGGCGTTGTTCTCTTCGAAATTCGAAGGCCGTGGAGTCGGACCACGAGAAGATTGAACAGAGTATAGATCCGCCGGACCAAAATTTGAAAGCCTCCCGCCGGGAAATCCCATGACCGAGTAAAAATCAGAATGGTTAAAATTAGAACCTCTAGGAGTCGAACTAAGACTATAGATCTCAGCTCCGGTGAGATTAGAAGGCCGAGGAGTCATCATCAGTGACCGTCTCGAAGCGTTTGATTTCCTCACCGTAACATGAAGCTTCCCGTCGTTTCCGATCTCAGCATCCGTCTCAAGAAAATCATGACCGTCTAAAGAAACGACGTCGGATTCAACTTTAAAGGAGACAATGGACGCACCAGTCTCCGGGAACTGCTCCATAATAAGAAGCTTAGCGCCACGGTACTCGAAGAGAAAGAGAAGGAGAGTGTACCAAATGATACACTGAAGAACAACGACTTGAACCATGAGAGAACCAGCGTAAGTTCCGTACATGGCGATCAACAAAGGTATTCCCATGACAAGAGTATTTGGGAGAGTGCTGAGAGAGAAGATTGTGATCATCCACTCCAAGCTACCGTTCTTGGTTAGATTAGCCCATAGACCAAGTAAGACGAGCATGATGATTTTTTGAAGCGTGTCGGCGGCGACGAAGCGGAAGTTCATGGCGTAAGGATCGTTGGTGGAGATGAAGTGGAAGGAGAGGAGAGGGACGGCGAAAATGGCGACGAAGCGATTGATGCCGGAGCACTGGTCAGGGGAGAATATCTTCCACCACTGCACGGATCCGTAGGCAAGAATCATGGCGACGTAAAGTGGCACCACGGCGGTGAGGACGGTGTACAAGTCGTGCCACGTAATCATTTTTATTTATTTTTCCGGTGGGTTTAGAGTTTAGTGAGAAGAAGAAGAAGACAGTGGCATTTGAGGGGGAATTAGAAGGAAGAAGAGGGGTAAAATGGGAAGAATAATAAAGAAACCGTTAAGAGAGAAAAGTACAGTAATATTTTTCAAGGATTCGGTGAAGAGACTTCATATATAGAGGGTTTGAGGCAGTGACAGTGTCATCATCAGCACACGATTACGTTTTTAAGTGAGATTAAAAATTAAAATGGGTTTGTGTGTAGTTGAGTGGGGACACGTGGCAAATCGCATGTGGGGGGAGTTTCTGGCGGGACGTGGACAGTTTTATGGAATAGTCGTGCTTTTGCTACTATCTTATTACGAAAAAGTGGTCAAGTTTTTGCACTTTTTAAAGTTGCCAAAAAAAAACTTGACGAATACTATTACTTTCACTTGACAAAAAAAGTCATAGGGAATAATACGAATTACTGTGTCTGTAATCGTTTTACTTGTAAATGTAATTTGAGTTTTGATACCAAATTGAATTAAACTGGGGTTTGTCTGGTACAGGGCAGCCACACAAAAATTACAAGAAGAACAAATGTCATTAGTGTTTGGTCCAAGCACTGTTGGACCGTTGAATTTAATACACACATTTATTCCGTTTCAAAAATTCTATCTTGCGATGACTAGAATAATTTGTTTTTTCCTTTCCTTTTCATTAAGTCGTGGAATGTCAAAATTTTGATTAGTGTGACTCAAAGCCGTAGGATGTGTTCGAGGAGTGAATGCTAGCTAGCATCCAATGAAGTTTTTGTAACTTAATGGACAAAAAAAAAGAGAGATTCAAAAGATTCATCTAATGAGCACTTAATCCCAATAACTGCAAATGAAAATAGGTTCTTTATTGTAAAGTAAATTATTGGACACATATAACATATATGTTTTCAAAAGAAGAGTAGTAATTTTGAGCTTATGAATTTTCCGGAAAAATTTCTCAATGTCATTCTTTGCTTTTACTATCTAGTTAAATACAGTTATGATCGGTTTCACTATCTCAAAAGGCACGTCGAGCTTGTCCTCCAGCTTTCAGCCAGCTCGTCTTGCCAATTAGTGACCCGTGATTATAATTTGTTGTGAATTCGATTAAACTTGATGAATCTCAAAATGCACAACTAAGAAAACATATAGTTTTTGTGGCAAATACTTTTTATCCTCTAGGGTTTTTCCTTCTTTTATTAAACGTGTGAATAATGAATTACAAACTCTACAGTCTACACTTATATATAGGTCTCAGACATATAAATAATATAATTGAAACACGAGTATAACCCTGAAAACGGTACACGTCGATTTTGAGTCACTTTGAACACGATCTCCGGCTTTACGGGGTTTGAGTTTATTTTGGTTACTTCAAGTCTTCAACGTAGAGATCTTGAAACTTGAATTGGGTATGCCTTTGATACCTTGGTAGTTAGGTTTTTAATAGATAAGCTCGAATCTTGGCGACCAAGGCGCGCCACAGCCACCAGAATACTGGTTTTAATCTGGGATGAGGCTTAGGTTCCAAGTTTGACACCAACAATATACTCAAACTCAACATGTTCGATAAAATTAAAACTTATGTCGTAGCCAACTGAAGTAATGGCATCCCAATGAATGGCAATAACAAATTATAGTTTCATTTCTCTCCACAATATTTATAAGTGTTATTGTAACAATGATTATTGCTTGGTAACCAAAATAGTCTTAGGTATATATAATTCACAATTTTACAATTTTATCTGCTAATTATTGATAATTGATGTGTTACAGTCTTGCTGATAATGACCTTGAAACAGTCATAGTTAGCTCTCTTCCAGAACCTGTGATTTAGATAATCTTGCTCAAATTCAAAGGATCTCATTGATTAAGCAGTACTTGATAATATCATTTGCCGTCCAAGATCATATTATTATTATTCCAACCGTATAAGACACCTCAATTATGACTACCAATCACATAGATACAATATCTTATGATCCTTTTTTTTTCTTTTCTAGAGACGAATAGAGTTTGACCTAACACTACTTGATAGTTGATATATACGACCCAATCATTAATCATGGGATGCTGCAAATTGTTTAAGAGAGTGAGTATTTGCGGACGAGGGGGTATATATATTTGTTAATTAACGACATATTTTCTAACACGAACCTAATCACATGGCGAAGACCGAAGAAACGAGAGCACGAGTGATCACAATCACCATTAATCGGTTTGTTTTTTGTTCTTTACATTAACTACAAATAAACTAGCTAGCATTCAAACACCTATAATAGTATCAAGATTACGATGATATAAATAGAATTATAGACCCTTAGATAGAAACGTATCGAGTTTGGCGTACCTACAAGATCAATGCTCTTTTCGTATGTTTGTAATATATAATAAACACATGCATGTTCGTTCGTTACATATAATATCTCACTATGGATCAAATCTTATGGTAAGACACGATATATGATCTGGATTCTGGTCCCATGCATAAGAAAATATCACAGCTGTGATTTTCTCGAAACGCAAAAGAGATAAAGCGTCCTTATTATTCCTTAAGCAGACGCTGATGGGTTTAACAAACCAATGAGAGGGGTACGTATGTCTTGATCAAGTCTGGTTTCTCGAATTAAAGAGACCATAATGATGTCACGTGACACGCACATGGCCCATTCCCATACATGCCTTTCTGGCTTTCTACCTCCTGCCGGGTCGTCCCCGTCGCTACCAAACCCCAAGGCCTCAAAAAGTTTTTGTATTCAGTTCCCAATTTTTTTTTTTCTTTTCTTTTCTATGAATGTAGATTTTGGGTAAAAATCCTTGAGTACGTACTTTAAAGAACCTAGCGTTGAAAACTTCAAATGTAAAATTCACTATGGCACATAAAAGTAAAAGAGTAATTTCCCCCTATAAGTATTGATATTAATTTGATGAATAATGACCATACATCAGATGTTACTTTATTAAACACAACGATTGAGTCTACTTTAGTCTTTATGCAAGCGTGTGATAGTTACTTGTCTAGTTAAGACTGCTAAAACTTATTAAGTACATACGTTGCTTTTGCCGTTTTGCGCCATTGTCGGACGACCAATAATGATTGCAGGCCTCTAATATAACACCTGAATTCGAATTTTGATGGCCCAAACTATGATCACAACTATATAATGCAACTATTAGATAGAAATCAGAAATGGGGCATTTTTCATAACGGCCTGCTAAAAACATAAGTGGGCCTCTTTAGTTTTTGTTAAACCTAGTAACCCGTGAAGGTATGTTCGTGTTCTTTAATCTTTACCAGTTTACGCTCTTGATCTCTCAAAGTAACTTCGAATAGAAAAAAATTGTGTATTGATTCAACGTAACTCCTTTTTTACGGGTTAATTGGGAGTACTACTACTAAAACTCAACAATTCGCCTTCAATTAGTAGTAGGATTTTGTGATAATAATTTGAGATTTAATTTTTTGTATATCTTATTTTGTTTCAAACAAGATTAAGGATATTGGATTTCTGGTTGTTAAAAATAAGAATAAAATTTACAAAAAGTTGTTGAAGGAACAGAGTCTCTTAGTACTAATATTTACACGAAATCATGTGATCGTCAATTTTTTCTGGGCCCAAGGGTTGACTTTCGTTGACTTCTAAACCATACTCCAATGACTAAGATACATAAATCAATGATCACGCTCTTGCGGCGGAAACGTTTTCTTGGCCGGAACCGGCACCACCGCCCTAGAAGGGCTCGCTGCAGTGGTAACTCGCTCGCAGCGGGGACACATAGTGAGGCTCGAGGCAGAGTTCACCGTTGTTGGGCCAACCTTCATGGCTCTAAGCTCTTCTACTTCTCTATGGAGCCTGTGGTTTTGCTCCGTTAATGAACCAAACCACCTTTTGAGGTACTCGCATTCCATCTCGGTTTGCTTCAATTTGCTCCTAAACCAAACAAATCCAAAATAGGTACGATGCGATTTATTTATTTTTGACATATAAACACATTAAACTCATAGATGTTTTTGTACAACTTGTTAATTTATAACATGCAAGCAAGGATCAAATTCTTGTCGACGATGCAAATACATAAAAATATAAAAAAAAATAATGGAAATAAAAACGCATGAACTGCCAATGAATTATGAGTCAAAGGGCATTGATGAGAAAGTAAGTACACAAGGCAGAAAAAATGAAAACACATTGATTGATTTACTTGAAATTTATAAAATTAATAAATCTAAAACATATAAATAATTGAAAGAAAAAGAGGCTATAAAATAAGTATATTTCTATTATAAAAAGGGTGTGGTTATGATTATAGTTATAAACTTATAATTTGGGAAACCGTCATAAAGTAACACGACCAATGTTGAAACTCTTCTTATATATTTATTGCACCATACCTTTCCCATCTGTTCACAATTATTGTGGGATCCAAATAAATTAACTATTTATATACAGTATTGAGTCTACAAAAGAAAAGACATTCTAACCAATTTAGCTTTCTCGGTGTGAATAACAATGACTAACGGATTATATAGATTGAATAATATGTTATACACATGAGCAAAATATATTCATGCAAAAAAAAAAAAAAAAATATATATATATATTCATGCAGAAACTAAAGATATATATACCTATACGTTACCAGGAAATTGTAATAAAGCGACTGATGAGTTCATGAAACATCGAGACATTGACACGTGAATATTTAGGTATACGACTTAATGTATACACGTATTGACGTACACGGGCCAAAGTGTTTTGTAATACTTGCTCGTCCAAGTTACATCACACATTAAACGTGTAATGGATATCACAATTGGCGGCTCCAAAATGCTGTTGTCACTTGTGAAAGTAACCATGCAACAACACATATGTACGTGATGTTGATATATATAACTATTTCAACATTAATATATTACCTTTTTATTAATATGTGTGATTAATTGAGTGGCTTTTAATCTATTCCCGTAGTTTTCTTTGACTTCAAAAATTTAGGAATTGACAATTTCCTTCTATATGTGTAACAACTAAACAAGTGGTGACTCTTCAAGAATTTAAGAAGGACCTAGAAGGAAAACATTATAAAATAAATATTTGATGGAGGAATGAGAAATAATTTATGAAAAGGACAA